AAAACCCCCCCCCCCCCCCCCCCCCCCCCACCTGGGGTTCGCTTTGGGTGATTTGATCTGATCTGATTCATGTGCGGTTGCCTGGCTGTGCAGGGAGTGAATTGCATTCGGAGCTTCGAGCTGAGACGAGGCAGGTCAGCTGTGACACGTCTCGAGCCGTACCTTGTGAAGTACAATCCCTCACCACGTCAACGATGGGCGTGATCACCCATCAGCTCGTGCGTAGCACACGTGCTTTGCCTTTGTCTGTCTTGTAGGCCTCTTGCCCTTTGCCTGGCTGCCCAGGTCCTGACCTAGACTACACAAAACCAACGGCGTCATGGCGACCCTGAACGGCGGCGAGGAGTTCACCTGGCTCAACTTCTTTCTCAATGCTGGCATTCCTGGTGCGACAAACCGATCTTATCAAAGCCGCGTCACATGCATCTGGCGCATCTGGCGCATCTGGCGCATCGCATACCACTGTTAGACCTCATTCGTGATTTGCGGTACTGTTGATCCCCAACTCAACAGAGGCGCATGCCCTGAGCTATTCGGATGTGTTTGAGGATAATCGCATCACGCCGGCCATGATTGATGAGCTCAGCCGCGAGATCCTTCAGGTTTGATCGTTGCCCTCGTTGCTGACCTCACCATTGATCAAATGCAACGTCCACGCAACTCTCAACACCAACCGCGCCTGCCCTTTGTCTTTGGCTTCCCAGGAACTTGGTGTGGCCATCATGGGCGATGTCATTGCCATCCAGAAATATGCCAAGGAGTATAGCGAGGCCCGCAACCCTCCCAAGGACTCGGTGGATGTTAATGTCAGTCTGATTCGTGTCTTTCTGTCCCTCATTTGAGCTCGTTGTTCAGCTTGCACCCCAATCCTTCCTTCATCTTGCACTCGGCACCGCTCTCACCCTCTTGTTGATCGTTTTGTGGACTCGCCTCGCACTGCCCGCCATGCTTGTCACCCTTGCAGCAATTCATCGCGCTGCAGCAAGAATACCAGCAGCTGCAACAGACAACTGAAATGCAGCTGAGCAAATCGCGCGATCGCGAGAACAAACTTTTGGCAGAACTGAAACGTGCGCGCTCAGATATTCAAAAGCTGCGCGAACAGCTGGGGTCACGCAAATCTAGCGGCTTGTCGGCGCCATCTGCTCCAACCTCCGTCTCCATTGCCCTGAGCGAGCTGAACAAGGTGACGGGCGATGGCACCAAGACCATCACGGCTGAGGCGCGCAAGCGCTCCCTCGCAAACTCCAATCAAAGCAGTCGCAAGTCCACTTCCAAACCCACCATCGTTCGCAGCTCCTCCGTGGCAACGGCCAGTCCCATTATTGTCGCATCGGCCAACCCGGCGCCCAAAAAATCCAAGAGTGCGTTGTGTTGATTCAAGGCTCGGGTGTGGTTCGATGTCCATGACATTGCAACTGTTGGCGCTTCATGCATAACGTGCTTGTGGAATATCGGTTCATCTTGTTTCTAGGCAGCATCTTTGACCGCATCTCCGGGTCTGAGGCCGGCAAAACTGCTTCTGAAAGCAAGAACAAAGGACAAACAGCCCCAAAAGCTAAAAAGTGGGTACCTGGTCTGTGCGCTCATGAGCCACGCTTATTGATGGCATGTTCACATGTGGTTGGATTGCATGGCTTGACCATCAACATGATCGACTCTGACATGACGCATGCACCCGTGGCCCCTGTAGGAGCGAGCCTCAGATTGTGCGTACTCTGAACAAATCAACAATCAGCGCAAACCAGCGCGGCATGGTTGGCGGCCGGTTGACGCGCGCTTAAACATGCTATCGTGTGCCATATGCAGACTGGCCATTCCCAATTTCACATCATCTTCTGAGGCAAATGCGTTCACCTCTCTCATGGGGATTTCATCTTGCGGTCTTGACGTGCTCGGAGGGGCGAAATATGGATTGTCTTTTTGAAGGTCAAGGTCAAGGTCTGATCACCAAAAGAAACACGGTACACGCGTCCTCGGAACATGGCGGACTTTGCAAACGGCCCAGCGCGAAGCGCGGCATCATGGAAAATGCGCACTTTGGATCGGAAGGGCAAGAAGGAAGCATGATAAACCATAAAACAACAACATGAAGTGGAATGCCATTATTTGTTAGCAACAAGCAAGAAACGCTCTTGCCTCGTCTTAAAAAACCAAATTGTGTACAAAGTTCCAAAAAAGAAATGAGCAACGAAGTGGAAGCGTTCAGTTAGTGAAAAACCAAAAGGATTCAAACACGTGAAAAACAAGCCAACAAAAAGAAGGAAAAAAAGGAAGAGGGAAAAAAAAAAAGAAAAAAAGAAAAAAAAAAAAAAATAGCGCCGTCCAGCGGCATCAATGAACAAGAAGAGGAGATGCAGCACTGCTGCTGGCATACACACAAAGGATGACATCGAGTCGGGCGCGGCAGCATCTATGGGTGGCTTTGGACCCGAGGCTCCCCAAAATCCATGTCTAATCGGTCATCCATGCCTAGAGGATCGAGCGGAGAGTGCAAGAGCTCGGTGCTCCAGGTGCCCCGTCGGTTGAGGCGGCGCGAGACCTAAGTGCACGGATTTCATCATGAGATGCGACGGGCAAGAACATGCTCGCGGTGGGGAAACAGGTCGCGGTCACATTGGACTTGCCAGAGTGAAGTCAGATAGGGGGTCCGAAGCCAGCTGATGGAGGTGCAAGAGCTCTGGATCAATGTCGCCAGTGTGCTCGGGCGTCGTGCTGTCGCCTTCATCTGTCCACATTGGCGATATTGCACCATCGACTATACATGCCACCATGTAAAAACACAACAAGAGAGTGTTATGACAAAGAACCAGAAGCAGGGGCAGGGTGCAAGGAGATGCTTGGGGCCGAGAAGGCAAGCTCAAAGATGACAACATGGAGTTGTCGTCGAAATGTCAGGTGTAACCCTTCATACTGACATTCGGAACAAGCGCTTGGGTTGCGGCCAATGACACCCGGAGGAACAGACAAAGCCTTGCCTGGAGCAAAAAGAAGACCCAGCATGAGAATTTCGAGATGTTTTGCGATCGAGTCTATCAGACAAATCCCACCAAATCTAACTCCACGCAATAACACCAAAGAAGAAGAAGAAGGAGAAGGAGAAGGAGAAGGAGAAGGAGAAGGAGAAGGAGAAAAAAAAAAACCAGCAGCATCAGACGCAGTCAAATTGGGCGCCTTGACGTACCCTGACCATGACGAAAAAAAGACATATCGGTGCCACCTGGGCCCTTGGCACGCTTGGGCGCCATAATTTGATCAAGCTACGAGATATCAGGACCGCACATGCATCGAGCGGCGTGACAGGTAATACGGTCATTGAAGAAGATTCGTCATGGCGATCACGACACTTGGAGGCCTGAGAAGCGACAAACCTCGTCGTCTGTCATGCTGAATTCAGAAGCAAACCCCTCACTGCGCTTGGCAGAGAAAGAGTGGGGTACTATGGTGCTTGCAAGGGATGAGGAGGAGGCTGTAGAAAAAGGGGAAGCTCGCCGGGATTGTTGCTGTTGCTGCGCTGCCGTGACCATGGCATGTTGTGGCGCCGCAAAGGAACCGTGAAAGAGCTGGGCAGTGGGTGGCAATACTTCGGCATCGTCTTCAAGCTCATCCATCCCGCGGGGCGCCGATCCTCGCGCAGGCTGCGCACGTAAGACGCTGAGAAGCAGGCGAGCCCCTCTGGACAGGCTGAGCTTGGCGCAGCTGCTGACGTGTACAGCCTTGTCCAAGATGTAGGCTTTAACGTCAACGAGGGGCGGCGTTATGGTCAAGAACAGCAACCCCGCCAGATCCCCACGCACGCGTGCAGGTGACGGTCTGGAATGTTGCCTTGAGGCGAAGAAGGTCCTTCTCTCTGAGCCCAACGATGCAATTCGTTTCACGTCGCGACCCGGGAAGCGCGAACACAACAAGAAGAGCCTGTTGCCAGACTCCAGCCGGGACGCAAGTTTGCTCATCGACCGAGTGCTTGCACAATGAACCCTATGTGGCTGCCGCAGCGACAATTGCAAGATGGCAAGATGGAATGTTTCAGCGCAAAGCCAAGCAGCGAGCCCACCCCACATCGCCACACATCAAAACTCTCCCCTCGCCCACAAACCGGCCTCCTCCACACACCATGCAACAACACCCCTCTCCCACATCAGCCCATCATTGCTGACCCTCCAAACCCCGTCGCAGACCTGTTCCAGGGAGAGGAAGAGGGTCGGCGATAGCTCGTGTTCGATCCGCAGCTGAGCTGACCTCTGGCGCGCGCGTCCGCGTTCTTCTTTCTTGCGAGAGAGAGAGAGAGAGATTTTGAGAGAGAGAGATTTTGAGAGAGAGATTTTGAGAGAGAGAGAGATTTTGACAGAGAGAGAGATTTTGAGAGAGAGAGATTTTGACAGAGAGAGAGATTTTGACAGAGAGAGAGATTTTGAGAGAGAGAGATTTTGACAGAGAGAGAGCACTGTGAGAGAGAGAGAGAGAGAGAGCACTGTGAAAGTGTGTCTATCGTCACACTATCGTAGATACCAACCTGCCAACACAAAGTGTTGGGGTCTTGTGTGCGTCTCTCTGATGCGTGAGTTAATTAAAGATCATCCTCTTTGTGAATTGCATATACACTCATCTCGCTCTGATACTTGTTATAAAACAAAGGTATAAGGGTGCCAAATCTCAAACGTTTTATCCATACCTCTAAGATAACAACAGGTTTGAAGCCTTTCTCTGACACCTCGCTCAGAGGCTGCTTCATCTCTATCTCTTCAATTTCGATCCGAGCAGCAGCCAAATGGCCGAGCCGTGCGTGTGTGCGCCCTATCCGGTTGGAGAAAGCCAGGGCTAGTGGGGGTGATGTGCATCGTGCCGTGCAGGGGAAGAGAGTGGAGTAGGGGGCGGGGGGCATCATGTCATCCAGAGGAGAGGCGATGGAGAGGAGTGGGTTGAAGTCTGTGTCATTCTCTCTCATCTTGATGCGCATATAGGGTGGAGTTTACGGCGGAGAACCCCTGGCGGGACCGCGAAGTGCACTTTGACATCGGGAACAAGTAAGATGTATCCCACTGCAGGAGGCCAGGGGCGTATGCGAAGCTGGTTATGTGTGTGTGTGTGTGTGTGTTCGTGTGTGTGTGTGTGATCAGCAGCCAGTTCAACCATGCCCCATGCTCGACCGCTCATCATTTTCCTCTCACTTTGGTCATGGTGCCTAGGCTCATTGCGCTGACTCGAGGCGAATTCGTGATTGATCATCTGGATCAGGTTGAGGATACCAAGGGCAACAATGGCATTTCTGGTGCGTTTTGGCCGCTCCAAGGGCACCTCAACTTCCTCGCATCTACGTCTTCTCACGAGTCGCTGGTGCTGCCAACGTCGCCAGGTACCTTGACAGTCACCAATCTGAGGCTTATCTGGACCAATAAGAAGCGCAGCAACATCAACCTCTGTACGGGTGGCGCAGACGGGGGAAGATTGCTTGGCAGGTTCTCTTTGCCCGTCATAAAGCTCACCTCACGCCCGGCCCTGCAGCAATCGGGTTGCGCAACGTGGTCAGCATCCAGGTCAAGCCCGTCGAATCGAAGCTGCTCGGCAATGTCAAAGCGCTGTGGATCATGTGCAAGCACAAACAGAGCAAGTATCAATTCATCTTCACGCATCTCGTCCCAGGTTCTCCCCGCCTCTTCACCACAGTGCCTGCCGTGCACCGGTACGTTGATCTGTACGGACCGCGGTTTCGCCAACACGGCATCGCCTGCCCTCATCTCTGCTTCGGTGGGCCACCCCGTGCTCAGGGCATACGCCTCTTCCACACTTTATCGGGATGTGAAAATTCGTGCACCTGCCCTTATCCGTGATGGAGCCATCGAGCCCCTGCCCCAAGAAGAGGTTTATGATGCCGTATGTTTGCGCGCGCTTGTCATGCTGCTTCAAGGAGGCTCTATAAGCCCGTGCTTGTGTCCCATCTAACCCCCTGGGCGCGCGTTCACCGCTGTGTGCAGCTTGAGGGCGTCTCCAACCTATCGGGAGAAAAGGTATGCCATAATGTTCCTTTGTCTGCCTTTGTCAGAGGCAGGGCACGACAGCTACGAATACCCACTCGTCATTTCACAATTTTTTGCTTACACAGGGGGAACTCGGTCGTTTCATCGTGACCAATATTCGATTCATTTGGTACAGCGAGCAGAACCCACTCTATAACGTCAGCTGCCCCTATTACACAGTGGTCAGTTGCAGGGTGCAATGATGCTTGTGCAGCCACCAGAAGGCAACGGCTCGGCGCAGTCCTTGGGCGTTGCGTACGTTGGTGTCTCAATCTTGCCCGGTCGTCGACAGTCTCACATCGGAGGGCGGCAATCCAAGTTTGGCTCGGCTGTGGTTGTCAAGTTGGCCGGCGCAGCGGGTGCCTTGAACTTGGGATTTCGCTGTGATCCCCCGAAGCGCGTACGTGAGCGAGCGCAACACCCGGGAAAACCGTCGTGTCAGGCAGAATACGCCTCTTGCTCATTGGTTTCTTTTTTTGGGGGGGGGCATCTGACAATGTAGATGGCCAAGCTACTGAAGATGATGCAGCGTCTGCATCGAGTCTACCACATTACGCCGCTTCTGGGTATTGAGGCTGAGGTGGAGGAGCAGGTGAGTTTGGTGTGGCCTGGCATCTGCGCTGTGAGCCGAGCCCGCGCACGTGACCAACGAGCTTGTGCCACGAATCTGGTAGCCAACGGAGGATCTGATGCCGGAGAACGTGCCGGATGACGACGTTGAAATTGTCCAGCAGGATAAGGTCGACACCATGGCGGTAGGTGGTTTTGACCGTGGGCCCAGTGCCTTGTACGGGGCCGGCCAGCTTCTCACGGTGTGACGAACATTAGGCGTACTTTTCAAGCGACAGTTCCGGGACAACCGGTCGAGACCCCGTTTTTTCCGCGGTTCGTCTGATCACGTGTCTTGTCTACTACTGGCTCGCCGTGATCTGACTGAGCTTGGCGTATTGTGTTGGGACCGGTCTGTGTAGGAACTGGGCCTTGCCATTGAGCCATTGCCGGCGGGTGTCTCGTTGCAAGATCTATGGCGCGTGCAGTAATGGGCCTGACTGAGCTCTTGAATTTTTTATACCGAAAAAAAAGGGCCTGGTGGCGGAGATGGGCGCTACGGCTGAGCCACGCCAAGTTTCCTTCATCTGCTCTCTCTTTTCTCTTTGGTGACGCAGCAGCGTATCGCATATTGCTTGTTTGAATGCCGTTGAGCATCGCAATTGCATCTCGCTCTTGTTATTGCTTTTTCCCGTCTGTGCCTCGCAGCGTCCACAAAGGCTGTTCTTTATGAGAATGTTGTATCTAGGAGGTGCGTTTGTGTGTGTGCGCGCATTCTGCGTCGAATCAGGGAGGCTCATAATTATTCAGCTTTTATGGGAATAAATTGCGTTTGGAATAAAGGGATGCAACCAAAAGAGTAGATTTAGGCGGAGGCACCGAAGCCAACGCGGTTGTTGCCCATGTCAAAGACGGTGGTGTAGGCGCCGATGAAGACGTCGCCAAGGATCCAGAGGGGACCCTCGGGGGCGGGGACATCAATGCCAGCAAAGCCAGAGATGCACTCGGTCTCACCTTCGGCGGTGACCTGGAGGACGTATTGCTCAGCGCTGAGGGAGTACTGGATGCCGTTGATGACAATGGTGACGTTGGGCATATGGGGGATCTTGTTGCAGTCAACGATGGCCTCGCCAGCGGCGATGGTGGTGGCGCCAATGGCCTTGTTGATCTGCTTGACAACATCGGTGGGGCCGGCCAGGAGGGAGGTGCCAGTGTCGGCAATGGCCTTGCAGTTGGTGCAGTAGGGGGTGTTCTCAATGGAGAGGCCGGTCATGGTGAATTGCCAGTAGCCATCAACGGTGACATCGGTCCAGTGGATGGGGCCAGCAAAGTGGCTCTCGTCGTAGCCGCCAAGGGTGAGCTCACCGCCGGAGACACCGTTGGGGTTGCGGTTGAGGTAGAAGGAGTACATGTTCTGCTCAACGACCTGCTGCTGAACCATGTTGTACCAGACGGGGACGACGTGGTCCACGGAGATGGTGGAGAAGCCCATGCCGAGGATGCCATCAAACTTGGCAGCAACAAAGGTGACACCGGGCTCCTCAAGAGCCTCAGCAAAGGTCTGGTCCTTGACGCAGAGATCGCCAATGCAGGCAGTGTCGGTGGAGAGGAAGCCCGAGAGGGAGCCAGTGCCGTACTGGATGGCAAACTTGGTGCCGTTGGCCTTGTAGGTGGAGGAGGCGCTCGAGTCGTACTTGGCGTGAACGTCGCAAGCAATGTTGGTCTTGGGGCACTGGGACGAGGGGACCCAGAGGTTGGAGCTGCCAGTGTCGAAGATGACCTTGAACTTTTGGGCGGGGGTGCCGATGGAGATCTCACCAAAGTACTGGGCGTCCTCGTAGTTGGACAGGGGCACGTTGGTACCGGCCATGATGTTCTGGTACTTGGTGGTCAGCATGGCGCCCTGACGACGGAGGGAATCGCGGGTGCGCTCCATGCCGTGCAGGGTCACCTTGCTGAGGGCGGCGGCGGCAGCCACCAGGGCCAACAGGAGAACAGCGGTGCGCATCATCTTCGCTGGTCTCTCGAGAAGAAAAATGCGCCAGCGTCAGTGACTTTTAAGAGATGCCACGCGAGGTGGGCGTTCTGTTCAGAGATCGTGATTCGAGGACGTCCACCCGAAGCAGTTTCCGTGGGATAACGTGTTGTGGTCAGAGAATGTTGTGATATGACGAACTGGAGGCAGAGGGGGCTGGTACCTCCAATTTTATCCAGAAAGAGAGAGGGGGGGCAAGTTCTTGTTGCGTTTGAAGAAGACGCAGCGGAAAACATACACACACCACACGTGGGTTGTGGCGAGCAGAAATTGTCAGCAAACTCTTACCGGTTGGGTTATTTGCTGTGGCAACGAATGGAGGGGGATGCGAACCAAGTGACCATATTTTTCATTCAAAAAAGCGAATGTAGTGACAGTAACTGAACCAATGGCGACTTTTTTTTATTATCCAACTAGATATGCACCCCCGTAACGGCTCATAGAAGGTCCATCTCCTTCGCTCCAGAACCCAATAGATTTGAATGCAACTTTTCCCGCCTCGTTAATAACCTAAAACTATACGCCGTTACAAATTGAAGACGAGAGAGGGAGAAAGAAAGAGAGAGAGAGAGAGAGAGAGAGAGAGAGAGAGAGAGAGAGAGAGTTGAGAGCACACACGCACGCACACACACACACACACACACACACACACACACACACACACACACACACGAAAAAGGGCGGGCTTTTTAACGGTAAAAAAAAAAAAAAACGCGCTGCCGCCGTATCGTCGCTTTTGCATCTTGATGCTGTGGAAACACGTCACGGGTCGACAGATTTTAACCGTTATTTTTCAATCAGCACCGACGCACGTAGCTCTCGGTGAGTCGCAACACACGAGTAGAGTCGATGGTGAAAGCTCCATCATCACCGCGCTGCCTCTTTGGTCGTGAATCGCTGGGTGGCCCTGGCCCTGCCATGAAAGCTCACTCGATGATCGCTGTTCTGGCTGCCCTTGGTCCGTGTAGCTCATTTTGAACGTTAGAACCCAGCAACCAACATCATGTTTGAGGCCACTTTCAACCAAGCATCCATCCTGAAGCAGGTGCTCGAGGCCACCAAGGACTTGGTCAACGATGCCAACTGGGACTGCTCCGCGTACGTACATGTCCATGCTTCCCTGGTGTCCCTGACTCCTCTTCCCGCCATCTCCCGAAATCTGTGATTTGGAACGGAAAAAGCAACGACCTTGGCGTGCAAAACGTCGGCACTTCCTTTTGTCTTGTTTCCTCTTCCCATACTCATCTGAGCATTGATGCATTGGGGCCTTGCAGCGAGGGCATCGCCCTGCAGGCCATGGACAGCAGCCACGTCTCGCTCGTTTCTCTGAGCCTCCGTGGCGACGAGCTGGCCAGCTACCGCTGCGAGAACCAAATCTCCCTTGGTATCAACATGAACACGATGACCAAGATTCTCAAGTGTGCCGAGAACAACGACCGCACCATCATTCGTGCTGACGATGACGCCGACGTCATGGTCTTTGTCTTTGAGAGCGAAGGTAAGCCCGCAGCCATTCAGCCCATCGCTGTGCAACCGGGTCTCCGACCTCACTTCTCACGGCCCTGCACATGTGGCGGTTGGCCTTGCCAGGTCGTGACAAGACCTCCAAGTACGAGATGAAGCTTATGGACATTGACAGCGAGCACCTTGGTATTCCCGTACGTATCTTGGCTGCACTGGACACATGGCACGCCGATGTCGAGCCATTCCATGCTCACCTCACCTCGCTGCCGTTCCTTCTTTCTCGTCACCCCTAATCAATGGTCTCAGGAGCAAGAATACAGCGCCACCGTCCAAATGTCTTCCAAGGAATTCTCCCGCATCGTTCGTGACCTCAGCACCATCGGCGAGAACGTCGAAATCACCGTGGACAAGGAGGGTGCGTTCAGTCGCTGGTACCCGCATCTGTCAACCACTGTTGCACCTAGCGCCTAGCCTCACCTTTTGCAACCTTGCAATGCCTGCGCATTTGGCATCTTCTTCAATGACCTTTTCCTTTAGGCATCACCTTTGGCGCCAAGGGTGAGAGCGGCTCTGGTACCGTGTCGCTCAAGTCAAACCCATCAGTCGATGAAGGCAGCAGCAACGTATGTTCTGCGGGTTGCATACTGATTACTTGGCCAGCCCAGGCCATCCGCGCCATGCCGATGCCGCCACACTCACCGCACCCTGCGTTCATCCCTCAATCCTCAGATTACGATTGATCTGACCGACAGCGTAAAGCTCAACTTTGCTCTGCGCTACCTCACCTTCTTCACCAAGGCCGCTCCTCTGTCCGACAACGTCAGCCTGTCCCTCTCAGCTGATGTGCCCCTCAGTACGTTTGCAAGTTGATCAGATTGGCTCGCGTCGAACTGCCGTGCCACAACGTGCCTTGACTAACTTCTTGTGTGGCGTACGCTTGCTCCTCTCCTGCTTCTGCTCCAGTGGTGGAGTATGCCATTGGTGACGTTGGCTTTATCCGCTACTACCTGGCGCCCAAGATCGACGATGACGAGGACACGGAGGAATAAACTGCTTTGACAGTTTTTCTTTCCCGTCTTGCCCCAAGGCCGGGTATTTCTCCATCAAGCTCACAAGCCCGTGCAAGTCTTGTCTGTGCCAAACTTGCCTCCCCTGTTTGCTTTTCGGCTTTTTTTTTTCTCCTCTCGGTTGGCTTCTTTTCTTGCGTTGCGGCGAGAGCAATGTTTTGGCTTGGAACCAGATTTTCGAGTTGTTGTGTTGTTGTGGTTCCGATTTCTTCATGCTTTCTGTGTCTGCCGCCATTCGATGTCTACGTTTCCTTTTGAAGCCAGCCAGTCCGCGTCTCCCTTCACACTTTTCCTCGTATGCCCTTCATTCTTTCATCTTTTTTTTTTTTCTCTTTCTCTCTCGCTATCTCTCTCGTGCTTTTTTCTCCCGGCCCATCATCGATCGTCTCTGCGTGGCCATCTTTCTCCTGCTATCGTGCCGGGCCTTGTGCTGCTTCCAGCCCGTGTCGACCCTTTAAGTTGCTCTCCTTGATGTTGTCTTTACTGTCTAAATTGCTCAATTTTGAGCCCCATGTCTTGGCCAATAGCCTCTGATTGCTTTGAGGGTGTACGAGGCGTCGTGTTCGATCTTCTGCAGCCTGGTTACTTCAATCCCTGTCATTCCCTCTTCCAAAAGCTTCGTGTTGCCTCCCTTTTTCGTCTTTTTTTTTGCATGTTTTGGTATTGTCTCAAGGTCCGCTCGGTCGTCTGCGGATTTGGTCGTGTTTGTGCGTGCGCGGCCCTTGTCAATGTGCGGTTCCGTGGAGGTGCTTACTGGTCGATTTAAGAAACAGAAAAATAGAATTGAGACAAGAAACAAGCATCCTGGTTATGGCCTTGCCTGTCAGGCACCAATCGGCCCGCGGTAACGGGGGAGCCGTGCAGCTGGAAACATTTTGGATGAATGGCATTCAACAAAAGCGTTGTCGGGTAGAGCTAGTCTTCCTCCAAAAGCATGGCCACTGTCGAAGGGTTGTGCAGTGACTCCTCAACCAAACGCTTGGGGGTCTGAACTTGCAAAAGCGTGGGGACGCCAGTCAGCTTGAAAGAGGGGTCCTTGCGGTATGGGTGGTTGGGGTCTTTCCAGGTGGCGCGATCTCCCACATCCACATAAATGAAAACGTCGTCCTCCTCGCCTTGCTCCTGGCACACCTTGTCCACGACGGGCCACGCTATGTCGCATTCAACCAGAGATCCCAGTCATACACAGAACAGGGACGAGCAGTTTTTTTTTTGACCGAGCAGAGCCTTTGCCCAGGTGAAGCGAGCAACATGCCATGCCAACTAACCGGCCACGCAGTCGGGGCACCAGGACTGGCCACTGGCATCCTTACTGCCACTGAAGTACACAAAGACGCGCGTCTTCTTGGCATCGTGCTTGGCAAGCTCCTCCGACAGCGCCGACGGCGACGCAACTTGAATCCACTGTATCCCCACATGCCCCCACATGCGTGTCATAAGTCTTCACAGCCCCACGTCATGCCATCAATGGGGGCACACAACAGCAGCCTACTGATGCACGGCGCCTTTCCCTCACCTCGACAGTCATCTTGACGTTTGTGATGAAAGTCAAAAAAGGAAAAAAAAGGAAAGAGTTTGATGTGAAAGTCAGATTTTAATGAGAGACGTCAACTTTGAACGAACGACATCATGATGTATCTAGGGCTCTGGTGAGCGGGGGTGGTCCTTGTTCGATGGCTTTTGTGCGGTCGTTGGGTGCTTGTTCGTCCTCCTCGTTTTCGCTGCCCGCGTCACAGTCATCGTGCACGCTCGTACTGTCCAGCACACCGGTCAGTTGCATCAAAATACGCTTTACTTCTGTGAAGGAAGGTCGTTGCGCCGCGTCCAGGTTTAAGCATTGCCGCCCCAGTTTGACAAGTTGACGTAATAAACGTGTCTGCATCCGAGCGGTGTTCAAGTAGGAAAAGTAGTTGTAACCCTGGCGCACATACGGGAGGGTCCGCTTGATTTTGGTGGCGGGAAACCCGGCAACCTGCGGTCCCTCTGCCAGCTCCAGCAAGCTGGTCTCTGTATGCGTGACAAGCCCGTACAGAACGACTCCATAGGCATACACATCGTCTGCCGGCTCGCAAGGCGCAAACGGAAAGCCTTCCATGCGCGCTGGGCTCAGGTACTCGGCTGTGCCCTGACAATTGGCTTCGTCCTGTTGCCCGTCCTCCCCGACCCGCAAGCGCTGGGTCAGGCTCCCAAAGTCAGCCACCTTGGCCACGAGGCGCCCCGGCGGCAACTCTTTGACCAGAACGTTGCCCTGCTTGATGTCTTGATGCACATGCTGTTGGCCATGAATATACTCAAGGCCCGTTGCCACTTGGAGAGCAATGTTGATTCGCTGTGTATCCGAAACGTCTTGAAAGGGGTGCTGCTCAAGCCACGCCGTCAGATCCCCGTCCATCTTTTCCAGCACCAGGTAGTAAAACCAACGCTGCACTGCACTGTCGCGAAAAGCCCCATCCTGCAGCACGCCCCATGCATAGCAGTTCACGAGGTTCTCGTGACTCGACACGAGCAGAAAGTCCAGCTCCGTATCAAAGGCTTGCTGCTGTTCGTTGTCCATGGCCGAGCTGCCTTGGAAGCGGACCTCGGCTCCCTTGACAGCCACCTCGTGTTCTTCAAACGTCTTGAAAACGACAGCACCAAAACCACCCCGCAATGAAGAACCGTCAAAGTCCCGAACGCGGAGCTTGGGCGTAAAAGCAGTGCGCGACACGCGTCGCTTGTCGATCAAGGCTTTAATCTTGGCCCAGTGGCGCTGGCTACGCTCCTCGCCGAGCGCAAGGCGAATCTGATCGTATTCACGCACGTACCGCACGTAGCGTCGGGCAAAGACCGCCAGCTGCAGCACGAAGAGCACGCCAAACACAAACGAGGCAGCCAATCCGGCCTGCGTGTCCCCGATGGGCGAGATGGCATAGCAGTTGCTTCCAAGCTGGCGGTGCTCAGAGGCACACTCGCACTCGTAGCGATAGACGGTGGCCAGCGGGTATGTATTGTCCACCTCGTTCCAAATGACCTGATTTTCCACCAACATGTTACAGGATACGGGCAGATCTGCCAAGGCCAAGAAGGTTGGATTGACAAAAACCTGAACCGGTTGGTAGCTGGGCCCATCCAGATGTGGCGAGGCGTACATGGTTGTCGTGATAAAGGGCTGTGAGATGGTCTCGCGGAGGACCTCCAGATTCGACAAAAACGCATTATCCGAGAGATCAATGTAGTCGGTGCCTCGGAAGCAGTCCTGAAGCAAGCGTCGGGCATGTACGGTGTAGCTGGAAGAGTTTCGCAAGCCCCGGGCAATCAAACGATACTGGCCCATCCAGTTGCAGAGTAGCGGGTCATAGGGCAGGCCCGAGAGGGAGATGTTGAGCGTGCGCACCTGCACGGCAGGGTCGATGCGTTCGAGCAAGGGTGTGGCGGAGACGTCGAGGAGGTCAATGGCCTGCGCCGAGTTGAGCAGTAGGCTCAAACGGCGTAGCTGCAGGTTGTTATGCAGCCGCAGTTTAGCCACGGGACTGAGCGAAACGTTCAGGGAGATGCTCTCACACAGCGTCCCCGTAATGGCAAAGTCTAGGAGACGAGTGCTAACAAAGTGATGGTCCCAGTCCACGTTCTCACGACAGGCCGTGGCGCGTCCGCCCATAGCCAAGTAGGTTAGGTTCACTAGCTCGGTGATCTGACTGAAAGTGACGCTGTTCAGACGCATGCCTGTCAGATCAAGGTTTTGCAAGCTCATGCTGGCGGCCAGGTCAAGGTGTATGGTCTGACCCTCAAGGTCTGCAATCAGAGAGTTGCCCAGGTCCAAATCCAGCAGTTGCGCGTAGCCACGAAAAGCGCCGTCCGGCAGCGAAGCCAAGCGATTCTCCGCAGCGTAGAGCGATTGAAGGGAGGTGGTGTTGAACAAGAGGGAGTGGGGCAAGGCAGTCACGCCCGACCCCCGAATGTAGAGCGCCTGCAGGCGATCCGATCGAACCAAATTCTCCGGTAGCGCATCAAGCTGGCAGTCGGCCAATCCAAGCTGCTCGAGGCGCGTCTGTGCTGCCAGGGTGTCTGGGTGGAGTGTGCGCAGGCGATTGGTGGAGAGAAATAGAATGCGCAGCTGTGACAAGGGGGCGAGAAGGGCAGGGTCCAAGTCGCTGAGTTGGTTCTGCCAAGCATAGAGGACGGTGAGGGCTGTAAGATCTTGAAAGACGTGCACATCGATGGCGGCTATCCGGTTTGACTGGAGCTCGAGCATGGTCAGGCTGGAGAGGTCGCTCAGAAGACCGGCGGGCAGCGCTGTGATGGCGTTGCTTGAGATATCGAGGTGTTCAAGGACGGTCAGTCGTTGAAAGGTGCCCGGCTCCAAATACCGAATGCGGTTGTAATCAAGGGCCAGCAACGTCAGCTCAGCCTGAGCGGGCCATGTGTCACTGCTGAGGGTAGATATGTTATTATTACTCAGGATGAGCTCGGTGAGCCTCGTTAGCGTGGCCACAAACGGCGGTACGCTTGACAGCAAATTGCCACGCAGGTCGAGGCCCTGCAGCTCTGGTAGGTGGACCGTGTCACCGAGATCCGCATTGAGCTGGTTGTAGCCAAGATCAAGAGTCTGCAGGTGGGGCAGGTTCAGGTTGTCCAGGTCGGTTATCTGATTGTGAGCGGCCAAAAGCACAGTCAGGTTGACCAAGTCGTTGAGACTAGGCGGGAGCTGCAAAATGGAATTGCTGCTCATGTTTAGCACGCTCAGGCCGGGAGCATAGTTGAGGAGGGTGGGGACATGGGTCAGGCCGCAATTCACAAGCTCTAGAGTGGTCAGGTCGCTTTGGACCGGCAAGCCCGTAAAGTCGGGGTCATCTGTTGCGTTGTAAAGGGCCAGGTGATGAAGAAGACTGCTATTCAGCGCGGGTAGGATGGTCTGAGCCAATGGGGTGGTCTGAACGCCCAGGGTCAAGGAGCTGAGGCCCTGCCAGGCAAGGCCGGCAAAGAGGGCAGGGCAGCGCGTGTTGGGGACGGGGGAAAAGAGAAACCAGTGATCGAGCGGCAAGGCCGGTAAGATCTCAAGCGTGTTGACGTTGGCCGCCAGGAATGCTCCGTCAAAGTACTTGCCCACGTTGGAGCAGTCGACGAGGTAGAGACGGAGGGTCAGGTCGACCGAAGCGTTGATGTTGCAGCTTTGTAGGCCCTCCAGGTTGGTATAGGTGTTGTCGTAGCACTCGACTGTGACGCTAGATCCATTGGCCGTGCGCCTTACTGTGCAACCCGTTGCTTGTTCACAGTCTAGCAGTACGTGCGCGCGATTGGCGCGGTGGGCATCGGTGTGAGGTGCGACGATTTGGGAACAGCTGCGCGCCAGTGAGATGGCCGATGGTAGCGTGCGCGCAACAGACCTTCATCGCCATGCAGTTGGGCTCGTCGAGTGCGCTGAGCATGGCTCTGCACCACTGATTGCCAGGGCGCGGTGGGGTCGGCATGGGCGGCATTGGCAATGGCCTTGCGGTCAAAGTGCGCATGCTCTCGGCACTTTGCAGCGTACATGGGCGCGTCAACGCCGTGCAATCGCACCTGGGCGCAAAAGGCATTGGTGGGATCGCCCGAGTGTGCAGCCTCGATACAAGCCGCCCGCATCACCACAAGCAGCACAGCCACGCTTGCGCGCGGCCACGACCACACGCCCATCCTCTCTCCTCCCTTGCCGAGGCGCTGCTGAGCTGAACCTGATGCACGTGAGCATGGGTGATGATGGCTTTCTCCACCTCTCTCCCCCGTTTCAAGCCTCATCCGTGTGACACAAGCAGAGTTTGTGAGTTTGAGAGAGCTTGAGAGTTTGAGAGTTTGAGAGTTCGAGAGAGAGAGAGAGAGTTTGAGAGTTTGAGAGTTAGAGAGTTTGAGAGTTTGAGAGAGAGTTTAGAAATTGAATTGGTTTGGGAGAAATTGAAAAGTTGTGAGGTTGAGAGCAGTTGGTGGTGTGTGCGCGACCGACCGACCGAGCGCGGGCGGCAACGCTTATCATGGCTACTGTGGAGCTGCCGAGGCTGGATACGTTGCCAGAGGAAGTGCTGTCTCGAATCTTGTCCTTTCTGCCTGATGCGCGGGATTTGGCCTGCATGCGATGTGTGTCGCGTCTCTTCCGTGACCTGATCGACGACCCCAGCGAGCGGTTGTGGTCCTTTCTCGAGCGCCAGACTGTCCGGCGATTGAAGGACTTTTACACTCTGGGGGACCAGCGCATCCTGGCCAATGTCAACTCTCCTCGCGGCCGATCCCAGTACGTCTCCACTTGTCTTTTCCACTCCACTTGCGCTTTGACACCGCCTAAAAGCCAGTGATACTGCCTTGTTTGTGTGTCAGGTTCTTGGCCCGGCGCGGTGACCTGTGGAAAGAGGGGCAACCAAACATCTCCGTCGTTCGGTGCGTTTATGGGCGTTGGAAACTTCAAGCCAGATTTTGAGTCAAGTTGACCGCTGCCCATCTTTCGACAATCACTAGGCCCAAGACGGCGACAGCCGATCCCCTGCGAGCCAGCGTCTTTCGAGCATCGCCAGTGCCTCCTACATCCTCATGGACCTGTGCCAACTGCGGTGCCTTTCACGAAGAAAAGGCCTTGACTTGTCACAGCTGCACTACTCGAGCTCCACCGCTGGTGCACAAGGTATTCTGGACTTGACTCGGCAGCTGGTGCACGCCCTCCTTTTCTATTTTTTTTTTTTCCTTTTTTTTTTTTTTTCCTTTCTTTTTCTTCATCTGATAATAGCATGCCATGCTTACCTGTGCTACTGAATCGGCTTCCTGGCAGACCAGTGGGACCGTGGTCGCAACCTTGGTGTCATCTTTGATCAATTCCTATGTGCAAGTCCTCGACCTTGACACCATGGAGCTCGGTCCACGTCTGCTAGCACCACCCGACGCTGATCCCTTTCGCTTGAGCATCAGCTATCCCTTTGTTGCAATTGGGGACACCAACGGTTCAGTCAGCCTCTATGATATTCAGACAGGTTGGCCACACCACTGCCGTCGGTGGTGGCATTGTCCCGTGCTTCGTGCGCTGCTTCATGCTTGTTAGATGTGCTGACCTAGGCGTGCAAGTGTTGCAGGTAGGTTGCTGGATGTGGCGCTTGATGGAGACCACCAGCTTGTGTGGATGGTGTACTTCCATCCCAACAATGACCGGTTGTTCGTTCTTCATGGCGACCGCCTGATTGACGTCTACACGCTGAAGCCCACTGGCGAGGTACGGCGAGCCCAGCCCGCGCCGTGTAGGAACCAGCTTCACCCCGCTGCTCGAGTGGGCATCGGCTTTGTTTTATTGTCTTTTGGCTTTCGTTTTTCCGAGCACTTGACCGCTTTCCATTGGCTTTTGAAACAGGTGTCTTGGCAAATGAACTTTGCCATGACGGAAGATACACACCAATCTGACATACCCCAGGTGTTTTATATGAACGTCTCGGACGAATTGTTTGGGGTGGCACTGGAGTCAGGTCAAGCCTGCCTGCTCAACGTGAGATCGCTCTCCCACACAGAATTCCGCCCATACGTCGACTGTATGTTTTTGCTCATGCCGTGATCTGTCTTGGTTTTTGCCGGGAATGCCGCGGCCCCACAGCTGAGTGAGCGGAGTCGGCGTGTCTACTGGACTGCCCATGAAGACACCTGCAGCCGGATCAACGTGGCACGAGAGCGTGCCGTTACCGTGGGCTTTGACGGCCGAGTTCGGCTGTGGTCGGCTTCACCCACACTTGCACCGCCAGCTCTCTTGGCCGAGTTTGTGCGACCCGGCTTTGGGCTATGTGGTGCGTCACAACCAAGCGTATGGGGTTGGTCAGGCAGTACAATGGGGAGGGTGTCAAAAGCATGTCTGATTTGATACGGGCGCTTTGTAGGCTTGTGGCGCTTCTGCGACCTGGTTATCACCGTTGAAGTGGGGGATCAGGGCAGTGGCCGCCTCATCATGTTGCAGCTACCCACATTGGAAGTGGTGCGCTTTTTCGATGTGCAACGTGAGCAACATGTAAGTACATCTTGCCTTACACCTGCCGCAGCGATTGCCGGCCTGATTTCCTCTCATCGCCCAACTCCATGGCACCCGTGTTTGGCGCCTGTATAGGGCGCCAACAACAGTTCACTCTATTTTGATGGCAAGCAAATTGTTTTCGTTGATGACTTTGCGCACCTCCATAACTTTGCCATCTTTGGCTGCATGCACGTCATTCGTCCAGCCGCGCTGGCCCAGTAAAAACCTTCAAAGCGACGTTGTCTTCCACCCTGCCTTGCCATGTTGCTTACAATGTCAATTCACACGCCCAACGTGCTTTCACGAGCTCTCACATGTGCCCCAACCATGCATGAACCATGCATGGCCTTGACACAGGCGCTATCTTGACCAGCGAGGACACATGCATTCGGTCTAAAGACGACACCAGTTGGCACCTGACTCTTCCCCACTACCCCCTCCCCCGGCACCTGACTCTTCACCGCAACCTCCTCCTCAGGCACCTGACTCTTCACACCGTCCTTTTCACAACATACGCCCACCACCCCAAAGCTGCTGATGTCCCCTCTGGTACTACTGTACTTTGAGATCTATCCGATTTTTATGCTGACATGTTATTCAAACCATCTCTGATCTTTCATCGCTGTCCAAAATCTCTTTTGAAGCATCCTCTCTCCCCCTCTCTCTAAAATCTCCCTCTCTCTAAATATCTCTCTCAATCATCTCTCTCTCTCTCAATCATCTCTCTCTTTCTAAATCATCTCTCTCTAAATCTCTCTCTCTCTCTCTCTAACATCTCATTTTTCTTCTCAGGTTTGTCAGTTTGGACGCGTGATCCTCTTTCTGCTTTTTTTTTTTTTTTTTTTTTTAAGATGTTTGTTCCATTCTGGTGGGGTATCCTGTAGGCCCGAACGCGGAACAGGATGGCATCCAAGGAGGCAGAGATCGGCGCGAGCCTTGATCCCTTGGCCCCGCAATCAGACTTGCAAGCGCCGCTGGAATGGGATGGTGACTTTGACTTTGTCGTCCTGGCAGATCCCCAACTGGGCTTGCTCCATCGCAATGAGAGCTGGACCGAGGAGCTTGACATGTTGAAACAGAGCGTTGATTACATCAACAAGCTAAAACCCCGCTTCGTGATCGTGCTTGGAGACCTCGTGCATTGCCCGCCCAGCCCATGCGGAGATTCCGAGAAGCACGCCCGACAGGTCAAGGACCTCAAGGATGCCTTGGCCGCGGTTGATGCTGCCATTCCCGTCGCTTATGTGAGCGGCAATCATGATATTGGTGACACGGTCACCTCCGACACGCTGCGCATCTACCGTGATGATTTTGGTCCCGATTACTATCGCTTCACAGTCGCCGGCCTTGCAGGCATCGTGGTGAACACTCAGCTCTGGAAAGACCCTGGCGAGGTGCAAGATGAAGCTTCCGCACAAAATGATTGGTTTCACCGTGTGCTGCAGCAGTCCTCCGAGGCCACTCATCGCATGATCTTTGGGCATATCCCGCCTTTTATCTTCACCCCCGATGAAGACACGGGCTATTTCAATCTGGCCCGTAGCGTCCGCGAACCTCTATTGAGCGCAGCTAAGAACGCCGGCGTCTCCGCTTGGTTTGCCGGTCACTATCATCGCGAAGCTGGTGGGCGTGACGAGCAACTGGAGGTCATCACTTCCTCCGCCAGCGGGGCCGCTCTCGAAGACACGGGCAAAAACCCATTGGGCATCGAGTCCTGCGGTCAAGCCCACGTCGGCACGGCCTTTTCGGGTCTCCGCGTAGTCCACGTCACCAAGACTGGTTATTCCCATGCCTTTCACCTTTTGAAGGATCTCAACTGAATTACCATGCCCAACTCTCCTCTTGGGATTCCCTGGTTGAGAAAGCCTCCTTGCGCTTGCTTGACACCCAGTCCTTGCAGCAGAAAATTGTTTTTTGTTCTCAATGTGTGTTTCTCTCTTGTGCCGAGCCCGACAAAGCGACATTTTATTCACCAGCGCCTGGCATTTGCCATCGACGCCGAGTGCCCCGCTGTGGCTGCATGCTGGCCACGCGGGTACCCCTGCGATATTGATGATTCATTTTTGCAAATCAACTCATGTCACTCCTCGCGCCGAGAATACAACCGTTGAGGCGGAACGGGAAGGGTTTGCAAAGGAACCTTGGATTGCGCAGACAACATTAAAAATGAAAGATGGAAAGAAGCCCCTTGCAACAAGGTGCGTGCAATACGTGCACAGAAACTCAAAACTCAATCAGCGCGGCACTGCAGGGTGGCACGTGGATGTGAAAGCCTTCCTCGCCGAGGTGCACCGTCTTAACATCCCGTGTGCCCTGAGGCGAGCCATCCTTGCTCCCATCAAAAGTTTGGCCAGCCCAGCTAAGTCCGTACCTAGGCAATTCAGACATAAACGCAGTAAGTCAAGTCCAGCAGGTCGCGGGAGCGGAAGCGGGCTGGAGCCATTTACAACAAAGACAAACATACTCTGCGAGGATGTTATTGTTGGGGCTGATCAGCCGTTTCAGCTGTGCCGTCGTAACTTGCGAGCCCTGCTCAAACCCAGACCAGTGGCACACACACCGCAATGAGGACAAAACCGCCTCACTTCATAGCTCGTGCAAAATCTGGGCCTACATCGGTTCATCAGGTGCAGCATCAAGCTCTGCAATGCACGCCTCACCGTGGGGGGAAGGATGACGATGCTGGCATTTGCGGTCAGATTGTAGTTTTTGTGAATGACGAGAACGCGCATTGCTCCAGTATCATCCTAGGCCGGCAGATAGCAATCAATCCAGCGCTACGTGCTAGAAGCCACCGGTCTAATGGAGCAGGCGTGCACTGGTATCGGGTGCCAGAAGCAGGCATTCCACCCACTTTGAAAGGCCAGATTTTGATACCCGACACGTTGTTTTGGATGGTGACGTTGATGAGCTTGGCGTTGTTACGAGTCGCCTCGGTGAAGGCTAGCATGCCGTAGTATAACGGGCGCACATCCGGCACCTGATTGAAATCGTGAGAACAAGCAGAGCTGTGGGGGCACGCAGGCAGTTTGTGACAAGGCAAAACCACCAGGTCGGTAAGAAAACTCACTTGGTCAAAAGCACTTTTATACCCGATAGCTGTGTAGGCGCCTTTGGCGGTCAAGTGCAGAAGGTAGAAGGTGGCAAGCATCAAACACCAAATGTTGAGTGTCAGTTCAAGGCAATTGCAGAGTTAGCCTCAGGGCTGGGGAGCTGTAGGATGTCTGCAAGGTACAAAACTCAAACCTTCGCCACCGCCATGAAAGTTGACCATGGAGACATTCACGGCAGCAAAACTGGCCATAAAGTCCAGCGACCATAGTGCTGATGCCTGTTGTCCCGCACAGGCAGGTGGGGTCGATTAGGAGAAAAAAAAAAAAAAGGCTGACACTTTGTGCGGCCAAGAGACGGGCCTAGCACGGACCATAACATTGGAGACGTTGGGATAGCCGCCGCATGATACACTGTTGCCCTCGCCCACGCGCACGGGGAGGTGGTATTGTGAGGCCGCCTAATTGGAAACCAAGCATCATGGTCGTACGCGGGAGGTCAAGGTCTGTGATGAGGAGAGTTGACATCCAAGGACTCTTGCTCGCAGCATTCTTCATATGCATGGCCGTACCTGCACCATCGGAGCCAGAATATCGGCTTGTCCTTGCGAGCTGTTTTCCGACATGAGGCCCGCCAAGGTCGGTGCCTAATTGCACGGGTCCCAAATGAGTGAGCGTCCCCGCCTCTTTTGTTGAGGTTCAACCGGGACACGGGATGATGGACCGGTAGATTCGCACATTGTCATGGCAGTGAGATTCAGGGTACCGGTGATAGCTGAAGGACGTCATGTTGGCATGAAACTCGTCGATGTAGGCACCGACGTGGTCCTTGAAATCGCTTTTACAGCAAAAGGTGCCGCCTTGGACACGTCCTATCCAGTGCCCCAGCATGATCAGAAATCCCAAGATCTCGCAGGCCCAGGCTGCCATAAAGCCAAATCCAGTGCCTACCCAAGGGCAATCCACCCTGTGCTTGCAATGCTTCCTCATAAACCTTGAACTCTGAGCGATAATCCTCATAGCTATAGTTCTGCGGCAAGATACCAGAGAGACGTGATGATTTTACGATTTGCGAGTTGGTTGTGATTGATGCCAAATGCGAGTTGGTTGTCCCTGATGCCCAACCACCAACCTGGGGCCGGTAATAATTGCTTGCAAAGAGGTCATTCTCATTGCCAATCTCGACGCTTTCAATCAGATCCCAGCCGATGTATTTGCCCATGGCTTGGACATGGGCCACAGCCCATGCGGGGGAGTTGGCCTGCAGCATGGACGTGCCCAGGACGAATCTATGGTGGGCACCAAGATGAACGCAAGTCGATGAAGCGGCATAGACTTTGGATGTGGCTGCAGCCAGCCGAAGAAAGAAGATGGGTATTTCGCGCATACTTGGTCTGGGCGCTGGCTTCAGCAAAGCTCTTGTAGGATTGCAATTGGGTGGCATTGATGTTGAAGCTCACATTGGCAGGCAAGGGCTTGTTGTCTGGGTTCCACCATGACTCTGGGTTGTTGAATGTATGCCAAAGAAGAGGGGCAGAGAGGTGTCCAGAATTCCCAATGTGAATATCGGGTCAGCTTGCCAGGGCGGACAGATCCATCTCGCCGTTTGCGTTCATACCTTCTGCGCTATTGCCACCAACGCGAATGGTGGGACCGTTGCTCTGACTTTGCTGCTGCAAATTCTTCAAGAGCTGGACAAAGCTGGGTTTTGGTGGATTAGGGAGCTGGCCGATCATCGTGATCAGGCCCGAAATCTACGCAAAACAGAGCCGTGCACATGAGGCTGAAAAAGCTACTGCCTGGTTGCTGGATAGCAGAGTCAAGGTGGCATGGGGTGGTGGGATGAAAGACGTGAAAAATCGCATGCCCCGTGGCTCATCCGGCTCCGATGCGCCCCCTCCTATCACACACGCACGCACGCACGCATGCACGCACGCACGCACGCACACACATCGATACGCCCATTCACACACCTCAAAGGAGAACGAGGCAAAGTTTGGCGGGATGGACTGCGTGTAGACATCCCCATTCATATCCACGACAATGTCTTGTCCATCCAGCGCATCATTGGCCGCGGCCGTTGTCTGTGAAGCCACACTGGTGCCAGACACAACCCCAAGCAGCACCACCGCCACCAACACCCCGATCAGTCTCATTGCCAGTGGCAGCCGACCAGTCCCGGCAGTCCCAGCAGTCCCAGGCATCGTCGCGCGTTTGATCGTGCCGTCACGATCGCAAAAACGACATCAACAACAAATATCTGACATTCGAATGAGACACAGAGACATAGAGACAGAGAGAGCAGAGACAGAGAGAGACAGAGAGAGAGAAACAGAGAGAGAGAGAGAGTTGGTTGGGAGAGAGAGAGACAGAGAGACAGAGAGAGACAGAGAGACGGTGACAGAAGCAGAGGCAGAAGCAGAGACAGAAACCAAGACCGTGGCAGCGGCAGAGGCAGTCGCATCTCGGGTTAATGTTGTTAAATTAACGGTTAATGCAGATATTCTTCAGAACATTAGTCTATACCACGTTAAGCGTTTTTAAGATAATGTTCAATGTTTTAGAGTTTAGCTTATTTGCTTTGGGCTCTTCGCTGCTTTTGGCTCAGCCTCGAGGAGCCTGTGCCTTGGTGGTCGCATGCATGCCGGTGTCCTTGCCGTGTCATCTGCTGCTGTTGGGATAGGCGTGTGGTGTGGCTGGCTGGGGCATCAGGGTCGTCGCACTCTTCCGATTCAAACTTTCGTGATTTGTGATCAGCCAAGACAGAGCATCGCAGTAGAGGAGCTTACGTGTCAGCGCGAGGAATGGTGTACACCCAAGAGCACTAGCGATTGAGGAGAGGGGGAGGAGGGCAAGCAGAGGAAGGAAAGGTAAGAGCGTGGCTTTATGCATTGGACGGCGGCGGCGATCTCGCTAGCAGCACCTCCGACGCCTACAGCATGGCGGCTCCACTTCCCCAGCCCCAGGCCCTGCGATTTGAGGACATCACCCTGGACACTTGCATCGGCGGTTTGTCCATTACTTCTCATGCCCCCCGTCCGCTGCCCCTGTTGCTCAGTCGGTATCTCATGATAAGTTGCTTGCTTGCTGCACGCCGTACGCTGCTACAGCTGGTGGCTTTGGTCGTGTCTATCGGGGTCATCTGAGGCTCAACGAAACGGACCTTGTCGTTGCCATCAAGGAGCTCACCGTGCCCCGCGTCGCCGACTTTGAGTCCAAGGTTCTAACCCACCGTCCTACGATTCTGTCCCTCGCACCCCTGTGTCTGATGGTTGGCAGCTCAGAACGATGATCCATGCCAACCCCCTGCTCCCTCCCCCGCCCCTCTGGCGTAGATGCGTGATTTTCGCCAAGAGGCCGAACTCCTCTACGGCTGCAGCCATCGCAACATTGCCTCTCTGTATGGGCAAGCCATCCGGTAAAGCGTCTCTGCCCTCCCCACTGCACGCACCCCATTACCTGCACTCAGTACGAAGCGTGAGCAGCTGCTTGACTACCACCAAAAGCCGTTCCTTAATACTGCTCTTGATGCTGATTCCACACCCGCCAGAGCCCCGAATTACTACCTCGTTTTGGAATACTGTGCTGGTCAGAGCCCATGTCACTTGCATTGACCACGCGCATCTTTGCGCCACCTCTTGCCACTTGATCTCTTGTTGTGCTCGCAGTGCTCACTCTTTTCCTCCATCCCTGGCTCCCAGGTGGATCACTTGGGGCGGTCCTGCGCACCCATACGCTGGAACCCGAAGTTATCATCGACTGGGCGAGTCAAATTGCTCAGGGCATGCGCTACCTGCATGATGAATGCCGACAGTGCATCGTGCATCGAGACCTAAAGTCAGAAAACATTCTCCTCTCGAAGGTGCGACGAGTGGGTTTTTGGAGACTAGAAATATCGCGATAGCAGGCTAAACGCAGAGCGGTTCACCTCTCACCTCAGAAGATGTGCACTTAATGGGGCTACCCAGGTATTGGATAACGGGCAGCCCGATCTGAGCCGCAACGTCGTAAAACTGTGCGACTTTGGCACGGCCCGTGCCTTTGCAGAGACGGTCGAGATGACGCAAGCTGGTACTTTTGCCTATATGGCGCCCGAAGTCATCAAAACGTCGCGCTTCGGCAAGGAATCTGATTGTTGGTCTTGGGGCGTTGTCCTCTGGGAGCTGATGCACTCGGAGGTGAGTAGCACCCATACATTTTCCTTGGCAACTTGGCGATTCACGGAGTGCAAGCGCCATACCCTTGCTCTCCTCACGATTGGAACAATACCCAACTTCACAACTGCCTTAGCGCCCATACGCCGGGATCCATGGCTTTACGGTCGCGTACTCCGTCTGTGTCAATGGCTGCACCCTCCCCATCGCGGACTCCTGCCCGCCGGATGTCGCACATCTCATGCGCGCGTGTTGGGAAATGGACCCCCGGGCGCGCCCAAGTTTTCGGACCTTGGTTCATCAGCTGGACGAACTACGCACAAGCCAGTTTGCTCGCAACGAGCACGATGCATTCTTTGATCTTCAGCAGGCCTGGCGCGACGAGTGTCATGAGAAGTTCAAACAGCTACACCGCACAGAGGAGGAAATTGCTCAGCAACACCACGCCCTGCGTCACCTTCAAGCCGAACAGCGCATCCAACAGGAGGTAAACGTTGCAACCTTGCACACCCGTGTGCCTTTGCTTCGAGTTACCACCCCCCATGTGTGTTGGGGCACGGGTTGTCGGGTCTGCCTGATTGAGGTTTGGACACCCGATCGGGGTCATTGCACGTAACAGGCGCTCAACAAACGTGAGGCCGTCCTGAGCAAGCGCGAGTGTGCCCTGCTTGAGCGCGAAATGGCCATCATTAGTGCTGAGTCACATAACGACGCTGCTGCAGGTGAGCGCGCGTTTTTAAAGCTGGGCCCTCGATCCTTGACTGGATGCTAGCCTCCCTCGATATTGTGCTGACCAAAACGCTTGCAGGCAACGTTCGGCGACGGCAAAAGCAGGGCCGGCGAAACAAGCGCATCGTTGGCCTATCCAAGGACGAAATCTCAAGACCCAGCGTAAGTGCTTGTATGCTGCTGCATGTGCACTAGGGGCCTACATGCTACATGTCAATGCCAATCGTGTCTCACCAACCAGCCTGTTTTCTAGGAGTTTCAACATGTGCAACACCTTGGTTTCGAAGACTCCCCAGTCGACAAAGCCCGCCCCATCGTGCCAGAAGGTGTGAACAAGTTCCTGAGGCATATTCATGACTTGCCCCGGCAAGACTTATCGTGATTGCTCATGGTGCCTGCCTCAATGAAACAGAAACTGATGACGCCAATGCGTCGGCGAGCTCGCGCACATCAATGGTCGAGACTTCACCCACCGAGCTGCGGGGTGGTTTTCGTTGGTCCTGGCTCAACCGGCGGTCTCACACTGAGGATGACATGCTCATTTCAGCGCCCTTCAAAAGTTCGAGCGACATGCTTGCTGCCAGTGTTGCTACCGACACACCATCTCGAACCCGCCGCAGCTGGTCGCGGCATTTCTTCTCTCGCAAGCTTGATACTGCCACTACACCGACCCACATCTCGTCGCCCTTTGGATTTGTGCATGTCCGTACAAGCAAAGACAAGCCCGGCTCGCGACACGACCACATGCCCTGGCTTCAGCTTCACATGACCCGTGATTCCGCTGAGGCTGCGCTGCAAAAACTTCCAGTGGGCTACTTTTTCATTCGACATTGCCAGTCCGTATCCTGCACTGACTGCTTGGCCACACGTATTTTGTGTTCTCTATCGAATCTGTGCTCTAAATATGATTATTATTTTGACTCGGCTTGCCCCCTCCCCCCCCCCTTTTTCACGGCCTTATTCGATGCGACGCCAACCGTACGTAGATGCCCTCGATGACAGGCCTTTAGGCTGCAACTCGCGGAGCCCTCACTCGAGCCATCTGCCAATTGTGTTGAGTCCCGTGTAGGTCATTTGCAACTCGAGGAAGCACCACGCGTTGCATTCAAAACACTATGGGCCTTGGTGCATTATTTCAGTCGGTTGCCCTTCACTCAAACCAAGGATGGAAAACAGTGCTACCTGCACATGACCACACCACGGAACTCTAGCCGCTCCAATAGCACGCAAAAATCAGTACACCGCCGGGCTTCGTGGTCCAAAGGCCAACCCAGCAACAACGAGAAAGAGGGCACTGGCAATGAAACTTCGGGAGGGGCACAGCATCGATACACCGACGCGATTACAAATGAGGGCCAGCGGCACAGGACGGACAACTCACAACTGATCTCGATGGACACGATCAGTGCAACAACGGCACAGCGTGGCCGAGTTCGTCTGCGAGAAAGCTCGAATAGTACTCGGCGACCACGCTCGCAATCCGAGTCGCAGCTCGAAGAGCTGGAGGGGACATGCGTGCTCGTTGCTGGTCCGCTGGTCACGCGAGATCTTGATGATATCGACCTTTCCCCACCAGCCACTTCTTCTCGCACAGGCTTACGGCGCAGCTCGTCGTACACCTCTTTACACTTGAGTGACCCTGCAGCTGCTGATCCTGGACAGCGCCGGCCAAGCCAAGCCAGCTGGCCAGCACCACAACCAGCCGGCTCCTGTTCCTCGCCGGCAGCCCAACCAAGCAAGCGCACTGACGATCGGGCTACACCATCCTCCGGTACACCCCCCACGGAGCCAGCAGAAGCACCGACGACATGGCGTCCGACGCCGCCGCAACGCACTGTATCTTTGAGCCGCTCACGCCTAGCCAGGGTGAATGGATCCGGCTCTGGCTCAAACCCTGCTTCAGAAGGCACCTCGATACGCCCCAACAGTCTCGACTCTGGAGAGAGTTTGGCCACGGCTGCGAGCTCTGAGCGCTCGTCCACGTCTACCGCAACTGCTTTGCGTCTCGATGCCTCCACGCCCTGGTCCCCGACTAACCCTTTTGCTAGCAGCCTCAATCGCCTCGATTCTTCCGAGGCCTGATGTAGGATCGGACCGAAACGCGTGGCCAACTGCTCTGCTATCCAGAGAGGAAGGAATTGACATGTGAAGAAAACTGATTGCAAATTAGAGTGCATGGCCCTTCCTCCGTCATGTGGGGTGTAACTTTGGCCGTTGGCCCAATACAATGTCGTGGTTCTCATGACCAGTCCCATGGCTGGTGTTGCTCTGATGACGAGCGCTGTAGACCTGCATAAACAAGTACGATACGAAGAAATTCAAAGGAGTCAATTCTTATGTGGCCAAACACCACCTCATCGTGACCATGTGTAGCAAGTCTTTAGTCTTGCTTGGCTGGCACAGGGGTATTCTGCAGCTGATCACGCAGAATGACGCCACGTGTCAGGCAGAGCTGGCTGAGATAGTAGGAACAGTGGACAATGTAATGGGCGGCTGCAAAGGGGAAGATGAACTTGTTCAGCGAGAGCACAAAGTCGGAGAGCATGAAGCAGAGAGCGCCAAAAGTCACAGTGCGCGCATCTGCCACGTTGGTGCAAAAAGCAGTGTAGAACATGATGACGATGGCGAGGCTGTAGGAAGGGATGGTGAAAATGAGATCGGCGGGGAGGACGGGCAGCAGAGTGGTGAGCGCCCCCACAAGCACGGTAAAGGCAATGAGGGCCCCGAAAGAAGAAGGGGTCATGTCCCGCGCGAAGAGCGCAATGTAAGCAAGGTGGCTGAGGCGGAAATACTGCACGCCAGCCACAAAGTGGCTCTCGTACACGAGCGCCCAGTCACCGGCCCCAGAGAACCAGATGGCCGCGATGAGCAAGGCCTTGGAGACAAAGCCAAAGGAGAAGACGCCCGATTGACGAGAGTAGCGAGCGCTCATGGCCCAGATGAGCAGGACCATCATCGGGAGGCACTTGACGAGACAGGCGAGGGTAAGATCATCGCCACCACCCGCCGTGAGGGCTGGGCCCATGATCGTGTACGGCACTGCAGACAGCAGCGTCAAACCATCCCACACCGTGGGTGACCAGTCAGAAAGCTTCATCCTGGCAGGGGTGGCAGGACAGCACCACCACTTGATCCACTGCTGCTGCACTTCACACACACACACACACACACACACACACACACACACACACACACACGCACGCACGCACGCACGTACGCACGCACACACAGAGAGACGAGAGGGATACGCTTCAAAGCTCGGCCACCGTCGACCAAGAGTGCCGTCACCCCCTCAACCCCTTCACCCACTGAGCGAGCTCAGATCTCGTGCCACAAGAAGAAAAAAGACGGATCCAGGCCCCAAGCGATAGTGTGGTAAAGGTCACGCTTTTGAGAATCAAAGTGTAATACATATCAGACTTTTGTTGCTGGGATGCTGAAGCAGGGGCTGCGGACATGGGTGCGGGCAAGACCTGGTGGTGAGGTAGCGGCAGCGAGACGGGTGGTGGTGGTGGTGGCGGTGGAACAACGGCGCGGGTGTGCGGGTAGGGGTGATGTGCGAGGAGGACGGGCTGTGAGGGTTGAGGTGGGAGATCAAGGGGTGGAGAGGCGTGCAGGACGGGCCAATATGTCGAGTGGATCGGCACAGCGGAGAAGCAAGGGGCGAACGGCGGCCACCCTCCCTTACGCCAATGTGCGCGTGCTGGATCCAGAGGGCGACTTTTTGTTCTTTGCGGCCGATAAAAAGGCGCGGTGGTATCTGGATCGAGGGCTCGCGCACCGCGAGGGTCCAGAGGAGCAGCACACAATTCGCCTCACCTTTGTTCCACGGGGACAGGGACGTCGCGGAGATACCTTTTATGAGAATCCTTTGCGCAACATCTGCGTGGCCTGTGGATGGGGCCCGACCCAGCGGACCAACGAAGCGACTGCTCCGGGGCCGCTTAAGGCAGCTTTGAGGACCAAGGTTCACACAGGGGGACCATCGGTTGCGCTACCGGCTTTGCCGCTGGTGCCTGGCACGGCTGAAGCTGATGCTGAAGCTGATGCGAGTTCTTGCGACGACGACTGGAGCAGCAGCAGCAGCAGCGAAGGCGACCCACACGGTTATCACAGTGACGAGAACGACCACGAAGCCGACCACGACAAGGATGAGGCAGCGCGTGCAATAGCCTGGATGCAAGAGCACGAGACTGCCGGGTTGGATGATGCCGGCACCGGGCTGATTCGCACTCACGTTGTACCACGGCAGTATCGGAGCCATTTTCCCCATGCCCTCAAGTCTCACAATAACCATGATGTCGTGCTCCTATGCCAGCCCTGTCATGAGCAGTTCAATCGTGCTGCTACCCAGCTGGACAAAACGCTGCTGTTACAATATGGGGTGGCTGCCGCGCGAGCCGACCCGCCGCCAGAGCTGCGTCAACTGCTTCGAGACGTCAGTGCCCTGCAACGGTATGCGGCTGCCATGCCTGAAGCCAAGGTAGCTCAACTGTGGCAGAAAGTGGAGGAGGCTATACCAGACGAGCTGCGAGGCATCACCCGGGATGATGTCCTTTTAGCTCGAGCAGCTGAGTATGCTCAGACCCAATTACGGGTGCTAAACGAGGCTCGCGAGGTACGTTTTGTCTTGTCATTTCTGTTGTCGCGCAGCCCCAGTCGCAGTCCGACCTCATCATTGCCCATACCCTGCGTCTACCACAGGCTACGACTGTTTCACCGGCCGAGCAAATTGTCCATGCCGTAGTGCACGAGCCCAATGCTGACGCCAGTCTGCAGGCGTTCTGCGAGCGCTGGCGCCGGCTCTTTGTCGACCGACTACAGCCTCGACATCTGCCGCCTGGCTGGGAAGTCACCCGCAACGACGGTGCCTGGGAGTAACTCGAGATCCCAGGTGCCGATACGGGACTAGACTCCTGCCCTGCGTCTCGGTGACTTGAAATTGAAATTTTAGGTCCTCGACAAGTGTTTATGTCCTTTTGCTTTGGCCTCTTCTCTGCTTTGCCCATCTCATGCTGTCGCGCCGTGCCCCCCAAAGGGTCACTGACTGCACAAGCATTCGAATACACACACACACACACACATGCGCGCCATAGCGCCATAGCACCATAGTACCATAGCACCATAGCACCATAGCACCATAGCACCATAGCACCATAGCACCTTGGATAGCACCATAGCACCAGCAGCATGACAGTTGCACACACACACACATCAGACCCACGCTCACACACACACATCTCTCTCTCTATGTGTGTCAGCAATTTGTTTGCAACGCGCGTCTTTTATTTCATTTTTCTTTCATCTTCCTTAACGTTGCCTCGTGAGCTGAGCTGGTGGGCCCTGAACTTGGCGGGGGCAGCGCCGTGGCTGTTCGCCTTCTTGGAGTGCGTGTGTGTGTGTGTGGGTGGGTGGCTTCACCTTGTCCAGCAGGAACAGGCTGGTGCCTTGATTCTTGTGGGTTTGACGTTCATGGTTCATTGTTGGCCAGTGGTGTGTCGCCAAGTTATTGCTCAAGGGCTGTGAGCATTGTCGGGCTGGTGTTTGCCCACTAGCACTGCGCCAATAAATCCAGGCGCGATGATGCCAACTGCGGATGCAGTGGCTGCCAAGTCTGTGCGCGAGTTTCTGACAGAGGTGCGTCTTGGAGCCTTCCGTTTGACGGCACTTTGAACGGCAGTGTGCCCACGTCATGCGCTGAACTTGACTTGCTTCTCTGCCCTGACAGAAGGTCATTGCTCAAGGCAAAGCCAACATGGACACGCTGGAGGGCTTCAAGTCGGCCTTTGTGACCATGGTCTCAGGAAGCATCTCCGATGGGTTTGATGACCTTGCCGCCTCTGTGCGCCGCTCGGGTGCTGTTGTCGGTGCGTTGTCTTCCGTCGCTGGTTGGCTTTCTTGCCAAGACTGCATCTTCTCACTGCAAGGCCCAGCTGCGTGCGCAAATATCTGATCTTCTCCCTTGCTTTTTTTTTAATTCCTTACATGTTAATAGGTCTTGGCCTGGCCACTGCTGGATTTTTCATCGGTGTTGGCCTGATCATGTCCACCGTCCTGGCTTCCTATCTGGAACACAGTCATACTTGGGGCGAGGACGATGATCGACTGCTCACGGGCTCCGCCTACCCCTCAACTCCGCGTCGCCCACGCTCAGCTGGCCGTTACTTTGATACTGACGAGCAGGAGGACATGGTTCTCACTGAGATTCAAGAAGAGGTTGAAACGGACAACTGATTCTTTCCACCACTCACCGTCCTTGCCATCGCCTTGATTTTTTCCCCTCAACTCAACCAACGCACCAAATATTTGTGCCCTTTAAAGCGCCTTTTATTTTCAATTCTTCCTCTGGCAAACAAGCGCGACTACATGTCGCTTCGGATCTGAAATGCCGTGCCTCCTGGTGTTCAAGCCACAGAACCAATCTTTCAATACAGTGGATCGTGGCCTTGCCAATCAATATGTGCCCCCGCCCAGCTGGCATTGGACAAAGCAACGACATGAGCTCCAACTGCGCGCGACTCTGCGTTCAAACTCCGGGCCCTGCCCTTCTCTGCAAGCAGACGTACCGAGTACGGATGCAGTGCTCCAAAGGCGTCAGTTGATCTGCGCGCCGCGGTGCTCCACCCAATGGCCGGGGCTCTACCGACATGCAAAGAAGGATTTTGAGAAAAAGAACAGCGCCGACAAACGACGACTGTGAAAGTTGTGCCCAATGTAGGGCGCCCTTCGACCCCCTGACGGGAAATCTTGGCCATCCTGGCCATCCTTGGCCTTACCGATTCGCAAGACGTAGTGCTCCTCCAGGCGAGCTAATTGATCATAATAGCATAATTCAAAGTCCTCATCATCCGCCCTAAAAGCCGTGCCCCACACGTGAAAAATAAAAGTGTGTATTGCGAGATTGCTTGCCAGGGATCTTTGACGTTATTGGTGCGCCATGGTACATCTGCTTCTTGATGCCAGATCTCGCGAAAAGATGACCGAGGACCAGACACGCAACTCACCAGTCTTGTACTTGTCGCTCGCGACTGAAGAGCACGGTAAAATGTGACTCTGCGCATACAATCCAAATAGGAAACGTCGGCCGCTTCAAATGCACCCCCACCTATACCCAAGTGCAGCATGAATGATAGTGGATCTGTAGAACGTCAGACGCGCCTTGTGTCATGCAAAATGCATCGGTCACGCTGAGCAAAGCATGGACAAGCATACCCGACAGGAGTCAAAGTGTTCAAAGAGTGACAGCAGACCAAAGTCGGCCGGGTCATCGATGCCCTTGAGCACCAGCTAAATTTTGAGTAGAACATGTGAGAGGCCCACAAGGCTGCAGCTCCGATGCTGTTCAGGCAAGAGTGTAGCCTTCTTCAAACAAAGCCACCTTCCCTAGCGGCCAGCATACCTGGTCATCCAGCCGCACTTCACCATCATGCACATTGGAGGTGGCTCGGCCAGTGACAAGCAGATTGACCATATCCTGACCATACCAAAAAAAAAACAAAAAAAAAAAAGTTCAGCCAATCGCGGCCGAAGCTCAAGACGAGAGAAGGTGGATGCACGGAGCACACGCACGAGCCCGACACCAACAGACCTGGGTGCAATAGTTGTGAGCACCAAGGAGAGGCCCTGCATCCACATCTCGATCAGCAAGAAGCCTAACAAAGAGGGAAGCAAACGTCAAGGGTTACGGAACAAGGTACGCAGGTCTTGGATACAATCGAAAGTCGGCTCAACCTGTGTTCTTCAAGGAACAAACCAAGCTGGGTTCTGGTGGGACCGATACAAACACACCTGTCCAGGCCACGACTGAGAATGGCGGAGATGAGAATCAAGATGATGCCTGGGGCTTGCTCCGCACACCAATCCAGCAACGCTTGGCGGACTGCCACCAAGCATGCGTCGTGGTCAGCGCACTCCACCGTGTGCACCTGACAAGCAATCAGGCGCCATGTACAGCACAGAGTCATGCCAAGTCCAGTTGGTAGCAGAGTTTGAGCAAATGATGGGAGGTTTGTGGCATTGGACGTGGCCAGTGCCAACGGCATGAGGCACCCATGGTAGCATCATTGTCGACTAACTCGTTCCAAGACGCCATCTCGAGCCCAGGTAGGCGGTAAGCCCTGGGCCTCGCTTGTGCCCAGCACCGCCACCACGCACTCACGGCCCTCACCTACAAGCCCAAAGAATTTGTAAGTCCAGAGAGTTCTTTGCAAAACAAAACCGTTGCCAAGTGGCAGTTATTACTTGGCATGGGGCCACAAGCATGAGCACGCACCACATCGCCAGAGCATGCGCGTCAGCGCATGGGTTAGCGCCTCCATCCTCTGCGCAGGGGAAGGTTGGAGGCCCACATGTGTTTCGAAGAGCAGCTCACGTAACAAATATGCCTGAACCACCGCAAGTACGCCACAGGGGCCACCTTCTTGCTGCCAGAGGCCGTAGGCCAGATCAGGGTGGGGGTGAAAGGCCAGGTTTTGTCGCAACCACGCAGGCACGAAGCGCGCATCTAAACGACCAAAAATGGCCTTTTTCAGCGCCTGCCACACGGTACGGACAAAGCGATGAGCGCGAGCCTTCGTCTGTGCTGCATTTGGATGATCTGCTGACAACAATAAGCCAATGTAGCGGGCGTGCCACCAACCACAGCAAACTGGCCAGATAATGGGCGGGCAGCCCGTACACCTCCACTGGCAACAAGACGATTGATCGTAGTGGCAGAGGGAGCACGAGGTATGGCGCGCGTGGGGCGGGTACTGGGAATGCCCACATCAACAACATCCTCTAGACCCAAATCATCAAGAACCAGATCATCAGGATCAGGACCGGGTCTGGACACGAGTCCGGGACGTCGATTGGCTGAGAACCCAGCGCGTTGGGAGTGCGGCGCTGCTGCGCGAGGACGAGAGGCTTGACTCAGGCCCGAGGTACCCGGATCCCCCAAGCCAGGACCACTGCTGGCCCCACTGGCACTAGTACGCATGCCTCGAGCCGTGCGCGGTGGGCGTGTTGACACTGGCGCGGCGACACTGGCATGGTGGCCTGTGACCGTTCGACCAATGTTAAGGCCGCTGCTGAGCGACATTTGCGAGATGGCTGAGGCCATTGCACCATCGCTGTTATTATCCCGCACTCCACCACTCGAGCCATGGCCTTCCTGCCCCGAGCTGACGCGCGTCAGGGTGGTTTGCGTGTCCACAAGTGCTCCGGTTTTGTCAGCCAAGTACTTGACAATAGTCTCCAGCAAAGAACTAAAGATGTGTGTGATGGCAAGCCAAAGCATTTGAATGAGGCCCGCTACTGCCGAGTGTAGCATGCCAAACGAAGACAACTGACCTGAGGTTTTGCTCCTTGTATTTTTTAGCAAGGGTCTCGGCCCGAAGGCCACGGATGAGGGCCGATTTCTGACCGTGGCAACGAGCAGCCATGAGTAACCAGGGCTGGCGCAGCACACGGGGCACAAGAAAACGCCACAAACGCGACCTTTCCAGTAAGCACACACCTTTGTGAGGGAGGAATCTGTTCGAGGGACCTCACGGTCCAGCGCATCGAGGCTATCCTTGAAGCCCTGTCGAGGCGGTGTCGTGAAGGAAGGTTTCGTCAAAAAAAAAAAAAATTGGCAACTATGTTGTTGTATTCGTGCAAGGAAAGCAAGGGGAGACGTAGCCACGACTTTTTGTGCTGCGACTCAAGCCTCCTGGCTGATTCCTTCAGCCTCAAGCGGCCCACCCACGCACATACACACCTTGCGCGCCAGGAACTCGCGAACCAGCCCTATGGCCAGCTCATCCAGCGCCAGCGCCATTCTCCCGCCGTCGCCTTCTCTCTCTCTCTCTCTCTCTCTCTCTCTCTCTCTCTCTCTGTCTCTCTCTCTCTCAAAAGTTTGAAAACGAAAAGACTCAAAATGTCAGATTCCAACTGTTAGATGACCGTTAAAAAAAAAAAAAAAAAAACTTCACAACAACTTCACAACAACAACTTCACAGCACGACCTGACCTGCGGAGCGTTTTGGGCTGGCGGGTGTGGACTCATGGTGGATACGACAAGGTGCAGAGGACGAGAGTGATTTGTTCAAGACTAGGCTTGGGGGCGAGAGTGAGCGCGCTAGTTTGAGTGGACGGAATCCCCTTTGGAGCAAGCGATGGCCTGAGAAGGTGAGCAGCACTTGCCAGCTGGCCATGGAGGCGAGCTTGCCCACCGAGTCGGGCTCAATCGGGCGGGCTGACGGAAGCGGCGGTGGCGGTGGCGGCGGCGGCGGTGGTGGATTTACGGGAGAAGACAAGGGGGAGCTGCTCTGGCGCTTGGAAATTCGGGCAGATGTGCTGGCAAGGCGCTTCTTGCAACATCGAGCCTGGCGGGCCTGGTCTGATGCTTTGGCAACTCGGCAGCGACTTGGTCGCCTCGGAGCAGAGCTAGTCGCTCATTTTTCCCGGCAACGCCAGCGCACTATTTGGCTGGCTTGGATCAAGTATACAGAACATCGTCGAGCACGGAATGGTGCGCATGCTGCTGCTTTGCAGCACCGTCGTCGTAGAGTACTCGAGGCAGCCTGGCGGGCTTGGCGATGGTATTATCGACGCCAACAACAGCTTGCGCCGCTTGCTGCCATTGTACGTCACCGATGCACGGAACGACATTGCCGCGCAGCGCTTTCCATTTGGCGCAACCACGTGAAGTGGCGACAGCACCTGCGACGGAAGGGGTTTGCTGCCATCCAGCTGCAACGCCTTCATCAGCTACGATGGGCTTGGCAATGCTGGCGCCGCTTTGTTGATGAGCAAGTGCGATCTCGCCTCCTGCTGGCCCAAGCCGAACTTGCCAGCGATCGACGCTTGCAACGAGTCTGCTGGTACCGCTGGCAGCAGCACCAGACAGACCGATGCCGAACTCGCACCCAACTGGCTCGTGCTTGCGCCCATAACCGAGACCACGCTTTACAGCGCACATGGCATGCCTGGCGACTCTTCATCCGGCTGCGCCGTGCCAAGATCGCACGGGTCAAGCTGGCAACCGACCATGTTCGACGGTATCGGCAGCACAGTGCTTTGCAGCACTGGCGGCAGCAATGGCAAGGCTTACACAAGCTGCAGGCCCGTGCAGACGCGCTGCTGCACTTGAGCCAGCTTATGCGCCGAAATGCCGCGTGGCATAAATGGCGCGCCAGCTACGAGTTGAGGGTTGAACGCCGTCTTCTGGCTCAACCAGTCTTCATTGAATGGCAAAGACAACAACGTCGAGCCCAGCTTGCTATCTATTGGCGAAGTTGGCTCGCTGCCATCGCCACTCGCGTGCGCCTACGCAAGAAGGCTCAGGTTGCAGAGGCGCTGTGTGACCTGCACCTACATCAGCGCATCTTTCGTGCTTGGTGGCACCATGTTCAAGTGCAGCAAACAGCACGTCGTCGCCTAGCTCTGGCTCTGCGACAAGACGAACTGGCGCTCCAGCGCCGCACCTGGCAGCGATGGTCCACTACACTTCACCTACAACGTCAAACCCAACAGTACCTGCGCCGCGCACGAATATACCGTCATGCGGTACTCTTGCTGGGCTCGCTCGATCAATGGCGCGGCCTTTTAGCTCGTCAGACATGGCTGCACAGGGCCCTGGCTCTGAGTGAAACTCAAGAGCGTCGCTGGACTGAAAAACGAGCCTTTGCGCAGTGGCAAAAGGCCCAGGCCACACGTGTACATGACCAACGGGCGCTGAAAACGATGAGGCGTGTGCAGGCCCACCTGACTCTCATAGGTACCTGGCACCATTGGCTAGCCTTGGTACGCCATCGCGTTGCACGACGCCGTGCCTTGTTGAATGCCGACGCTGTGGCCACTTTGAGTGTCGTGCGTGCCGCATGGCACCGTTGGGTTGCCCATGCCGCTCGTATTGCTGTCATGAATCGATGGCAGCTCGACCTGTCTTCCCAAAAAGCCCGTCATCGGTTGCATTACGCCTTGGTGCGATGGGTCTTGGCTTTTGCTCATGCTCAGCGCGCCCGCGCACAATCCCGTTTGGCACAACGGGCCTTTCATCAACGCCTCGTGCTTCGCACCTGGTTTGCTTGGCACGACTGGGCTCGACGGCATGCCGCTAGGCGCCGAATAGATGCAGCGCTTTGCGAGCAGTTTGCTCGACACCACCAGCAACAGACCCGATTGAGGGTCTGGCACCGCTGGCGTCATGCTCTAGTCTGTGTGCAGGAAAACAAGCGGAAGCACGCGCGTGCTGACGTTCAATTTTATCAGACCCTACTTCGCCGAGGGTTTTATGGCCTTCTTCTCTACGCTCGTGTGCAGCAGCAGCAGCGACACGCTCTTGCCCGGTGAGTTTCGCACCTTTCGGGCAAACAGTCTTGGTGTCCGACAAGCGCTTGACTGCCTGCTTACATCACATCATCACCACGGCACTCGGTCTCACGAATTTGCTCCTGCGCCTGATGTGGTGGGGTAGTGCCCAGGCGTTTGCGCGGAGGCGCCAATTGCAGTCCGCTTGGGTGCGCTGGCGGCAAGAAGCCAGGCGAATCGGTACACCAGCAGGTAAGGATTGGTTTCCGCCTCGTGGCGCGTGCTGGCGCCCCCACCCTTACCAATGGGACAGGATTTCAAGAGGCAGCAAGGGTATGCATGATAACTGGCTTGTTTCCACGACACGCACGTGTACGTGCGCTCTTGTCGCTTAGCTCATGTAATGTACAATGTGATGGCGCAGTACTCCATGCCCATGCATTGACTTTATGGGCAGTGATGCGCATGCGCAGAGGCCTTCTTCTTTGGCGAGCTGTCTGCCATCGACGGCGCCGGGAGCGCGCACTCATCCAAATTCCAGGCGCACTCGTGCCAGCTCTGGCCCCTAGGACGCCCGTGAGTGATGTCACCGGCCATTTCGACTTACTTGGAATGACTTGCCACCCTAATCACCACCCCCGATGTTTCAACTAGACTGATACAAGGGCTTTGCGGCCGTTTCATGCATGCTCGATGGACGGTCGAGGCAAGATCTTGGCGTTTCGGGCATGGCGAAGATGGCGTGCCCTCGTTCTTCGGCGGCGTCAAGCAGCGACTTGCTTGACAACTCAACCTCAGTCACAAACTCGAAAAGTTCGCGAACAACCGCGGGTGCCACATTTCTTTCAACTCCATATGCTTGGCGAAGCTGCAGCAGCTGAAGAGCGGCAAAGCCTGTTGCGCCAGCGGCTGACCGACATTCTGCAAGTCTGTCACACCCTCCAAACCGAGACGCCAGAAGACCCATCGATATACAACGCGTACATGCAAGCCCTCCATCAACTGTTAGACCAGGTGCGCCAATTACGGCATGGCTCTGGTTGAGCACCCCAAGCCTGGGCAAGAGTCTCCAAACCCCCATCGGGGTTGTTCGCTGTGCCAGGTGAGTACCAGGATAATTATTCGGTCATCTTATCGCTAGAAAACCCTTGTTGGTAATTAATTTCATGATGCAGCCCAGCTTGGAATAATATTATTGTGAAAATGTGGGCGCACACGAATCATAATGGCATGTTGTGGCGGAAAAGGGCCTTGCCACCAATACACGTGCAAGTTTATTTCTTCTGTGCTTCCTTGCACCACGTTCTTGGTCTAAACCTCCACTTCGTTGATGGACAAACGACGGGGATAAATCTGTGGGCATGGTCAGCGATCAACGTGAACATCCTGGGCCAGAGGGAAGACTTGGGAACACCAGAGAAAAAAGGCAGGTTGCCAGAGTCGCGCACTGGGCCAAAGTATACCGAGACCAGAGGACAACTACCAACCTTCGTGTCCGAAGACGGTCTACGTTCAGAGTCCGAAGACGGTCTGCGTTCAGAGTCTGTGGAGGCACTGGCACCCAGCGGCGCGTCCGTGTCAAAGGCACCGCTGGTACCGACACGTCGCCGGGTCGGGGGACTTGAAGCCCCCTCGGTTCCTTCCTTCACTGCTGCAAGAGGCTTGGTGCGGCGTGGCGGCTGGTTGCCCGTTGGTTCAGCCCCCCGCGGTGCGGATGGTGAATCAAAATGCAGCATGCTGCTTTCAATACTGCGCGAATCCCGTCGGCCCGAAGTCCCACTTGTACTGCTGCTTGACGAGGGACGGTCGCTCAACTGAGCGGTGGGCGTGGTATCCTGGGGCTCACTTCCCGGCTCTGACTCTTCGTCGATGGTGGACGAGCTGGGACGCATAACCCTGCGACGGCGACGAATCACTCCATCGGCAGCTTTGCGCACTTGAACAACCACCGTATTTTCGGGCTGCATGGGCGCGGCAGCTGATGTGCGTCTGGCAGAATTGTAGCTTGGTCGGTGGCCCGCAAAGCCGCTCTATCTCGCGCCGCACAAACATCTATCAGCTCGCGAATTCAGCGAGATGACCACCGTCACGGAGTGACAGACAAGACCGGCCAGCAACGGCCTACCTTGATGTGATTGAGGAGATCATCGACAACATTGTTCTCTTTAAACTCAGACCGCACGTCCTGCTTAGATTGGCGACGCGCCTCCGCCTGCTGCTCACGACTCACTCGTCTACCCGAAAGAGCAAAGAATAGTCGTGAGAAGGCCGGCACCAGACCGTGTAAGGTCAGCGTGAAACGCAGCGGCGGCGAGAAGCGGAAGCAGACAACATAGTTAATGGACTGCCATGGGCACGCACTGTTGCTCAGCGAGGCGTCGCTCTTCGTTTTGAGTGACGCATTGCAGAAGCTGCTCAATTGCGGTCGTCCAAACGGGCAAAAGAGAATCCGGCTCGGCGACATAAAACGCTAACACGCATGTAAGCGGGCACGACGGATGATAGATCAATGACAGGCTATTAAAAGCATCGGTAATCAAGGCACCCACACAGCGGTAGGTCAAAAGTCTCGGCAGACCACCGCCCGTACCAGCAAGATCTTTGGAGGAGGCAGTGATTGCCTCCAAATTGGAGCACAGCCGCTCCATATGGCGGGCAGAGCGACTCAAGACTGGCTACAAAGCCGACCCACCGCCCACAGTGCGAAGATGAGTCGCTCAGGAGAAAACGCGCTCGAGTTGACAGTCCGAGCAAACCCTGGACATCCAGAAACAAACAAAAAACAAATAACCAAAAAAAAAAAATTGAATAGAAAGCGTGCGGGAAGGCGTACCTCGTAGCGCTTGCTCTGATCGCGATCCTTCAAGCGCTGCTGAATTGACTTGGTGCGATTGGCTAAAGAGCGAATGTCTGCCGAAAGCGTGTCGAAGTCGACAGCAGGCAGCTGTCGGCGCATGGTCGATAAGATCAAAATGGCGCGGCAGCATCGACTGGCCCAAACTCAAGTATGCGTGATCAGCCCACCTTTTTGAGCTTGTTCAATAGCAAGGCTTCGAGTTCTTTCAACAGTTGTGGCTGCTCTTCGTTTAAGTTGGCAGCAATAAAGTTTAAGAGCGTAACTCCATTGGCACCCCGCACCTCGCGCAGCTTGAGTAACGATTGAAGCTAATACAAGCAGATGATTGAACACCACCATGCGTCCCAAAGGGGGTATGTGAGCCAGAGTACTGAGCAAGCACACGTCTCAAGCTACAAGTACAGGCACTCACCTTGAAGCCCGCGGCGCCACCTGCAAAGCTGCCAAAGTTGACAAAGTTGCCTGGAGGGTTTTGAGATCCGGATTTAGCGGCCCATCACCATCGGGCACAAATACGGAGGTACCCGGCAGACTGACGAGAGGACGCACCGATTTCGCGGATAAGAGTGAGATACTTCATGAGACACGGGCTATCGTCGAGGGCATCAAGGGCCGCTTTGAACGTGTTGAGATTTTCAATGTACTCGGTCTCCAGATCCTCAATATCAAACATCAAAATACGAGCCTCAATGTGCAGCTGAAAATCAGGGATCTAAGCGCAGCCAACACGACCAATGCGACAGTGTTAAAAATGTGATCGCAATCTATTCGTTTGTTTACCTATTTCGTGGTTGCTCTTTTGTGGGGGGAGGGGGGGGCGGGGAGAGGCCGGGGGTGCTCTTGGGTTGCAGGACATGGTACTGCGCTGGAAACATCTGTCAACATCAGCCAAACATCTTTGAGACTCGCCTTGATCAACTGAATCAGATATTGCTCAGCTGGGGCCAACTGGGCCACATCGCCATCATAGCTTTGCAGTGCTGCTTGTTCTTCGGGCGTGGGCAAGGTCTTATGCAAACCACGAACCACGGGCTCGTCCAAGACTGAAGAGTTGCCATCGCCATTTTTGAGCTCATCAAATAGCTTGGCCTGATCAATGTGGATGGTTTGCAAAATAATGTTGATGGCCAACGAACGCTTGGAGTCGAGAAGGGAGATCTGTGTGGCACAACCCGTTGAGTGAATGACCGAAAGAAGCTCGTATCAATCAGCCTGATTCGTGGGCACGAAGCAAAGCCTACCTTGGCAGGCTCAGTGCTCTCCTTGTTGGTTGTAGTGCGGTTGAGGGATTTGGCCTCCTTAGCCTTGAACTCGTCTTGCAATTCCGAGTAGTGCAGGTCAAGCCGCATGTCCGACTGACCATCGATGACGGCCCAAATGCTCCGCTCAATTTGTCGGGCATTGAGTTTGTTCCATGCCAGTCGCTTGCAAGGGCCCGACGGCTCGACAGCAGGTTTATACACCTTGGCGTTGGCCATTGATGGTGCGCCTGGCACACCAGGTGGCGGCGGAGGTGCACCTGGTGCGCCTGGCACACCAGGCGGGGGTGGCGGCGGAGGCGGCGCCCCGCCCGAACCTCCTGGCGGCGGTGGGGGTGGGGGTGGTGGTGCCCCGCCCGAACCTCCTGGCGGCGGTGGTGGTGGGGGTGGTGGTGCTCCTCCTGAAACGCCAGGTGGTGGTGGGGGCGGTGGGGGCGGGGCACTTGCTGTGGTACCTGTAGCCTCGGGTCCTCCCGGAGCAGGCGGAGCAGTGGGCGGCATTGGAGCCTTTGGCGGCTCTGCAAAGACATCGTTGTCCGTTTGAATGGCGATTGAGCTTCTTTCACCGTCCGGCACTGATGAAGTGGAGCGGACCGAGTTGCGCAGGTTATCCAGATCTTTCGACCCTTGTCGCTGCAAAGAAGACTTCATGCGCAATGAAGCAGTGCGGCTGCCATTCTAAAAAGAAGTAACGATAGGGTGGCAAGGAGCGGTCAGAGTGACTTCATGCACTTAAACGAGTTTTTTTGAAAACAAGGCGCAATTTAAACAACCATCAAGTGCAAGTGCAGGGGTCAGGAGACTCGTGCACGTACTCCACCCGAAAGCAAGAGACCTTTTTGTGCTTGACTGGCCACAAATGCATATACTGCCCGCGTCGTTGAGAGATCGTCTCCAGCACCGTACAGGGCTGATAGCAGCTTTTCAATCGAGTCTACGCTCATGCGCCCCCGTATTCACGATATGTCAGGACGGGTTTAAGACAACAAAGCGCAGCTGTTGTGGGAATCTTGCGACACACCTGCACAAGCAGCAGCCTTGGCTTTTTCCAGCACGGCTGCGAAGAGTGACGCGGCCGTCGAGGTGCCGCCACGCTTGGACTCGGCGCGCTTTGTACTCTGCGATACATGCGGTTGTTGTCACAATGGTTCAGCACCTGGTAATGTTGCACGACATGATGCCGACACGATCATGGGTAGCACGCCAAGGCTCTGAAGCTCACCTCGCGCATATCATCGTCTATGCCGCGAAAGAAGATCTCGAGCTGCGTGTGAAGGCCATTGTCGTTGTAGGTGTGTTCGGCCCGTTCAAACATCCCGATAATGCCCACATCCAAAAGGTCTTGTCTGCCGGTCGAGTGACGATGATGTTTAGCAAATGTAACCGTTACACGCTACCAGCATGATGTCAAGCAAGGACACAAGTGACAGCAGCATTGGACGTACCGAAGCATGACGCGCTTCTGGATGCCGCTTGCGCCATTGAGCATGGCGTTGACAAAACCAACTACCATACGGAGAGACTCGACCGTATCCGCATCTTTAAAGGTCTAATCCCCAGTCGGGACGTATGAGTGGTACAGGAGGCATTTCGATAGTGAGCAATGATTACCATCAGCAGGAGTACAGAACGCAATATTGACAGCCTAGGTCGCCAGCACCTTGCGGAGGGGTGATAGGTAGTGTGGCGTGCCGTATGTGCTTTGGTACCAGTCGAGCGCGCCCAACACGCGATCATGACCAATGCCTGAGTTCAGCAAAACACCAGAGTGCAGCGGGCACGTCAATAATCCAAAGTGAGACGTGGACGAGGGTTCGGGCATGACGGCGGGGGCCCAGGACTGAGGCTCAACACCGACTGGAGGCAAAGCGCACCCTCCTCCGAATAGATGGCCAAAACGGATAAAATCTCCCAGACAAGGCGGGAGACCATGTCGTGGTTACTGGACAAGAGGGCCACGAGGTTGTTGAGGGCATCCTCGGATTCGAGCAAGCGATCCAGAGTAGCACGATGGTTGACGATAGCGTAGACGGCGCGCACAACGTTGTTGATCTTGGTGGCGGCAAATATGCCCTCTTGGGCCAGATGCTACAGCAGAAAGTCGAGAGTCAAGGAATTGTCAGTGCACCCGGACCCAAAAGAAAGTGCCGAGGGACCATGGCATTATCGAGACCGTACTGGAAGCGCGGCCAGCAGGGCACCCAAGCCTTGATCTTGAAGAAACTGATCAATCCATCTAGGGGTGGCGCCCGCACCAGGCGGATGCACGCCGTGAGCCCGGGGCAGATCAACAAGGCAAGCAGGTCACTGTACATGTGCGTGTACGTACTGGCGGCGAGCGTGCGTAAACACGTCGGCGAGATCATCGTAGCTCTGCAGCGTGTGCCGTTCCAGCGCAGCTGCGATAGCAAGACGGGAGCCGACCCCCTGTGAGGCAAGGCCGAATCGAGCACTGTCTTATCTATTGGGTGCATCAGCTCACCAATCAGGAGTTGAGGCGGGCGGCGGGCAATGTGATGACCGACGCCTTGAACGCAGGTGGCGATGATGATACGGATGAGTTGCTAGAGTAGAAAGGACCGCGATACGTGGGCGGTGAGCTAGCCGCGAGCGCTTCTCAAAAGCTGTCAGATCGGGCGGAGCAGATTGGCTGACCTTCCACTTGGTCATCTTGAAATGGTGTGCTAGGACAGGTACACAGTAGCCAGATATGGAACGGGGAGGGTCAGACCCTGATAGATCTGCCAAAGTCCAGTCCAAGAAGTCGGGGTACAGACGCAGCGACAGGCGGTTTGCGCGAGCACACTTGTCAGAAGCGGCGATGATAGCAGCCTCAATGTTTGGCGATCCCGGGGGGGAAAAACAAATGCTTGTCCCACCTCGTAGCAAAGAGGACGCGAGAGTCTGACACGGCAACAATACTGCGCACGCAGCTGTATCTGCAGCTCAGTGACGGGAGGCAGCAGCGCGGTTGATGATGCTGATCACCCTGCACGCGCAGCAGCATTTTTTTAAAAAAAAAAAATCTCACTGAGACACACACACTCACACACACACTTTCGCTTAGGGCTCCTGTATATCAAACTTACCCCTCCTTTTTGTATTTGGCTTTGCCTTTTGGACACCAAACATGCAACACCAAACAGCTTTATTGTGATCAAGTAGCGGACGTGAAACGTAACCGCGCGCTTGCTCACACAGCAGCATGTGCAAGGAGCCAATGTCAGATAAACTCAATAATGACGCTTGGTAGCATTTTGTCATTCTTTTTTTTTTTTTTTTCCTTCTGATTTTTGTCGTCGTCGTCGCCATCGTCTTCTTTTTCTTTCTCGTCAAGGGTCAGCAGGCGTCGCGTGAGCAGGAGCCGCCGAGGGCACACGCGTTTTGATTTTCTTTCCTGGTCTTTCTTTTCATCAGACTGGTCAAGATGCCGAAAAACGGCTTTCTGACGCCCAAGGCCATTGGGAACCGTATCAAGAGCAAGGGGCTGCAAAAGCTGCGATGGTATTGCCAGGTGTGTCAGAAGCAATGTCGCGATGCCAACGGCTTCAAGTGTCACGTCATGTCCGAGCCACACCAGCGGCAAATGCTGTTGGTGGGGCAAAATACGGGCAAGGTGATTGACGAGTTTAGCCAGGAGTTTCGCGACGGCTTTTTGACCCTTCTCCGGCGCAGCTACAATACCCGCCGCGTCATGGCCAACTCGGTCTACAACGCTTACATTGGCGACAAGGAGCACATTCACATGAACGCTTCGAAATGGCAGTCCTTGACCGAGTTTGTCAAGTACCTGGGACGTGAGGGATACTGCCTGGTGGACGAAACACCAAAGGGTTGGTACATTCAATGGATTGACCGAGACCCAGAGACGCTGGAGCGGCAAGCGCGCCTCCGTCGCATGGAAGCCTCGCGCAAAGACGAGGCTGACCGTCAAGCAGAAATGCTCGAGGCCCAGATGGAGCGAGACCGCCAGGCCGTGGAGGCCAGCGGCGTGTCCATCGAAGAAACGGAGAAGACCGCCTTGCTGCGTGAGTCGGAGGATGATAAGGTCGTGGTCAGCCTGAAACGGGGTCCCACCCTGTTGGACGCGACCACCACGGCAACAGCGGAAGGCCCCTTGCCCGGCGCTGCGCTGGACGAGCTAGCGGGTGCCGAGGAGGATGCGCATGCTTTGTTGGGCATTAAGAAGAAAGCCAAACGCACGAGTCCAGATGCCCGCGGTAAGGCCCGGCCCGGCAAGCCGCTATCGGCTCTGGAGCAGATTCGCCTGGACAATGAGCGCGCCAAGCGTGCCAAGTTGGAGCGCGAGCAAGAGCGGCTTGCGCGAGAGCAGCAGGCGCGGCCCGACCGCGTTGAGAATTGGCTTTACCCAGGCCTCGTGGTCAAGGTGATCAACAAGAAGGTGTTGGATGGACGCTACTACAAGTGCAAGGGCGTTGTGTTGAGCCTGGTTGATGACTTTGTAGCCAAAGTCAAGCTGTTGGACAGCAAAGCCACCCTCAAGTTGGACCAGGATTTTCTTGAGACAGTGATCCCCAAGCCAGGTGGCGTGGTCCTGGTGGTCAACGGTCCTCTTCGCGGCGCCGAAGCGGTGGTTGAAGAGATCTTGGAAAAAGACTTTAGCTGCCGAGTCCAGCTGACCAGTGGCCCCACTAAGGGCGACACCGTTCGGCTGCCCTACGAAGACATTTGCCGCCTCGATGCCTAAGGCGTTTCGGAAAGTCTTGTTGTTTGCTGTGTTTTTTTTTTCTCCTCCTTTTCCCTCCATCTTGCGTGCTCTTCGTTGGCGCTGAGCGTCAGAGCACCCTGTGACACCTCCCCTCCCTTTTCTTTTTTTTTTTTTAAGTTGCACTGCTGATACAGTTGCCTGCCGGCTTCTGCTCACTTGTGTTGTGTTGTTATCATCATCATCAATTCTCATGTCAAACTCCCTTTCGGGTTTTTTTTCTCCACTGCACAAAATGCACACAGATGTGATCGCATCTATCTGTAACTTCCGTCACACTTTCGTATCTTGTCCCAATACACACTCGAACCCCCGGCATCACCCCCACGGCAACGGCTTAAAGCGATCTTCTGCTTTGCACACACTGACACTCATTGGTTTATTTTTTGAAGACGCTGGACGTCTCCCTGTCTCTCTAAAACTCTCTCGAAAACTCTCTCTCTCTCTCTCTCTCCTCTCTTTCTCTCTCTCTCTAGATCTCTCTCTCTCTCTCTAGATCTCTCTCTCTTGATCTCGAGATCTCTCTCTCTTGATCTCTAGATCTCTCTCTCTTGATCTCTCTCTCTCTCTCTCTCATGTGGTAGTTGTACTTTTCCTTTGTGTCTTTGCTCTTTGCTTCTCTCTTTCTCAAACCGACCAAACCAATTCATTTTCTGTCTGTCTGTCTCTCTCTCTCTCTCTCTCTCTCTCTCTCTCTCTCTCTCTCTCTCTCTCTCTCTCTCTCTCTCTGGAAGATTTTGTGCCGCTGCCGTTGTCTTTGCGAGTCAGCGGGCGCTGCGCTGGTCGTAGCGCTCCCTTGTGATCACTGTGGACGCACAGTGTCTTGGCTGGTTCCGAGACGCGCTGTGTTGCTCTCAGATGATTGCGAGTTTCCACTCGTAGAAAAGATTTTCCGCTCGACTCTGTGCTGGTCACGGAGCAAGTTGTCGATCGTTTGGCGCCGCTCGTCTCTCTGGCGATCGCCGTTCCCCTGCCGTTCCCTTCCCGACGAACCCTTGTCCTTCCAGCCTCCCTGCCGTGCAACACATGCACTTGACACCCACACACACATACATATATACACCATCAAGATGCTTCTTCCGTGGATGCCCCCCGCTCGGGTCATGTATCGCGGTACGCTCGCTGGCCGATACATGGCCTATCCCTTACGCGCCTGTTTCACCGCATCGCCCTCACCCCAAACCTTCCCGGTCATGTCTAATATAGGCAACATCACCGTCCCCGAGAACCCGGCCGGCTTTGAGCAGCAGCACCTGGTGGGCGCCCTGGTCACCTTTAGCAATCCCCAGCTGATTCCGCGAACTGTTCGTGAGTGGCGAGCCGAGCTTGCCCTTCAAGTGGACCCCCAAAACAACCGCATCAGCCTGGTGCAACCAGCTAGCCGTCCCACCACGGCCCCGGCAGCCCTCCCTTCAAACACAACCGACCCTGAGGCCACAGAGCTTCCCGATGGCGAGACTAAAGCATCGCCCAGCCTGGCCATCGCGACGTGGGATGCCCACCATCTCCTCGGCTTTCACTGGGATCAGGAATCCCTCAACGCCGTGCTTGCCATCTGGACCAGCGTCAACAATTTTGACATCCACAACCTGCGCTTTGTCTCTGCGAACGACGCCGATGCCTTTGGCAATCTGGTTGCCGCCTGCATACAAAACAAGTCATCCACCTCTTCGGGCTCACCCACTCGCTCCCCGCGCCGCTGGTCGGCCGTTTTCCACTCCCTTTTTCGCCTGGCTGCAGGCAGCCCCCGCCCTACCACAGACTCGGCCTCGTCCTCCGCTGCTGAGGAGGACGATCTGGACTACGACGGCGAATCCTCCAGTAACGAAGCCATCTACGACGTCCGCACGCTAGCTGCCTTCAACGAGGAGGGACCGGGCATTTGTCGAGCCCGCGCCCTTTCCCTCTCGCGCAGCTGGAACACAGACAGTTTTTCCGGCACGCTTCCCAGCGGCCCCGGCATTAACCGTCACAAGGGCTATGGCAAACGTCAAAACGTACCCAAGCGAGCTGGTAAACCTGCCAACGCCCGGGCCGCTGCTGAAGACCGCCGCAACTCGGCACCTCCCGGCCTCTGGCGCGATGGCACTCTCAACGCCCTCGACAGCCTTTCTTCGCGTCAAGACTCGGGCTGTTATGGCTTTCACGATGAGAACGATGATCTCCTCACCATCGATGATGTCGAAGAACCGCTTCCCATCCTGGATGCCGATGGTGAACCCGACTGGCTCTTTCGTGAACTTGATTGGGAGTCCTCGGAGTTTCTTCTGGACGGCGAAGAGCCGGGCACTTTTCTCATCCGCGCTCAGGATGACGCACTCACGCTCTCCCTCAAGCGCGTCGATGCCCGCATCGAACACGTGCCCATTATGCAGTCCTCTGCCACCGGCCTTTACTACCTCACCGGCCTCAAACGCGTCTCACGCAGCTCCGTGGCCCACCTTGTCTCCTATCTTGTTGCTGACCATGTGCGCGTTTGTGGCTCCATCCTTCAACGCCCGCTGCACGTCAGCGTGCTTTAGTGAACTTTGCATGTCCTTGCTTTGTCTAATAGTTCCCTGTGCTATTAACTTGTTGATATATCCCTAGATTTGTTCGTGTGTCTTGCAGATTTGTTCGTGTGCCTTGCGCCTCTGTGTCTTGTTAGCTAGTGTTTGCTGCGCATCCCCCGATGTGTCTTTTGATTACTTTCCGATTTTAGTTCATTTGCTTTTGTATTAGTTTGCTTTTTTTTTTTTTTTTCCTCTTCTGTTTTTTGCTTTGGTGTACCACAGCATCAATTGTTCGTTGCGGTTGCCACGATGCCAGTCGGCTCCCACAACCCCTGTCGATATACTTGAGCAGACTCAAATGGTTGGGCTTGGCTGGTCCGTAGCCTAACCGGGCGAGTAGACTTGCTCTCGACACAGCGTTTGTTTTTAGTCTTTTCTTGGCCTCTTGACCTGTGCCAGTAGTGCGGGCATACGAGCCCCTCGGTCCAATTTTTTGGTCGGTCTGAGCGGGTTGATCCTGCTCTTCTTATCGTGTGATTGGTTTGCAGAGCCGTGCAATTCTGTTTGTCGGTGCCGATCGCCCCCGACCCCTTCCCTTGTATCCACATCGCCTCTGCACACTTTTTTTGTTTCTCCTGTTTCGGTTGTTGTGGTGTTGTGAAGAATACCATGCCGTGTTGTAGTTTTTTTCTTTTGACGTGAGCCGCGCTCGCTCTCCTTTTGCCCTTGCAGCGTGCTCCACCAACGAATCCTCGTGCCGTGTTGTCTCGCACCAATCTCCGCACCCCCTCCTTCCCCAATTTCTTTTTCCTCAAGCAATCGACTCTTTTCTTCCATCTCAACGTGCCTCTCCGACGCAAATTACATGTATCATCATCAAAACGACGTAACGTTCAAAAAAAAAAAAAAATACCAAGGATTGAACGTGTCACATATCAACGCCTCTCTGGTCTGACTGTTACGAGCAGATTACGGAGCAAACCGCAAACCCAAATATGAGCCACAACGGCTCGACAACGGAAGAGGCCGCCTCGGCCACGCAGGGCGGCACAATGCAGGCCTACTTTTACCAGGATCTGTCTGACCCTGCCTCTTCACCGGCCGTTGCTGCTCGCGTCAGGGTACCAGACACCGACAACGAGCAGCAGTCCGGAATGACGCTCTCCAATCCAAATCACATCCGCCCCGATGGGCCGCGAGTATGCGCCTTTGTCGGGCCCGCGCCCACTGATCAAGAACTACAATTCGTGGAGCAGATGGGGGCCACTCATGTTTTTACCTGGATTGAAAAACTGGCAGACATGACCCCAGCACGTCTGGCTGCTCTGAAAGATGCTGTCGAAAGGCGTAACCTCCAGCTCAACAATGTAGGCTGTCTGGAGCTGGCCAAATGCCCCGACATCATCCTGCACACGGATAACTACGCGGCACGGCTGACTCAGTTTGGATCCATGCTGGCCATGCTAAGTGAGGCTGGCATTCACACCACCACCTTCACGTGGGAGGCATCAGGCAAGGTATACAGCACGGGCCAGTCTGTAGTGCGAGGTGGTGGGCTGGGCCGTCGGTGCAATGCGAGGCGCCTCGCCGCCCTGCCCGTGGACCCCAACGCCCCCACAGACGAACAGCTCTGGAGTAACCTAGAGACATTTGTGCGTGACGTTATGCCTTTGTGCGTCCAGTATAACATGGTCTTGGCCCTCCATCCGAATGACCCCCCACTACGGCATGTCGGCGGCATGCCCTGCCTGATCCGCTCCTTCTCTGATTTTGAGCGTGTCTTTGCGCTTGACCACTCGGGCCGCCTGCAGGCCGAGTTCTGCTGTGGGACCATCTCCGAAGGTCTTCGGCTTCCCCCTGCCCATGATCTCGCACATGTGACCGCGGATCCCGCCCTGCTGGGTTCATTTGGGGACTCGTGTGAGGCTCTGTATTCGAATTTGGTCGCTTTTGTTCTGCGTCAACGCGTAGCCATTGTGCACCTGCGCAACTGCACAGCCTGCTTGCCCGACTTTGCCGAGACCTATCTTGATGATGGCTTTTTGGATATTGCCCACATCATCGACCTTTTGGTTCAAAACGGCTATCGAGGCACCATCATCCTCGACCACACGCCACCTTTCAATAGTGTGGACGGCGCGGCTGCAGCCACAGCCTTTAGTCTGGGGTATGACTTGCGCTAGTCGTTCCGTCTCGTGCAGCAAAGCTCCACACACTCTGCTCCTTACCTACCATGGTGTGTTCACAATCATGCTTCAGGCTCAACTTGCGCGATTTACACCATCGCGCTTCCCTTGACCTCTTAGATACATCAAGGCTTGTATTCGCTGCGCCCAGCGAGCGCGAGCGCGCACTGCCAAGCGGTCCCCCACAACGCGGACCGGTGACAAGTCAATGCCGAGCAAAAAGACTGCAATCGCAGGCACCGATGATACTCATTAATTCGAAAGGAAATAAGAAACAAGGCAAGAGAACCAAAATCATCCTCACAGAGCGATCCCAATTGACCAAGCCTACTCTGATGCCGCTTTCAGCTTGGCCGCTGATGCGTTCTTTGAGGCACGCCCCCACCTCCCGTTGCGTGCCGACGACCAATGAAGAGTGAGCTGGTCGAAATTAAGCTGCCTAGCCGCATCGCTCAGCCATTTGCAGAGTAGGCATAGTCGCGGGCAAAGGCTTCCAGTGCCTGGATGGTATCGCGTGGCACACTCGGTCGCACCTGCTTCATGGACGACACAAAGTCCTTGAACAATACAGGGCGAACCTAAAGCGCACGCAGAATGGCAAGTGCAACGCAATGAGCTGTTGTGCACCCCCACCAGAGATAGCGGAACGAATGAGGCCAGCTGAGTTACACCAATAGCGAGGCAGGCGCAACCTACATCACTGGCAGCCACATCCGCAAGTCGCGCACCCAGCTCGCGAATCGGGCCCATGGCAGCATCTCGCACCAAAGCTGTCAGATCGGAACAGGAATAACCATCAGTCATTTTAGCCACATTTACCAGATCTGTCTTGGAAAGGTTGCTCGAGACCTAAAAGTAAGCAGTGAAATCCAAAGTCCCACCTCATGAGCGGGCAGCATTGCCAGAGCTTGGTTAAACGCACACACACACACACACACACACACACACGCACATACACATGCACGCGCGCAGCACGTCCTGACTACCTTTTTCAATAGCAGCTCGACAAGACCACAACGCATGGCTTGATCGGGCATGGGCACATAAATGCGGATGGGAAAACGACGAATTGCAGCTGTATCAAGCTCGTGCGGGCAGTTGGTAGCGCCCATGACCAGAACGCGATCATCACTAGAGGAGCCCAGACCCTCAAACTATCCTCAGGAACCGATGCATAAAGCGTTGCAACATGAGTGAGTCGTGTGCACCTGATGTTTCAAGTGTGAAGAAGCGAGATGGCACTCTCATATGACATCTGAGGCCAAGAAACAGGACGCAAGCACCGTGCCGATCGGCATGAGCAAAGACGCAGGATTCCCCATCACCTGGATGAAAATCTCCGTCTTCATGCGTCGGGACGACTCTTGCTCCTCGCTATTTCGCGCCATGAGAAGCGAATCGATCTGCAGATGGCCACAGCAAAGCGTCAAAGGCCAACGGCATGTTGCGTGGATTGCACATGCTCTCGACAAGCGTGCTACTGTTCGATAGCACAGCGGCGCACCTCGTCGATAAAGATGATGGAAGGCTGCAATTCGCGGGCCATGGCAAACAGGGCCTTGACAAGTTTTTCACTGTTGGAGGTGCCCCAGGCGTCGATGTAATCATGAGCGTGCATGACGAGCAATGACGTCTTCACGCCCTGATCCAACTAACCCCTCGCCCACCCATTTCGAGGTCAGGCTCGCTGCAGACAGACTGAAAAATTTTGCTTGAGCTTGATGAGCAACTGCCTGATGGTGGTGAGCACGCAGCAGCATCAGTTCTGACATCCGACAAAAGGGGTGTGTTTTACAAGTCCAAAAGAGAACGAGGTGCGCAGCCCAAGGATTTAGCTCACCTTGGCCAACATGGTTTTGCCGTTACCCGGTGGACCAACCAGCAAGATGCCTTTGGCAGGCTTCCGCAGGCCCGTGAAGAGCTGTAGGCACCAGGGCAGAGCAAATTATAAAACCAAATAGAATTGAGCAAGGCTACCGGAGCGACAGACTACAATGGCCATGAGCTTGAACATGAGCGGAGCGGTACTCACGTCTGGTCGTAAGCTGGGCAAAATCACAGTCTCATGGAGGGCCTGCTTTGCTTCCTTGAGTCCAATGATGTCGTCAAGTGTAACGCCGGGATCGCTGCACCCAACATGCGCGTGCACACACGTATGAGAAGGCCGTGTTGACTATGCGCGGGCGCCGAGGCAAGAGCGGTGTTCTCCCCACCTGTCGACAATTTCGTTGAGGATGCGATGCGCCATTTTATGATCAATGTTCTTAAGATTGTCATGCTTGGGTGGAGCTTGCTCAGGCTTGGCAGCCATGGGCTTGGCAGCCAGGGGTTTGGCAGCTATGGGTTTGGCCTTATCCACGGCTGGCGCCGACGATGCACGGGGCGTGACGCTGGTGGGAGTGAGAACGCGTCGGTGGGATACATCGCTGGACGCCGAGGGTGCGCGGTTGCGCATGAAAGAGGGAAGCTCGGTATGTGGGACCATGGCCGGCACCGCTTGATGTTGACGACTTGTGTTGGGACTCATCCGACCCTGCTTGCCTTGACCTTTGCTGCCAAGCGTATGGGTGGATGTGCCTGCCTGGTCGGCAGACAGCTCAACTACAAGGCATGTCAAAAAGAGTGCCATCATAGTCAGCACGTACGAAAACGCGTTGTTGCACACAAAAAAAGCGTCAAGCACGGATGAAAGAAACGACACTCGGTCGTCGCTGGAGCGAGCTCTGAGTTGCGCATTGACTGACCAAGTTGATCAAGACGGTTTCGCGCATTGTCGTAATTTTGGCGAATTTTGGCCTGCAGCTCACGGGCCTCAGCCGCGTGGGGATCTGAGCCCCAAGAGCAGTTGACATGCGGCGGATAAGATGGCAGGGGATTAGGGAAAAGAGAGCACGGGAGAGAGAGAGAGAGAGAGAAGAGAGAAACGGCAGAGTTCAAGCCGAGAAATTAAACCCTGCTTACCAGATGCATCAACGGGGATCTGGAGAGCGGCGAGATACTCGACGAGGCCTTCAGTGTAGAGTTGACGAGCATGATGTAAATGGCCTTGCTGATCCTCATTGAGGGCGGCGACAAGGTGCGTGTACCCTTGCCGAGAACGCCGCTGTATTTCCTGCAGTTGCTTGCTGTTCGTAGCTGTCTGAGCAGCTGGGTTGGTTGGTGGCGCTGCGGTGGCCATGGCAGCTGGCACACCCTCGTTCAAGGTTTGACTCTTCGAAATGCCGTTATCGGAGGAGCTCGGCGCACCCACAGCTGCAGCCATGATTGATGGGAAATCCACGATCCAAAGGTGAGTTCTTTGGCTCAATAGAGGCAGAGAGAGGGTGCATCAAAGCAGCTGGTAAGGGAGAAGGGAGGGAGTGTCTCAAGGCCGCCAAGCATGAAGCTCGGGAACCGAGCAATGCTGCGCTTGAGCCCAAACAATCAAGCCTTCCCCTCACGACCGCTTCCGCACACGCACCGCCAACCGAACTGGAAGTTTGAGTGCACACGCAACTCGCTCCCCCAGCCAGAGGCGTGCTACGCTCTCGCCCTGAATACATGCCAACAGCACCCCCCACCCCCCACCCCCCTGTTCTTGTTGCTGTTGTTGTTGTTGTTTTACTTTCCAACCTTGCTCCTCGGTGCAGGCAGGGCATGCGGAAGCTTTTGCTCACTCATGATCGCCAGGGTGATGGGCTGTGGGTCGGAAACCAGTGGGCGGCATTGAACGCACCTGCTGTACCAGTCGTCGCATCCGTCGACTCAATCTGTCCCATCACGACCGCGAACGAGCATCGTCGCCACGTCGCACACGAACCTCCAAATCGCTCCCCACCTCTATCTCCGCAAGCCCCTTCCCGCTACCAGTCCTACCTCCTACCTCCCCCCGCTAACCCCCAAAGCCCCGATAACAGAGGACCTGCCAGCAAGAGACCCGTCAGGGGCATCAAAGTCCTCCAGCGTTCACGGCGCTGCCGCTCTGGAGGTGTCGTGGTTGGTTCACTGGAACACGAAAAGCTTTGTCCTTGGTCGTAAGCTTGATGTTTAAATGATTACAATACGATAAGTGCCTCAATTGCGAAGGAAACCAGGCTTATAAAACCGTTGGAACATTAGTGACTACTACAATTACTGCTTAGTAAGATGCATTAACTTATGCACATGTATCGTGACACCTTGCATCTGACGCACGCACACACACACACACACACACACACACACACACGTATGGACCGAGTCTTATAGAAGATCAATTCAGTTCGTCGGCATGGGGGAAAGAGGAGGATGAGCGCAAAGCGCACTTGAAAAGGCAGCAAGGTCGTCGAATTGCAACCATGGACGGTCAATCCAAGCAGAGTTGATGGCGTCACGCAGCTGGTGGCTTCGAGGCAAGACGATCCCGCTCAACGCTTGACCAGGGCCGCTCGTATACTTCGTCCAGCAGGTGCTCCCACTCATACACGTTGTCCGGGTTGAAGGGGCTATGCCGCCATACGCACACTTTGGCCTGTGGAAAATAGCAACTCCCACGTGAGATCGTTGAGCACATACGCGAGAAAAAAAAAAAAGCTCAAGCACCTTAAACTTCCCCTTCTGAACCAGTCGCAACCACACATCCGGACCCAAAGCCAACCTGTGCATTGTAGGCTTTCTGTTGCTGGTCATGCTCTTGCAGGGCCTCACGTAAGCGGTCGCGCGCCAGATACCCATCGTTTTCAGGATAGTAGTAGCCACAATCCTACCGCCAGCCCCGCCGGATGAGGGACGGACCTTGAACTTTCGTACCGGATTCCAACCCAATAACGTACCTGAAAGTAGGGTGAGTTGTGAACCAGTGGATAGCCAGCGTAGAGGGCTTCAATATACAGATAGTTTAGAGCGCAGCCCCACTGGTGCGACAGCACCACGTCGGTGTGAGAAGAGAGAAACCAGGCAAAGCGGTATCGGCTCTCAAAGAACATTTTGCCTGCCACGTAAGCGCTCAAACTGCGCTGCACAAACGCCTTGAAGGCGTCCTTTTTGGCCAAATGATCGCTGTTGGTCACATAGGCCTTGCTGAAGCTGTCTGGTGCCTCCCGGTACAACAATTCGATCGCCGTCATTGGAAGCACCGACGTCTTGACCACGTTCAGGTTGGGTTCAAAAACGGCAATCGTCTTATTAGCCCGCGGTTCATAGTAATGGCGACTCGACAAGGCCTCGACAATGTAGTCAAAATAGCGTGGTGACCACAGATAGGGTGCAGCAGAGACTGGTGACTCGTAGATGGTCCCGAGCCAGCCCTCCGAACTAAGGGGGTCAACAACCAACCGTCGACAGGCCGCAAATCAGTTGACCATCGAACGACAAGAGAGCCGAACAGTCGAAACACAGCAGAGGCTGTAGCCACAAGCTGGCTTTCATCAGCAATTCAACCCGACGTTGCTTCTCATCGCGACTTTATCGCAAAGGCGCAATTCGAGGATTGCGTCTTTTGGGGTAGCAGGCTCACGGCTACACACTTGAGAAAGGATGGCAGGGTCCAAACTTGATCGTAGTGGCGCGTCTCAAACATTGTAGTCTTTGACTTGTTGTACAAGATGGCCTCGACATTCATGATATAATTGTATCCGCTACGGTATGCGGTCACCTAGCACAGGAGCCGGAGCGCAGGATCGGGCAAGGTGAAAAGACGGATGGGGCCGAGGTTCGTGAATGAAAGCTCAGTGAAGCGCCGAGTGAGATGGCTCACCTTGGCTCCAGATCGTTTGAGGTCATCCACTTGATCCTGGCGCATCTGCAGTCAGTGGGAGGACACCCAATTGCAGAGCATCACGACAAGTTGTGAGTCAGTACTAGCAATTGTAGGTGGCCCAAAAAAAAAAAAGCATGCAACCCCCGACCAAAGGAGAATGGACCAGAGTCGGGCTGGAAGCATGGGCAGCAACGGGTCGAGGGCCGGCCTGAATACCTGCATGCCAATTTCAATGACAACATCGAGCTTCAAATCCAGCGCTTCTTCAAGGCGAACCACGCGCATGCCGTCGAGCTGCCAATCGGCTGACATGTTCTGTTCGCACGACAGCCCACCACAGTGACGCACAAGGCGGTTAGTGCATCTGGGGCCGTTGTGCACACGCCCGCTGGCCATGGCATTGTCCTGTCACCAAGAGAGCATCGAGAAGCGATTTGGGTTGAAAGACCTGCCTTGGCTTCACCCTGATCCAGGTTGATGAGATAGACTTGATGCCGGCCCTCCTGGGCCAAAAGCTGGTGCAAAAAGAACGCGGCTTGCCGCGCACCTGTGTGCCGTACAGTTGCCCAGCCGGATGGAGGGCAGGCCAGAGGGAAATGGCAAGGCAGCGGGTGAGTGGGGAGGTTGAAGAGGCAGCTTATAGAGCATGCCTGACAGGGGGAGTTAAGCGGTGACAGGTTGACGGGGGCCAACAATCGCGGGCGCTGCAACCAATGGTGTAAGCGCTGCAGCGGATCCTCACCATTGGTATACATAGAGACCGCACGGGGTGGGATGGAGATGCAGAGGCCAACTTTGTAATGGCGCAGCGGTGGGCGAAGGGCTGGTGTTGGCTCATCCCACATGCCCGGCGCACGGGGCTTGGGGACGGTTGGTGGGGGAGATGGAGAAGCTGCACTACTAGGAGGTGCATTCTCCGGCACTGATGCTTGGGGATGATTGGTGCTGAGAGGTTTGACACTGGACGATGGTACGTCATCCGAGACTGCTTGGGCTCCAGGCTGGTACTTCAGCTCGGGCGTTTCAGGCTGGCCCTCCGGTGGGATGATTGGGGGCGCAAGGCTCGGATCATCGGCATGGGCGAGGAGATCAAAGCCACCCACGAGCAAGAGGAGCAACGGGAGCAGGAATCTGAGGCTGTACAGCTGAGGCGTGCCCCGGCCACGAGGCCGACGGGGCAAGCCATCGTTGACCATGGCTTCGAAGCGGCGAATTGACGCTCAAGAGCGCCTGCAGAGGGAGGGAAGGAGAGAGATTGATTGAGAGAAGGACACACCCAGCGGCTACCTGGCGGGTCGTGTCACCGCACGCCACACGGGCATTGTCTTCCACGACCTTGCTTGATTTGCAAACGAGGGGGGCGCGCGCTGATGTCAAATCTCAATACCAAATCGCAAATTCACATGTCAAGCCAAATTCGTTATTGTATGCGGCTGTACATGAAATTCGATCGATAAAAGAGAAAATTATTGTCATCATCATGGGCTGGTGGCCTCTTGTCGCGAGAGCACTGCGCTTTGAAAACGGTGGTCGAGGGGGTGAAGCGGGGTTGGCATGGCTGGAACAAGAGTCATGTCTTTGTCATCGAGACCACAAGCTTTCAAGTATAGATTTTGATTCGAGCGCAAGCAACAAAGTTCGCGGGAAAAAAAGAGACACCCAGGGAGTAGAGCAAGAGAGCAGATAAAAAAAAGGTCGTTTACTTGGTGAGGCCAGCCGAGACCTTGTCCAGGATCTCGTCATAGTCGACCTCGGAGAGCTCCGTGGCCTGGACCTCGGTGTTGATGCCGACAAGCTTCTTGCGGAGCGATTCCTTGGACGAGGCGAAGAGCATCTTGTCCTTGATGCGGGCAGTGTCGGGGCACCACACAACAAAGAGGAGCTTGTTGCGCTGGCCACCATCCGCAAGCTTGTAGTCAAAGTCATAAATGGCGTAACGGCACGCTTGCTGCAAGAGAGGAAAACGGGACGCAGCAGAGAAAAGCAAGGTCAGAGAACATGCCAAGGGCGCTTGGCTCAGGTCGACAAGCAAAGGTCAGGGGCAGGGACAACAACAGAAACACCATGTTCCGAACAACAATGCTCATGGCACGTCCTGACCCGACCCGACCCGGCACGGCACGGCACGGCCCTTGGCCACCACGTCGCTTGGGCCTCAAGCGTAAATGCAGGCATGGGAAGAAACAAAAAGCATTGAGCATACCTCGGGGAGGGCAGCGATAAAGTCAGAGTAGGTGGCGTCCTGGACAGCCTTCTCGACGACAATCTCGGTCAGGTCATCGTTGAGGCAGAAGGTCACAAATTTGTGCTTGGAGCCCATCTTCATCTCAGTGAACTTCTCGATCACATCAGCGTTGATACCGACACCAGAGGCCTACATGGTCGAGCAGGATCAAGCAAGGTGCGGATGAGGGGTCACTGAAGCGGAAAGGAGGAGAGGGTTGTGGAGAGGGTTGAGATGTGTTTGCTTCACAAGCCAGAACAAGAACAGCTCGAGCTCGAGCTTGCCGCTCAGCATAGCACAAGACAAGAAAGAATGTTGTTTGGCTGGTGCAAAAGGGTTTGAAGAAAGCGGGAAGGCCGTCGACAAAAACTTGTAATGTTCAAGACCACCAAAAGGCAGCGAGTGGAGCAATGACCAGAAGAGATCATGGTATGCGCATCATCATGATACGCAACGATGCATTGACTAGCATAGTGGAGCTGGGGCAGCAGCACACACACACACAAGGCAGGGGCGCCCCAAGTGGTCGGGCCAGTGACACCAACTGTTTTGGTCGGACCACTTGATGTTTGCGCGCCCCCAAACTCTTGCCACCGTTCAAGCCACAGTCAAACACACACAACCACGTTCTGCCAGGCCTTGGACGTGCAAAGCTCAGAGAAGAGGGGGGGAGAGGAAGAAGACACGGGAAGAAGGGTCTGAAGGCGCTGCCCTTTCAAGCAGTGGCAGTGGCAGTGGCAGTGGCAAGCGTCTGCACACACACACACACACATACAACCAGTCCAAGCTGGCGCTTTCACATCGCCTTTCGGTTCTTTCGGTACTTTCGCTCTCTCTTTCTCTCAGTGTTTCCTTTGCTTTGTGTTGAGCAAGCGATGGGTGTGATGGTTGTCACACTTTACACGAGCAGTGGGTCACACTCGTAACACACTTTGGATCAGACAAAGGAGGGGGCCAAGAACACTTACCATGTTGCTGGTTGTTGGGGGGAAGAAGATTCAAATGGAGGCAAAGGAAGAGAACAAGAGAAAATGAGAAATGAACTCACCCCACCCTTGCCATCTCCGCTCTACCCACAAACCACAAGGTGGAGTAGGTGGAGTAGTGGTGGAGGTGGTTGGAGGAGGTGGAGATGATAACAGTGGCTCTCTAACAGAGCAGCACAGCTGGGTGGGAAAGGGAGATTGCGTGGCATTGGACAAAGGGGAGGCCCACGTCAGCGCCACAGCCGTCAAAAAGGGAAAAAAAGACAAAAGCTTTGAAAGACATGTTTTTGTATTGTTGAGACATGATTTATCCAAATTTGGCGATTCAGACTGAAAATGAACTCTGATGGTACCCAATTCGAACCTGATCTCAACCCACTTTATTGTCAGCATGTCATCCTTTTTATGGCGTCGCGATTTCGTCCGGCCCAAAGCGGACAACTTGATGCGGTTCCGTCTCAAGTCTGTATGGTCCTTGTGGCGAGGGTTGGCTGCCAGTGGGGGCAGGCTGTGCTCCATCAAAGAGGCCGGCCGTGACAGGTCGGATGAACCCCCCACGCACGCACGAGAAAGCGTACCCATAATGATGTTGGCCATCTGAACTGGGCCCCCGTTTGCTGGCCTGGCGCGCCGAGAGCAACGGAATCCAAAACAAGAGGCAAGCAAAAGGCATCTTGGAAAGCACTTGGTCTTGTGACTATCATCAATGATGAAGATGATCAAAAGAAAAAGAATCATGATAATAATTAGGATTAGAATGATGCTGCAGTCACAAAGGAAGAGTCAAAGTCAGGTTCGGAGAGCAGCGTCGCTGGTGCTGGCCAGCGACAGCACGCACGTCCTCGTCAGAACGAACGATGAAAACAACATGTACAAGTGTGTAGGATGGACGGCCACCAGGGCCGTTGCAGACAGGCCGAAGGCAAGGATGAGTTCAGGCGGTGTCAGACACAGTCTCCCCGTACGACTACTTGGGCTTGGGGGGGCCCGTCTTGCGCTTGGCGGGGCCTAGCTCAATCTTGCGAATGCCTTGACCAAACTTGAGGGTCATCAAAGTCTCACTCAGGTTGGTCTCCAGCGGCGAGACGTTGACAAAGACGGCCGTCTTGGAATCGCCGCCCAATGAATCCGACAAGGCATGCGTCAACTTGCTGTTGCGATAGGGCACGTGGGGTGCATTGCTGGCGAGCGCTTTGAACACCTGGCCCAAAGCCGACAGGCTCTTGTTGATGGCCGCCGCCTCCACCAGGCGATCTCCCGAAGCGTCCGTCTTGGACACCCGCTCCGAACCAGCGAGATCCACCAGCGTCAAAGTGCCTTGTGTCGTCTGCTTTGAAATCTTGTTCACGCCCTTGACCGTGATTCGGAACAAGAGGTGCGACCGCGATGAATCCGTGTTCATCTGTGTAGCCCCCACTGATCTGTTGCGGTCACCCATCTCCATCACATCAAAAATCTCCTGCTGTGTCTGCACCCGCACCTCCTTGGCGCCGTCGACAAACGTGCGTCCGGCAGCCTGGCGAATGCTCAACGTCGACTCGCGCGACTCTGTCAACAGGTCATAAATGTGCTCGTTGTACACCTCCATCATCGAGGCTGTAATCTCGTAGTCCACCTCCTCTCGCTCTGCGCAGAGTTGCACCAGCTCCGTCACTGCTCGTCGATTGACACCCGGATTATCCTGCCGTCCATTGACCACACGATCGTGTAAGTCAACAGCCCATCGCACACATCCGCACGCACACACGCACATATGCACATATGCACGAATGAACGCATGCACGTCTGCACGTATGCACTCCCCCAGAACGAAACACAGACTACTGACCAGCGGTCCCATCATGGTGTACGTCTTGCCAGAGCCTGCCACATAACGGGCACAAGCAAGTGTACTGATCAGTGATAACCAGGTTTAATCGGAAATGGGGAAACCACGAGGCGACATCCAGCTCCTTCCCAGAGGAGCAGCAACACCCCCCACATGCCCTTCCCGAAGAAAAAAAAACGGCATCACCACCATGCGTTGACTCACCCGTCTGTCCATACGCGATGATGCAGACATTGTAACCGTCGACACAAGAGAGAATGATGGGCCGCGTGTCGGAAAAGATGGTTTCTTGCTTGCTGTTCGGGCCGTAGCAGTGCTCAAACTCAATCAGCTCTGTGCCGCCCTGCAGCTTTGGGACGACAAGCTCTGTGGCAGACGGGAATTGGAGGGCACAAGGGCCACGCGTGTCCTGACGGACACGGCAGAAAACACGGATATTGCCCCGCAGTTCCTGCACCTTGTTGTACAACAGCTTGCGCTGCGTCTGCTCCTTCAGATATTTGGCTGTAATGTCCTGAAGCTGGATGCGCATGTTATCTGCCATCGATCGGCTGGCGGTCACGGCCGCCTCCAGCTTGGGACTCATGTGCTCCTGTAACTCTTGAAACTCTTGACGCATGGCCCCGTGCTCACGCCGGATGGCCTGCAGGTGAGTCCTGAGCGCCTTGTAGGCCACAGCATTGCCCGTGGCCTGACTCACGCGATCCTTGAGATTTTGCACCTTGAGCTTGAGTGCCACGTTCTCCATACGCATTTGCTCCATTTTACCCTGCAAGTCTTTGACCACACGTGCGTGCTGTGGTGTGGCATGCAAGACACAAGGTGTGAGATGCTGGACGCAATGAAAAAATAAAACACAAGAAGAGACAGAAAGCTGACACAATTGGGACACTAGCGCGTGGCGGTGGCTGAAAAGGCAAAAGCAAAGGCTTGGTCTCGTTTGTCTCAGGCTGCCATGGCCAAAACGTACCTCGCCTTCATCCTGCAAGGCTTCAATCTGACGCTCCAGATCGCGAATGCGGTCGGCATCAGCACTCACGGCTACTTGCTGCTGTTCCAGTTGGCTGACACGCTCACGCAGCTTGGTGTTCTCCCGGGTCAACATGTCCATTTGTTCCTGTGCAAATTGATCATGATGAGCCGAGCTGCTGACCCCATCAAACGTGTGCCAAACCGAGGCAGTCCTCTCTGCCCGGCAAAAGGGATACCAACCAATACCAAGGCCAGTACCGTGGCACAAGGATATAAGGAGGGGCATCAATCAAAGGCGGGTATCTGTACCTGAGTTTCGAGCGCCATTTGCTCACGACGTGCCGTTAGGCCCTCGACCTTGGTCTTCTCGCGAATGAGCTGCTTGGTGGCAGTTGACTGTTGCTCCTGTTGCTCGCGCTTGAGCCGGTTGAGCTCATCGGTCGTGCGGGCCAGCTCCTTCTCCAGATGCGCAAGGCGAGCAAGATCGGCAGCGGAGAGCCGCCCTTGGTCCTTGCTCTGCGCAGCAAAGTTGATTTCGCCAAACGCAATGGCATCAAAGACGTTGTAATCACACTCTCGCAGGCAGAGCAGCTGCTCCTTGCCATTGTTCCAATGCGGAAGGGCATCGCTCATGGCTTGCACCGCTTCCTTGACTTCGGGAATGTAAAACTCCCATTCCAGGGGCATGCGCTGCCACTCGCCCGAATTGCTATCGTAGTAGAGTCGGGAATTGCGGGTGTTCTCGAGGAGATAGGTGGTGAGCGCGCCGTAGTGGGGATGAACCATTTCCCCGACGCGAGGATCCTCGGCTTCAGGGCCATCACTTTCCGGGCTCGAATCGGTGACGGCAGAAGGCTGTACCAGGCCATCCTCGGCATTCTGGAGACGCTTGGCCCATTCTGCTGGCACGGGCTTCCATTCATTTTCATCCCAGTCCATGTAGAGCCGAGTGCCATCATCATTGAGATAGGTCGTGATCTCATTACCATTGGGCAGAACGAAATTTTCAAACGAGGCCACCTCGCGTCGCTCCTCATGATAGAGTGTGGGCCGACGCCGTGATGTCTCGCCCGTACGCTTGTTGAGATAGAACGTGTTGCCTGTTTCAGGATCAGTCAGGCAGGACCAGTCGTTCCAATCGTCGTCCTTGCGCTAAGCACGTGCGATGAGGCGGGCGGGGCGCAGAACTCAAATGAGACTTGTGATCAAATGCTTGTGGAGAGAACCAGAGCAGCAACCAGAGCAGCAACCAGAGCGGCGGCCACCACGATAGTCGCCACCAAGCATCAACGCTGAGAATCCAACGTACCGCATAGATGGTGCGAAGGAGCTCCTTCACGACCGGAATAAACTCTTCATAACTAATGACGCCATCCTTGTCCGTATCAGCTGCGTCGCGCAGCTCGTTCACCTCGGAATCAGAGAGGTTGAGATTCAGAGTCTGACTATGAAGTACATTCCAAAATTCCTGCGCATCCAAGGACCCATTGCCATCCTTGTCGGCCGCGCGAAAGACGCTCAGACAGGCTTGCTCAAATTCGACTGAATTGCTGCTCTTCGTCTGGCGGCTGCTCTTACGCTGGCTGCCGCCATTGGGCAGCGTTTTCTCCTTGGCTGTCTCACCCTTGGATCGCTTGGTGCTACGCCGATCCGCCGCCTTGAAAGGGCCTGCCGATGAGTTTGTGCCGCTGGGGCCCGTCGACACCTGACGCGATGGCGCAGAACCCATCCCACCTGGTATACACCCAGCCCAAAGATGTACTCTCGACACCGACACTCGGACCAACAGCCCCCTCGTCCAACTCCTCTGATCTCAATGGCGCCGAGCCGACAGAGAGAGAGAAGGAAGAGAGAGATCGACCGACCAAACACCAAAAGAAAGTCACAACACACCTAAACAACCGCAAAGTTGTTTGGTCACACTCACACACACTCTCTCGCTCTCTTGTCTGACAAAATCTCATTGTCAGACAATTGTCAGGCTGGTGATGCGAATCAACAACAGGTGTTAAATCTGTATCAAACAATACAAAAAGGTCGTATCCTTGCCAACCAAATGCACCGAGCAGGAAATGCTCAAACGAGAAGCGAGTGCCGCTTTAGTTTTCCGCCTGCTCCTTCACAGATCCGAGCCCCTGCTGCTGCTGCTCCTGCTGCTCGGTTTTTTGAGCTGCCGTTCATCTTGGCCGCCGCGTCCCCTTCCCGCTCAGGACAGAGATCTGCTGCTGGGTTTTGGCTCGCAGCAGAGCTTCTCGCCTCCCAACTCTCGTGGGACTGCCGTTGGACGCCACCAACACCATGGCAACCGATTTCGACGCCGCCAAGGCGTACCTGATGCAGGCCCAGGGCGCCGCTGGTGTGAGCGTGTATGACCATCTCTCAGACGTCCTTTCAAAGCTTTTGAGTGAGAAGCCCGAAAATGCAGTCGAGCTGCTCGAGAACATTAGCTATGAACTCAAGGCTGACCGCTTTGCGGCCGAGTCAAACATTCGTGAGCAGCCCGAGACCGCCGACGGTGTCATCCTCGCTCAGGCTCAAGAGAAGATGCTCAAGCACGAGACCGAGGTCCCCGAGGAGGACGAGGCCACTGAAGAGCTCGTGCCCAACGTTCCCCAGCTTGCAGAGTACTTTGAGGGCGCCGACATTGGCCTCGGTCGTGAAGAGTCCTTTCGCATCTTTCTCGCACTCAAAAAGCTCACCGAAGATCAGCCGCTCAAGACCGTCTCTTTCTGGGGTACGTGACCCCTGCCGGGCTGCGTTGAGCCTCCTCGTTATTTGCTGCTGCTACCGTTGTTGCTGGTGGTTGAATTGTCTTCTTTGTTTCTTTGCATTCTTCTTGGTCTGCTATGCGGCCTTTAATCTTGACTCTCGGACGTGGCCTCACAGGAAAAGTCTTTGGCCTCGAGGGTAACTACTTGATTGCGGAAGCCGAGTTTCGCGAGGGTGAAGAGCCCCAGCCAGTGGAAGAAGAAGGTGGAGATGAGCTCAATGGCGAGGACAACGAAGAAGCTCTGGACGAGGAAGAACAGGACCCACGCGATAAGCTGCCCAAAAACAAATACCGGCCTCCTCCCATCATCCCCGCAGAAGAGTATGGGAGCGGTGTCAACAAGAAGGTGTACTTTGTCTGTGACGAACGTACGTACCCCAAGCATCCCACACACTTGATGAACATCATCTCCTCTTTCTCTTTCGCTTTCTCTTCCTCTTTCTCTCTCTCTCTTTATCTGACTCGCGCATATTCACATCTGCATACCCACCACACGACTCTTCGATTTGCCTGTCTATCCTTTCCCGCTTCGACCCTCATCGACACCTGGTCCTGAATTCCATAGCTGGCAAGCCATGGGTTATGCTCCCGCATGCCACCCCACAGCAGCTCGTAGTGGCCCGCCAGATTCGCAAGCTGTTCACTGGCCGTCTGGATGCCGCCGTCGTGTCATATCCACCTTTTCCTGGAACCGAAGCTGAACTTCTTCGAGCCCAGATTGCCCGCATCTCGGCCGGCACCCATGTCAGCCCCCTGGGACTCTATACCTTTGATGAGATGGAGGATGATGATGACGAAGAGGGTAAGCGCATACAACTAGCCTGGTTTCAATAGCGTTGCTAACTCTCGCTCAGTCCCTCGCCTTCAAGGCTTGCTCGCCTGACCAATCTTTTGTGCCCACTGCTGCGCCTACCCAGCCCGTGACAAGTACGTGCTCGCTGACGACTTTGAGGGCAAGCCCCTCAGCGAGCTCCTCGTGCCCGACCTCTCCGGCTGGGTACACCATGGCCAGTACATCCTGCCTCAGGTTGGTTGAGCCTGGAACCGCGTTTTGCTTCAAGTTGTCGTGACACCGTCTTCAGGACTGCGTTTGCCCGTGCCCGTGCCCGCCTCACACACCCCTGACACAAATTGCAGGGACGCTGCAAGTGGATCAACCCCGGCATCAAGGGGGATGAGGATGAGGATCAAGAGGACGATGAAGAGGAAGAGGAAGAGGAGGAGATTGAGGCCGAGGAAGGCGCGCCGCTGTTGACGCCCCTGCAAAACGACGAGGACGTCGATGGCCACCCAGCTTGGTCGGTGCGCTTGACCAACACAGCTCACACGGCATATGCAGCGGTGTGCATTTCTTCCAACCGCTGGCCCGGTGCCCACGCTTTTGCCGTCAACACCACTTTTGCCAACGTGTACATTGGCTGGGGCACCAAGTACAGCAGCGAGCCTTTCAGCCCGGCCCTGCCTCCAATGGTGCAGCAAGAATATGGCCTGGAGGACATCTTTGAGAGCAACGACCCCACTCGACAAGAAGAAGAAGACTTTGAGGCCATGGAAGCGCAAGATGACGAGCGGGATATGGGCTCGGAAGATGACGATGAGGAGTAGAGCCTTGCTGCCCTGGCACACCCCTTTTTGTTCTATCTACTTTCTTGTGAACAACCCTTAAGCAAACCTGTATCGTTTTTTCCCCTCCTCTCAATCCTCTTCTCTCCTTCTTTCTCTTTTCTCTCCGGTTTATGTTTTTTGATGGGTAGGCCCAGAGTCTGGGCTTGCCTGCCGCTCGACGAGTGGGAAATGGCGCGCACCTAGTGCGCGATTATGTGCTTTTCATTGTCAATCATATGCCTCATCGAAACTGCCCCGCCCCCGCATGGCCCACCATCTCTTGACCAACACCCACCATTTCAAGGAAAAAAAACCCCCCAAAGTGATGTGCCCGGATTTGTCAGATAATTTTCCAAAGCGGATCTGAGCTGTTTCTTTAACACGTGTGTGTGTGAACAAGTGCGTTCGCGTCTTCTTCATGAGGGGGGAAAAGGGCAGCGCAGACTCGATGGGACGAGTGTACCCTCGTGCAAGCCGGCAGGAAAGCGGGGGAGGATGGGTTTTGTTTGATATGCTTGAGACATTGCGTGGTTGTTCTTGGGTTGATGATGCTCATCGCCGCTTCACCGCCCGCGCCGCTTAGGTAGTACTCTTGATCGCCAAGCACCCTCGACCATGAAGCTTCTCACGCACAACATGCTCAAGAGCCACGTCAAAGGGGTCAAGGATGGCTACCCGCTTCGTCTTTCGGTCGGTTACCTTGACTTGACCGTGCCTGCGTTTTTTGACGTGCCAACTGGGCGCGGTTCGCAAGTCCAGGCTCAGCCGCTGCTTGGGTGTCTGACAGGCAAGCAAGGTGGAGCTCAAGGAGGTGACTTTCAACGCGGACTTTGTTGTCCGCATGCTTGATCGCATCGTTTGGCCTGTCTTGCGCCAAACTGCCATCGAGGTTTGTGGCCGCCTCTTCTTGCTCCCCCCCCTTGGCACAATGTCAACCATTCATCAAGCTCACAGCGGCCTGGTCAACTTGTTTTCTGTTTCCATTTGCCCCAGATTGGCCAGGGTGATAATTTGCCCACTGACATTCCTGCAGATGCTGCAACCAACGAAGAGTTTTTGCGGGCCATGCATCACGTCCTGCTTGAGGTGCGACGACACTCTTGCGAGTCGCTGTATGCACCGCTGTTCTGTCCCAGTCCCCGCTTTCTTTTTCTTTGTTTATTTGTTTTTTGAGATTTTGTGAATGCTGCTTTAACTTGCGGGTGACTTGCACGCAGGTGCTGGTTCTGGAGGGTGAACTCGAGTGTCCCGAGACCGGTCGCAAGTTTCCCATTAAGAAGGGAATCCCCAACATGCTCTTGGATGAAGATGAGGTCTAAGGCGTAGCACTCCGAGGATGCCCAAGCCTCTGTGTGCATCGTTCCCCCACCCTCTACTTGTAGCGACTCGCTGATTGATTTGGGGTGTGAATGGACCGTTTGATCAAGGGGCATGGCGCACCCAACAGCTATAGCATTGCCTCTCGAGTCCCTGGACTTCCTTTGTGCCTTGGTGTCTCAGCGTGCATGTCGTGTTGTCGTCTTGGTGTGTTTGTGCACGTGTGTTGGGAGTTTTCGTTTTTTTACCTTCCCCAAGTTTCTTGTCATCGGCCTGGTGCGCTCCTCTCTTTTTTTGGCCACAGACTTGTGAGCCATGTAGGCACCAGACAACCCTTTGCCCGTGTACAGCGCTACGCGCTCCTCGCTACGGGTCGGTCATCAATGTTCTGTTTGAACTCTGTAATTTACGCCCTCGGTGGTAGTGAGAATTTCGTGCGATATGATGCAAGTGAGTCAGAGGGCATGAGGCCACTTCAATGCACTCAGTTTGGGTCACAATGCATAAAAACAAGGATGGCCAGGCTGCAGAGATGGAGAATTTTCTTCGTTCACAGCTTTAAACACATGCCTTGGCCTTTTGGAAATCTAACGACGTTGATATGAGCTGCATCTTTTCTCTGCATCAAGAGGCTTCTGCCAGTGATTGAACTGCTGCACATGCACTCTCCAGTTTGGCCACAAGATCCTGCAGTCTGGCCAAATCGCAACTGATGGTGGTGTTGCTCTCATCGTTCTGTCATCGACACCATGCACCAAGTTGGGTGAGACGGCGCGTCGTTTGGTGAAGCACACGTTCTACTTTTGCAAGACTCACCGTGGTGCGAAAAGTGATGTTGAAGCGAGGCTCATCAATCTTGTCCAAATGTGATCCTCGGGTTGTCTGATCCAGTCGCCATTCCACATCTTCGAGATGCGGTATGTGAAAGGTCGTGCTATGGGCCGAGACCAAGTCCAAGTAGACCAGGATGAGACAAAGGGCTGGCGGACGCGAGATGAGACGATGCGTCTGAGTAAAGAAGAGCCTTGACTCACCGTTGCAGTCTTGTACGCAACCCATGTCGGTGCTCCTACAGTTGAAGGAAGGGGGGCAATGCATCATGGCACTCGTGAGACCTGGAATGCACGAGGGGAGAGATCTCAGAGCGGGGACGGCCTGATGATAAACGCACGTCAAAACTATCGGCGAGGAGTGTAACTCGTTGGTCATTGCTGGTCTTCTCCTCCAGAGATGAGCTGCCTCAGCAATTGCCAAGTGTACGACAGGTCAGCCATACGAAAGCTTGAGTCAAAGAGGCGGGCGCGTGACTTGACGTACCGCAGCGAATCGCCATTTAGGTTCTGCTTGGCGGCCTCTAGCACCAGGGTCAGGAGCCCAGTGTACGCCTGCTTCACTGAGCGTGCATTGGCATTTTGCAATGCACCAGCACCTACAATGCCACAGAGTTTGAGCGTGACACTCTCAAGGCCAGATGATTGGACAAGCTGCAAGAGCAAATCTTGCTCTGCAACCGCGTTGCCCTGTCCCCGCCACCTCCACCATTCTCACTAGCCACCGATGACCGATGGCGAGCCGGTGGACGGATCGCGTTTCAGACGCACCCAGGAGGTCAGCCTCTGTGGCTTCTTCAAATGCAATGGCAAAGACGCCCTTGACGAGGGCCTGAAAAGCTTTCTCATCGATGAGCTGTGCGTTAAAGGCCACATCCAGCTGCTGCTCCATCGCCTCATCCAGTTCCAGCGCCATCCTGTGCCGGTGATGCCACACGCAAAAAAAAAAAGAAACACACACACACACCCCAAAAAAAAAAAGCCGAAGAGCGAGGTGGTCCAGACCAAACACAGGCCCTGTTGCACCAGAATCAGCCCCCACACACTGCCTCACGCTTCGCCAAATGGGTTCTCTGCTCGACCGACTGCCCGTCTGCTGAATGAAGGCACTGCCAAGCAAAGAATCAAAAATGCATGTGTGTGTGTGTGTGTGTGTGTGTGTTGAATTTTCTCTCCATTTTTCCGTCTTTTTTGCTCCTTTTTACTCTAATTTTGAAAGTTTGGATCTGGTTTAGACGGTGTTTGTGGCGCGACTGGGCGGCTTACTCACAATAAGTAGAACGGCCAAGTGGCTAAACCAGGCGAGCAGAACATGATCAGCTCGGGCCATCATCCCTGGCCGCCTCTGATCGCAGAACAACAGCAGAGAATGGAGTCATTCTACGTCCGATTTATAGAGAGAAAGACACACACACACACAGCAGAAAGAGAGAGACACACACCAATCAAGCAAGCTGAACGTTGTCAAAGTGTGATGTTAATCACGCTTCCACATCAAAGGGGCGGTTTGCGCGTTATTTTTTAAAAAAAAAAAAAAGACGACCTCGATCATCTCTTGTTCTGATGGCGGCAGGGGGATGTGGGATTGATGAGCAACGTCCATGACCCGTGTAGGAGCTGGACTGATGCGCATATGGGCTGTTTTTTTTTGCTCGAGTCTCAGCCCCTTTCCCCCTTCCATTTTCCCTGGCTGAGAGCCGGCTATCGATCGACGCGCGCACGCGGGTTGCAGGCCAGTTGCAGGTGACAACTCGGCATGGGTCTGGCCAACTCGCGTCAACGCCAGGCAGATGGCATGGTGGTGACCGAGGTGGAGGCTATGACAGCACAGCTGGTTTTGGCCTTAGAACAGGTCAAGAACGATCAGGACTTGGAGGTCACACAGCTCGAGGCCAAGGTTCGATGGCTCGCCCCTCTGCACCTGCGCGACCAATCAATTCTCACGCCATTGTGGTCACTTTGCACCCGCCACAGGTGGACGCTTTGGAGAGATTGCTGAACCAACTTCGCACGGCACTGACGGCACCTGCATCAAGTGCGCAGGATGTCGACGAATCCGAGCTGGCCCCGCTTCCGGCCAACGCCGCCAAGGAACTGCGACGTGGGGCGGGCAGTCGCTCTCGCAAATTTAGCGAGACCATGCTGGCTGAATCATGGCTCCGAGCCTCACCAACTTCAACGCCAACGCCTGACCACCGTGATCGTGAGGCCCGCCTTTCCACATCCATGGACGTCTTTGAAGGTATGAACTGCGCATACCCGCTACCGCTGGGCCAACGTGGCCCAGCGACCTTCTTGGACCGCCTGCCGGCTCGACACACGGCACCCACTCACATGTATGCCACGGGCGCTTGCCTCAATTTGCCAATGCTAGAACCCTACCAGCGCTTCCGGGCATCAAACGACCGCTTTTTGTTTTTTGGGCCTGCGGCAACGGTTCGGTTGGAAGCCCCGGACGGCCAGTTTGGCCTGGCGCTGGTTGGTGTCGAAATGGCACCCAACGGCAAAGACCGTGCCGTTCTTGTCAAAGCCATTCATCCAGATGCCCCGGCAGCACAACACAAGGCTATCGGCCGGCAGGATCGAATCGTTGCCGTCAACAATGTGGATGTGTGTCACGCTGATCAAGCAGAGGTCGTGAGGATGATTCAAGCCAGTGGCAAGCGAGTTGACCTCACCATTGCCCCTTTTATAAAGATTAAGAAGGCGAGGCACGGCCGTAGCACGCGGACGCGGAGCCCCTCGGCCTGAGTAAGACGTTGGCTTCTGGCCTTGCCCTAGTTTTAATTGTCTGGGCAACCCGCCACCCTTCGTACACGGGTGATTAGGCTCTCTTGTTGAGGGACGGCTGCTCGCTGACGCAGGGCGTCCGATGCGCCGCTCCCACCTCGAAACTCTTTGTTGGAATGTGAACCCATCCCCCGTCCAGGATGTCTTGGTTGGCGTTTGCGTTCAAATATCGCGTCTTCGCATGAGTTTGAAGTCGGGTGGCCTCCAGCATAAATGTTCAAAAGCCGTTTTTGAATTACAATACACGTTCAGATTGCTTCAGACTCCCGGCGCTTGGCGCCCATAATGGTCGCTGCGAGGCAAAGTATCAGCTGCAATCCTACTGATGTGCCTTGTGGTGCCCCTGATCCCATTCGCGGGCCCACTACAGATCCACGATTGTCGTTCAAGAGTGAGAGAGCATGAGTGCGTTCTTTCGGGAGGCAGACCACAGGAGACAGTTACTCAGCAAGGCAGTGGGGATGAGAACACGAATTCGCACCTCGACACCCTCCTCCGTCTTGCGTTGATGTCGCGCTATCCGCTCAGCATCGATGCGTTGACGCTCCTCTTGCCAAGCCCGCTCCTATGAAAACAAGGTCAGCGCCGGGCGGGCTGGAATATTCAGCACACCAGACCAAGGAGGGTGCGGTCCTTTCGGAGAACGATGAGCCAGCCAACCTGTTTGCTCAGCGCGCCTTTGGGAGCTCTACGTTGTGCATGCTGCGTGGGCAGACACACAAGGCGGTGAAGCCAGGAAAAAAAACAAAAAAAAAAAAAAAACGCAATGTGAAGAAGAGAGGACAGGCGTCAAAACCTACAGCCGTGCGCTTCTCGTCTGCGTTTCGTCCACGGGCTGCCTATTAGGTGCCAAGCATGATGCCAAAGCAACCACATCAAATCAGGAGGGCAGCATCAAATGTGCGCATCAGCGGCATGATGACTTCATGCCTGGTTGATGCGTCGCTCCGTCGGTGGTGCCTCGGCTTGTTTACGCTCAGCGCTGTACACGGCCTGCGGTGCGTCGAAGGTCAGGCAAACGAAGTTACTCCCAAGGCCACCCATCTCAGAAGTGGGACCCCCCCAACGACAGATATCAAGCCGATACCTGCTGCAGGCGTTCCTGTGCCGCGATGTTGGCTTGTCGTTTGGCCTGCGTGTGGGGCAGGTAAGGGGTTCCACGTTATGGCTCGCGAGTGGCTGATTGTTTGCAAAACACGACCAACCTCATACTCTTCGCGCTGCTTGGCCTCGCGCTCACGCTCCTTGCGCTCTCGTTCGAGACGACGCTGCTCGCGTGCCTCGCGCCGAGCTTGGCGCTCCAGCTCGGCATCGACCGCGTCACTTTCTGCCTTCTCGACCTTGGCTCGCTGAGGCAAGCCGATGCCAACACCACAGGACGCGAGTGGTGACCATGCAAAGTGGGTCAGTCAAAGAAGAAGGGGATCAGGAAGAAGATCAAAATGCAATCACAACTGGCGACATACCTCAAATCGCTGTTCGCGCTGACCGTTCTTGGCTCGGATGGCCGCGATTTTGGCATCTATAGGGTGCAACAAGTTGGGAAGGCAAGGAAGGTGAGCAGTGCAAAGTCAATAGGGATTGTGGTGAGGTGAAAAGGTGCACTTTACCAAGCTCCGCCTCTGCGCTGGCATCTCGGGCAACCCTCTCTCCACTGGAGTTTGACGAGTCGCGTCCTTGACCGCGACCGCGACCACGACCGCGACCACGACCTCGGCCTCGACCATGTCCACGCCCTTGACCCAAACGCTGTTTCGCTTGACGCGCAGCATCGCCAGTCGCAGTAGTGGGATCGGCATCAAGACTTGGCCTGCGGCAGCCAAGTCAGTCACCAGACAGGCGCGTGTGTGAACGTGTGAGGGTACGAATGGTTTGGGACAATCCAGCAGATAGCGACGTACGAGCTGGTTGCTTCGCCGTGGCTTTTTGCATCTTGTCCTGGTGCGGGTGGATTAGGAAGCACCCACATGGGCCCGTCCTTCCCTGCCATTGGCGACGCTGGTTTGGCGTTCGTGACCTGGCCCTCAGCAGTCTCAGATGCCATGATAGCGATTTGTGGATACAAATCTCAAAAGTGCAATTAAAAAAAACAAAAAAAAACAAAAAAAAGAAAAAAAAAAACAAAAAAACAATCGTATCAAACTTTGGACAAGTCTAAAGAATAATACCAAAGACGACAGCTCCATCTCAACTCTCACTGCTGCCTCATTGGTTGATATCTTTGAGGGCTCTTACGGAGTGACAGCGGACTGAAGTGCAGGTTTGAAGGGTGGAATACAATGTTTTGAGCGTGAATTAGAGGTGGGAGGCACATGCGCGCAGCGTTTGTAGCTCCACCTGCACTTCTTGGGGCAGGGACATGTCAAAAAAAGTATGAAGCCGCTCTTTGAGGGCAGGCTGGGAGGGGTGCCGAGAATGGCATTGGCGACAGTGAGGACACCCGAGTACAGCAGTCACGAGTTGGAAGCTGCCCTCTTACCTGGCCTGTGGCACTAAAATGCTGAGCTAGAATCATAAAGTCTGCACGCTTGACTCGGGTCTGCAGCGGCTGAGCTGTCGTCTTGCTTGCCAAGGATGCTCCCCAGGCGTCGAGTTGGTCCTATTTCACATTCAATTAGCTCGCAAACAAGGCAAGATACGGTCTCGCTCCCGGGGGTGTAGGCACCAACCTTCAAGTGCTGTGCAAATTCGCGACCTGAGGCGGTCTGGACACGGAGGCCCATGACCTTGGTGCCCAAAATCCATCTTTGCAGTAGGCACGAGGTCGGAGGAGGGCAAGAAGCCGTCGCAGCTGCTGTAGCCACAACGGCCTTGCAGGCCTCATATTGTGCCGCATCAATATCAAAGGGTTCTATCATGAACATGAACATGCAGATGCACGCAAAAAATCTGCATTGAGCATGATAGGAGGATCGAGAAGAGGTGGCGTTCATGTCCACACTTACCCAACAAGGGGATAGCGCCGAGAAAGTTGTACATTGAGTCGGCCGGACGGGGCGGTGAGCCCATCTCAGTGGTTCTCCAGGCCTCGATCTTGGCTCGCAGCTACGTCGCTCACAGAATTGAGGGTCACAAGAGCCCAAGCATAGCCTGGCCAGAACGTTGCTGTCGCATTGAAATAGAAACTTACCGCAGTGGGACCAACGACCACAAGGCAAGGTGCCACCTGCACGCGGCCCGATTTGCCTGGAGATGGCAGCAGCGACGTCATTTGCTCTTGGCGTCTTGGCTGTCGCTGTGGTGGACGAGCTGTCGTAGGAATAGTAGAATGTTCCGAGGTTGCTTTATGCTCCTTGAAGGGCGAGGTGCCCATTCCAAGTCGAGCCCAGGCGTCTTGATACAGCCCGCTGCCAGGCCCGGAGAGGCCAGACGAATCGGCTCGGGGGCAGCCTTCGCCATGTAGGCCGCCCGGGAGAGCAAAGCAGAGGGGACACCGCAGTCCATTGGCGTAATCAAGCATCTAGTGCGGTCGAGACAAACGTGCGATGTTAGCGCTTTCCCTTCATGTAAATGCAGCCGCCAGTCTGGTTGAAGACGAGGTGAACACGTCGAGTTTCTTCGAAAATTAAAGAATATAAAACAGCAGTCACGGCAAGCCAATCACGCTTCAACATACCCAGTCGGGCTGCTCATTAAGATGGGCTGTGGAGGGAAGCGTGATGCCATCGTTCCCGTCTCCTACTTTGCGCCCCATGTCCGGTTCCGTTGGTGATGATGCTGGGTTTGCAATCACCGAGTCTGCAGCACGGGATGTGGTGGGCATTTGGGGTGCAGGTTTTAGGTCTGGTTCGGGGCTCAAGCCAGTAGGGCGCGGTTGTTGGCACATGGCGCAAACGGGCGCTAAAACGTTGGTGTTGTCAAATGTGCAGAATCCACAGGTCCACGTTGGGGGCGCCTTGGTGGCCAAGCGAGGAGGGGTGCGGCCCGTGCTTTCTGTTTGTGCGGCTACAGGTGTGCCTGTGGTCGACAGCGGGAAGGTATCAGGTACAGATGTCGACCCCTCGCAGAGCGTATCTGGGACCACGAGCGTAGATCCACTGGCGCAAGAGTCGACACTAGGAGGGGCGAGAGTGGCTGAAGCTTGACTTTTGGGTCTTTGCACAAAGGCCTGAAGTGTTGTTTGACGACCAATACGCGTTGGTGGTTTACCCAAGACTACGCGTTTAGCCTCGGAGGACGTGCCCCCCACTTTGTAAATGTAGCGGAAGCCCTCATGGGGTTCTGGAGCAGAGCAGTCCGCGGCTTTGGTCTGCCTACATTGTATCAACAAATTCATGGGCAGAAGGCAAGACAAAAGCAAACAAATAAAACACAGATCTTGAGACTCGCGCAGCAATTAAACACGCGTTTGTAGACGCGAGGTGACTTACATGCCGATGACCCGAGCAGCATCTTCTGGCTTGACAGTTTCGTGGTCCTGGCGTCGTTGGGCTCGACGAATGCAGTCTGAGATTGACGTTTGCATGGACACAACGTCGACGGGCACACCGAGGTCGAGCGCGATGGTCGCGAATTTGGCGCGCTACAGGGGCGTGGGAGAGTTGAAGGTTGAGGAGTCATGGGAGAAAGCTTGTTGATCACAAGCGTCAAAACGCCACCCACCTGGGTTTGTGAGAGGTGCGTTCGATCAATGACAGCCACATGACGCTTGGCCAAGGCTTCTTGAGCCTGATCATGGAGGTGGTGCAACGGTTAGTCGGGTGATGGGCTGAGCAGGTGGATTGTCAGTTGGGCCTACCACAGCAATGCAGCGCTTTGAGGTGCGCAATTGGTCTTGAGAAATGCGGATCCATGGTTGTTCTGGGTTTTGAGCAGTCGCCTCCTGAAGCAAAAGCTGGACAAAGGTGCTTTTGCCGGAACCTAGACCAAGCAGGCACCAAGAGTTGAGAGAGCAAAGTGGATGTCAGCAGGCATGACTGGAGGAGGGGAGGGGTGGTGTGCCAACCTGAGGGCCCGTGCATCAGAATAAGACGAGCCTTGGCGCGCTCTGACGCTGGTTCTGTCAGTTTTGGTAGAGCAGCCGCACCCAGCTTGTGGGGCGACGCTGGCGCTTCAGGTTGCAGCGCGCGTTCTAGCTTTGGACTGGGCTTGGGGCTAGTTTGTTTCAGCGCTGGATCTGGCTTTGAGCTGCGCTCTGAGTGTGTTGAAGCCAGGCTCATGGCTGAGGTGGGAGGTGCAACGTCTCCTGCCACACCCCAAAATTCTTCATCCTCTCGCTCCGAGTCCCATTCATCAGTCTCTACATCAAACACCGCGTCCCGACCGTGACTTCCCATCGCGCCGCCCGCTCGCCGCCACCCACAAAACTGCTTGACACGCACCGAGACCACAATGTCAGACTTTTTGTGGTGAGATGATTCGACTCAAAAACTGACTGTTGATTTGATTTTTTTTCTGTGAATCAGATGCTAGATCTAGATGCTTTTTTTTTTTGCTGGTGTTGCTATTGGTGCCGAGGTGGGCTGTGCCGAATCATTCAAAGGTGGTTGCGACTAAAGAGCAGCCTGCGCCCCGCTGGCGATAGAGCTGCACAAGCGAACAGTGCCCAGAGTGTGAGCGGCACGTGAACATTGACAGGTCACGTGAACGCAGGCACACGACAAACCTGAATAGCTTCAGTTTGGCCTTCAGCAGAATTTGAACCGCTCACGGCAAAGGCCACGTCCTGGGGTCGAGACTCCTCAGGGCCACGCAAGAATCCCCTAGAAGCACAGATTTTAGAGGATAGGGTATCAGCTGACGGCGCTTGTCATGTGCACAAATCACTTCTGGCGAACACATTGCATGGCCTGCTCATTGGACTAACGTGGGCGCCACAGTCAGGTGACGACCCTCAATACTTGTGCGGCACACCAAGAGGTGCTCGCGTGCTTGGCCTGCGAGCCAATCATGTTTCAAAGCACAGCGTCGTGAAACCAAGGGTGAGCCCTCCTCGATACATCAAGGGGGGGGGGGGGGGGGTGTGTGTGTGTGTGTGAGGCTCAATGAAACAGACCTGGGCCATCCTGAAAGATGACACACAAACGGGTGCAGGCTGAGTTCCAAGCGAGGCCGGCAATGGCACCGCCGACTCTACAATCGAGGGAGAGGGGGGATATCATCATGAAATTTGGCAAAGCCGATCATCAAGAAAGGGTGTGCCGAAGCGCGGTACAAGATACGCACTGCACATCAATGCCTTTGTTATCGATCATGGAGGCCAGAGGAAACTCGATAGCGACGCGGAGGTGACTATCTTGAAGCGATCGAAGCTATTTAGCCGACGTGAGATGGTGTGAAAATGATCTGGGCGCCATATACATATGTCTAGCAGTTCAGCACTGCTTGTCTACCTCAAGGTGATGGAGGCAGTTGTCGTTCTGCACGATGAACAGGAGGTGCTCGCCGTCATTGGCCCAGCATGCGTCCACGAGGGGACGGGTATTGGTCTGAAAGCGTCGGCTGCGCCAAGTCTCAACATCATACACCCTAGGGTCACACCGTGAAGTGAGACTTGGGCGCGTGCTCAAGTTTCGAGAGCCCGTCCCGAATGCACGTGTGCGGATCGTACAAAAAGCTCGGCCCAACAGAGGCGGCTAGAAGAAAGCGTGCAGTCGGGGACCAGCGCAAAAAAGTTAGGCGCGAGGTCCAGTTGACGCGGGCTGCGTGATCTGTTGCGGGATGCTGCCCAAACGCAAAACGCTGTATGAGTGGCATCGAGGCCAAGACGGCACAGGGGAATCGATGGCAGACGTCGGGAGGGGGGTTTTTTTTTCGATGGACGCACATAAATGAGCAGGCCACCTCGGGTAGGGCTGGTTGCCACGTATTGACCACATGGGGAGAAGGCAACCGCATTGCAAGGCATCTTGGCAAAGCAGAACCAGCTTGTCGTGTTGGCGTCAAAGCGAACCAAGAATGCGCCTTCAGAGGTGCCAACGGCCAGCAAGCCTTCATGTTGTAGCATGTCATATGAGAGATGAGTGTAGTCGGGTGGAGCACCGCGCTCAAAAGAGGCCAGAAGATGATAAAGTGAGGCGGGAGAGGCTCACCTGGGACTGTCGGGCACCAGGACAGTGATGAAATGCTGCGAGACGACTTGTTTGATGCCACACTGACGCGGGTGTTGGTCAAGTCACGAAGCTCAATGGAGCCGTCCCGCCGACCCAATGCCAGGAGCTAAGGGCCCAGCAACATTCATGAGCAGCACGACAGTGGGCGCAATTGCTGTTCACGTGTGATAGGGGTGCCTCTGATTTACAGGGCCTGTACAAAGAAAATTATGATAAAGGGAAAAGACAGGGAAAGCAAACCCTACAGACAAATCGCCTCTTCCCTCCACGCACATACCGGGAGGCGCGGGTGCGTGGCCATCGTTTGGATGATAGAGTCACTTTCCAGGAACCGGTCAGGGCTCAGCTCCTACCGTACTCGGCGAACCCCCAATGCACAATGCACATGGCGGCCGAGGTCAGCTTCCGTTACTACTTGTGCCTGCCCAACTTTGGACATGACGAGCCCATACCTGAAGGCTGAGTTGATGGCCAAGGTCTTGCAAAGTGGACCAGACGCTGTTGATGAGGGAACTGGAAGTGATGAGGGCGCGCGTCAGCTCGTGCATGGGACGATCATCACGGCCCGAGACAGCATGACCAAAGGCAACGAGTTCGCGGGCATTGCTCGAGGCCTCGCGCCCATCGCGGATGTGGTCCAAGATGGCGCCGTCTGCTGTGTCGGATTGATACTCGAGCTGACCAAACCGCTCCCTCTTGGCCACGGCATTAAAACCGGGCGGCGCCTGACAGCCCACAAAAATATCCTCCATTGACCTGTTTGCCTACACACGCCTGCCACGTCGCACATCCACTGCTCTTGCGTCTAACCAGACCCCGAACGCCACAACACGGTAAGTGAGCGAGGGAGAGAGAGAGAGAGAGAGAGAGAGAGAGAGAGAGAGAGAGAGAGAGAGAGAGAGAGAGAGAGAGAGAGAGAGAGAGAGAGAGGAGGGGGGAGGGGAGGGAGAGGGAGACAGCGCGCGCGCCACAGACCAGACCTCAAGAAAAGAAAAAAATTTAAAAAAAAAAAATTGATTTGGAAAATTAAACCCATTACTCTCGAACCTAAAAAAAGGGCTCTGGAGAGCGGTGGTGTCATCGCTGACTGTATTTTGTGCCCTTTGACCACGGACCACGCTCATTGGTACCCGCCTGACCAGACGACACCAAGTAGAGAAACCAGGAGCGTCACCAGGAGCGTCATGCTCACCTCTGATGCGGCGGCTGCCGTTTGAAGGCCAAAAGAACACCACCAACAACAACAACAACAAGTGTTTTTGTCAGACAATCGGGACCAGGCCATGTGGTTTAAAGGGCTAAGCGGCCTTGTACCTTGAAGTTACGACATAACTGCAAAATTCAGAGGTGTGTATGTGTGTGTGTGTCTGTGCGTGTGTGTGTGTTGCAACGGCTCTCTCTCTCTATTTTTTTTCTTTTTTTTCTTTTTCTGGTTGTGTTTCAGGTGATGGTGGTGATGGTGTGCGTGGGCCGTGGGCCGTGGGCAGTGGGGCTTGAGGATGGCGGCGTAAATGCATTCTTGGTTTGGCACGGCTCTTGAAGCTGGGAAAGCAGTGTTGAACAGGGCTCGCATGGCATGGTGGTGTTGTCAACTTTGTGTGGCCGCTGGCGTCAAACCCTACAACTGACTCATGCTGGCACGTCGGTCTTACAGAGGTACATCGCTGGCCCTTTGAGCACAGGACAGTCGCTCTTTGAGGCCCAATCTGCGCCTGATCAAGCGTGGCTGGAAAAGTACAGCGGCATCGCGGCGCCAATTTGATGCGTTGAAAGTAAGCGTATGCTTCCAGTCTGGACATAAATGGGTTTGCAAAGCTGTACAGCCCCACCGTGCAGTGGTGCAGTGAAGCCAAGTTGCTGAAGACCTACCACCCGGCACGTTGTGCTTGGCCCAATGCAAAACACAAATAAAATACCCCTTGTCACTTTTCGCTTTGGCTGTGAGCGCCATCTCAGTTGCATCAGCCATCAGCTCACCGACTTGTGCATCTTTCCGTTTGTCTCAGGGCCGTTTGTCAGTCTCGTCAGCTTTTTGCGAGACCCCCCTCAACGCTCGCCCGGAACGTCGATTCCAGGCACCATGCGACCTTTCAGCCGATTGCCTGGCCTGGCGCAGCGCCATCGGCACACCGTGCTGCAGGCCACAACGCTGCCCTCTGGACATGGTATCATTTGCGTAGCAGCGTCATCCCACGCCCGCCCCCAGCGTCGCGTCTTGCCCAGTCGCGATGAATGGTGGGGCGCACACGCGGGTGGTAGCGCGCCAATGCTTGCAGATCACGGTAAGCCAAGGTGCTTCATCTTGACCCAATGAACTTATGCTTCTTCGTGCCGCGCCATCTCATGCCTCTTCATGCCACATCGGGCACGTAGAGGATTTGTCATACATCCACAAGCGCAGTAGCCAAATTGCACAGATTGAGCAATTGCCCGAGTATCAACAGCTCAAATCCCTCGAGGCACAGCTCCGCACGGGCAGTCTGGGTTGGGGTTTTGATGCACCCCTCCCGTCTCCCCACCAGCCCTCACCAACTCTCACTCCGGATAAAGTTCGACAACTTCTCGTCGCCGGATTGGCCACTTTTGTCCTCCACGTAGAATCCCGGGTCGCTGCACTCCTGGGTCGAGGTTTGTGTTCATTCGCTGTCTACATCGCCTCTTGCCTTGTGGCAAGCGTCACCATTGCTTAGACCCCGACTGTTCTTCCACCCCGCACCGCCTGTGCTCATCGCTTGTGCTCACCGCTTGTGCTTGCCGCTGGGTGGGCTGATGATGATACGGCTATTGCGTAGGTTTCTACACCATCGGTCCTTGTGGCGAGGAGATGATGAGTGTGGCAGGACTTCTCCTGCGTGAAACTGACAGCATGGCCCTGCACTACCGACATCTGGCTGCCCAGCTGTCTCGGCACCTGCGGAAAAAGCCATTGTCACAAGTCCTCTTGGATCGTGCGCGCGGTCACACCGTATCGGCGCGCGACCCAGTCACAGGTGGTGTGCACTGCTCTCTGGGCGGTGATGACTATAGCTTCATCGTGACTTCCACGCTGGCTTCTCAGTGTGGACCTGCCGTCGGTCGTGCTCTGGGTGCCACCCTGGCACATCATTTGCGCGTACCTTGTCGCTTCGAGCATGACTTTGTTTCTTTCGTCAGCCTGGGTGATGGCTCGGTCAGCAATTCCCACACAGCCTCAGCCCTCACCCTGGCCGAGTACGCACGCCATCGCAAGTTCAAGTGTCCCGTGGTGTTTGCTATTTCCAACAACGACCTCAGCATTTCACTTAAAGGCCAGGGCTGGCTCCTGGACAGTTTCATCAACCATCTTCCCTTCCCACACTTCATCTGCGACGGGCGTGACATGGTCTCCATGTGGAATGCCACAGAAAAGGCCATCAAACGAGCTCGCGACACCAGCTCGCCCGTGGTTTTGATGATGAATAACATGCCTCGTCGCTTCGGTCACGCCGCTACCGATCGTCAGAATGCCTATCTCACACCCGAAGAAATCAGCCGCTTTGCAAGCACCAGCCCAATCACATGTCAGTTCTCAGCCGTTTTGCTACCCTGCACTCCGGTGACAAGCTTTGGCTCGTTTAACATTTCTCCTAGCTTCATGCTCACCAACAGATCGATTGTGTGTACGTTTGCTACTTCCCGGTTAGACGCCTGCGCACAAGCCATTGAGATGGGGGTCATGGATGAGGCGAATCTGCTACGCACACTGCAAGATCTCCAGTCACAAACTATCGATGCTTTTGCCCAGGCGAGCGAAGAGTCGCCCGTGAGCGCCACGCAGCTCATGAAGCGTGTCAATGCACCCTCGGACATGTTTCCCACCACCAATCCAGACAGCGAGCCGCAGGCGGCACCATCCATGAGCGACGCCGCAACAGACAACGAATCTGTGACGGGTAATGTGGCCCCCCTCGGCTGGGCTGGCCATGTGCGCCATGAACACGTGGGACGAGACGGAACAGACACTCCTGTGCGCCAAGTCATGCGCAAGTGCATGACCAAATCACTCGATGACTGTTTGCGCCAGAACGAAGAGGTCGGGCTTCCACTCGTATTATCCACCTGATTGTTGGGCCTTTGTGTGTGTGTGTGTGTGTGTGTGTGTGTGTGTGTGTGTGTGTGTGTGTGTGTGTGTGTGTGTGTGTGTGTGCCTCAATGGGCGATCCAGCATGGTGCAGGCAAGTGCCGTTCCATTTCCATCTCTTCTCACCATGGTGACGTTTGGCCACAGGTCGTGTACATTGGCGAGGACGTGTGTCATGGTGGATACTATCTTGTGACGGATGGCCTTGCCCGGCAGTACCCGTTGCGCGTAGCCGATTTTCCTCCAGATGAAACCTCACTGCTGGCGTGTGGCATGGGCTATGCCCAAGCTGGGCTTGTGCCTATTGTTGAAATACCATACGCCAAATACCTGGATTGCGGCTTTGACATGCTGACCGAAGCAGCCATCATGAGCTGGCTCACCAAAGGGCAACAGCAAAATGGCATGATCATCCGCCTTCAGGGCTTTGGCCCTGGCATCTTTGGTGGCAACTACCATACACACAACCAAATACATCTCATGCCAGGACTGGATGTTGTCTGCTATAGCAACGGTCGCGACTGGCAGCGTGGCATGTCTAATGCGCTCTATCTGGCCAAACAAGGCCGGGTTGTCATGTTGGTTGATTCAACGGCCTTGTTGAACCGTCGCCATGTCGTCAACGGCGATGAAGCTTGGAAGTTTGCCCTGGAGGATCATCCAGAGCGCCTCAGCTTGGAAGATGTCATGGTGTACGGAACCGAGACGCCAGAGGGCGAGGCGATTGCGACCCCCTTCGACGCCGTCGTCGTCACGTACTCCACTGGGGTGCCAACGAGCTTGGTCGCACGTGAGATGCTCCACAAAGAGCATGGCCTCAACGTGGCTGTCATTGATTCGCCGTACTTGAGCCGTGTGCCACAAGGGTTGAAGCAAGCGCTCAACTCTGACTTTGCCGGCGTACCCGTCCTGTTTGCTGATGTGTGCAAGGCGGGTGCCTCTCCTCTGAGTGGCTTCCTACCCGAGTTGAAGCGCCAAGGTGCCTTGCCGGATCGGTGGGCGTTGACAGCATCAATGCCCACGTATAATCCTCTGGGCTCAGATGTGACTTTCTTGTCCGAAAGCCAGGTCGTGCGGGAGATACGCAATCTCGTCTAATGCCAATCCCGACCTAGCGCAGACTACTTGGCCGCCTCTTGGGGGTGAGCCTCCTGCTCACATGAAAATTCAATAGCACCGCTGTCTAGAATTTTGCGGCAAAGCTTCCATCATGCCAAGTGATGTGTGCGTATCCACAAAAGAAACAAAGCACATGTTGTACGCCCATGTTTGACCCAAAGGTGAGGAGACCATGTTCGAGACTGTCGATCTATAATCGATTGCTTGGGTGCAAGTTACCGAGCAGCAATGGCTGTGCGGTCATCAGCGGGATCGAGGAAGTCCTTGTCCCCCATGTCAGTTGCTGTGGTGCAGGAGAGGAGGGCCGAGTTGGACACTGTCTCGAGGGGCGTATAGAAGGGATGGTGATGCTCCTGGTGTGGGTTGTTGGATGCGCGATTGTAAGCACACAGAAAAGCCCAGCGACGATGCGGACTGTGATTGTCAGGTGCCAAAAGATACAACAAGAGAAGGCATGCATCAAGGTCATGAGAGCAACGAGAGCAACGGGGATGATTGTGGTGTCGGGCAGGGGAGTCAGTACCCACCTCGTGTTGGCGTTGCTCTTGTGCAAAAGATTGCAGTGAAAGAAGAGACAATCGCCCGGAGCCAAGGCGACATGATCCTCCGGCAGCTCCTGAAATACATCCGCATGCAAGCAGCGAGAAAAAATGGTCAGGTGCGGAACAGGCGTATCATGTCTTGGCTGCCTTGACAGGGTGCAAGATCCCGGCACGGTAATTTAAAGTGGGTCAGGGGCGACCCGACGCAAGTTCTACGCCACCTGTTGGAGAAAGGCCACTCGCTCCATATCAGCGCCCGTTTGGCCACCCACCATGACATGGTCAATCCGGCCAGCATGGTGCGAGCCACGCAAAACCTGCCGCCCTCCAACAAGGTACAAAGTAGCCAGCCATGAGAAGGTCATGGCCATCGCATCTTGGAAGCAAGGCGAGGAATGCAGAGGTCACTCATAATGCACAAAGCTTGGCAAGAGAGCCGTTGCTCTCGTGAGTGGCGAACAAGTGTGCAGACCTGCATGCAGCCGTTTTCAGTGCTACAGCGATCGATGGCAACAAACGCTGTCAACATTTGAGGGAAAGGAATGCAATTCTTGTACCAGTAGCCTGTCGGACAGCATGGGATTAAGAAGCGGCGTGAGGAAAGGCTTTTGGCTGAACCGGCACCAGTGTGGCAGTCAAGGTATCCACCGTAATCTTGATGCCAAGCAAATCTTCCGCCCGTAAACTCTGATTTCATCATCAACTTGGTGTGGTAGTGGTATACTTCGCCACCCAAAAGCTGGGCCGCCGTCCCTGCGACCTATGATACGAGTTTGAAGTGTCATTAGATATCTCAATCTCTCTTTCTGGTGCGCCACGGCGAACCCATGGAACGCTTTCTGGGTGCTAGACCTTCTCAGTCCTGACCAACTGGCCGGTAACATCGCGTCCAGGTTGGTTCCACAGACAGAGCTTGCTCTTGCGCTGGGCACCATCGTCTACTTCAAATGCATTGGCTCTATCGCGCGCACGATCAAGCCGACAGACGCATCATGCGCGTGAGCCAAAACAAGAGGCACGTTTCAACGCTTAAAGGTGGGGGGGCTGCAGGAGTCGGCGGGCTGACGTAATTGCTGAGCTGTTTTCGAGGGTATCTTTAATCCGGGCAAGCTCCTCGGGGCATAAAAGACCTGTGCGGCATCACATGACAAGGGGGGTTGGATAGTCAGCCCGATCGCAGGGCATACGCGAGTTTAAAGCCGACAGGCGGCAGACAGCTTACTGCGGACTACAATGTAACCGTTGTGGTGCCAGCTTTGCATGACTTCACGCGATACCTCAAAGCTTCCACCACGCGCTGTTGTCGCCATCGAAAACGCTTCTAATCAGGTCGAGATCAATAGCGTGAGAGAAGGGGCGGTGAGCACAAGGAGTACGGTAGCTCTAACAGTAATGTGGCCAATGGAGCCCCTGTTACCGGCATGACAGACCTGGGGGAGAATCTTTTAGACTGGGTAGGTCTGTAGCGGGCACCGGTCGAGGTACACGTCGATCTTGGGCTGATGCGCAGGTCTTTTTGCCTCGCCAATGAGGACGCACCTTGGTTGCCCTTTGCAGCTGGGTGCTGGACATGAGTCGACGCGTTGCCATCTTGCAACAACTTGACACCAAAGCGAAATTGAGAGCACGACTATCTCTACACCAACTCGTCTGTGCCCTCGTGTAAGCAGTCAGCCGCAGATATGGATGAAACCACCAGGCAGGGCGCAGCCACTTGTAACCCCCCCCTCCCCCCCCCCACTGGCTTCAAATTTCGCCCAAATCACGATCCATCAACTCGATGTCACGCACTTTTCTTTGAGATGAACTCTCTCTGCCTCTGTCTCTCTGTCTCTGTCTCTCTCTCTCTCTCTGTCTCTGTCTCTGTCTGTCTCTCTGTCTCTGTCTCTGTCTCTCTCTTTGTCCCTTTGTGTTTTTTGCTGTCTTTTTCTTTCTCTCTCTCTCTCTCTCTCTGTCTGTCTGTCTCACACTTTTTTTTATCTCTTATCGTGCTTGTATTGGGCAGTGTGTGGTTTCCGCATGACTTGATCATCAGAAGAACGTGGCTGGCTCGCTGGGCAGGGCCAACTCGGCTCGGGGCCTTGGCTCGGGATAGGACGGCGTCAGTTGAGGACATGGCCTCCTCTACAAACGCATCCCTGCTTGACGGGGCGGTTCGAGGGAGTCTGGTTCGCGTGTCCAATGAGCGCAATGACCTCTTGGAGAAGGAACCGGGTGTATCAGAAGACCTTGAAGCGGCAGCGGTCGAAGATAAGGTGCTGTTGACAGATGAAGGCTTGCAGGCCTATTTAACCGACTGCTTGCGCCACAACCATGGTGAATTGCTCGAGGGTTCGGAAGGTTGGCCGCTGGAGCTGTTTCAGCTTAACGAGCGGCTGCTCAACTCGCTCAGGTGCCCAATCTGCGGCCTGATTGTGCGATCAGCAACCATGTGCCATGCACAGCACATTTTCTGCCAGCTTTGCATCGAGCGCGCTTGTGAAGCCAGATCTACTTGTCCGGTCTGCCGCGATGACTTGGTAGAGCGACCAGCTCGCTCGGCCCTCTTGGCCCGCGAACTGGTCGATGCAGCCCCCGTTCTTTGCCCCAACACCACGCTTGGCTGCTCAGCCATGCTCTGTCTCGATGAACTGGGCGAGCACTTGCAGACTTGTGCGCACGAGCAGTACCCCTGTCCCAATGTCCCTTGTCAAGAGCTCGTACCCGTGGCCGACTTGCGTCAGCACTTGGCCACCTGTGCAGCCACTCGCATTGCTTGCTCGCAATGCGGCGTGGTCGTGCGGCGTGGTGCCCTGCAGAGTCATGCGTGCGTCGCTGCTCTCTGCACGACCGTTCAGGATCTGCGTGGTGAGAACAAGCAGTTGAAAAACCAGCTGAACGATCTCTTTGCTCGCCTTGCAGCTCTTGAGTCAGCCCTGCGCGATATGACCGTCACGGCCACCCCTGCTGATTTGACTCTGCCCAATGATCAATGCCCCGTATCTGCGGCCGTCGCCTTGCACCTGCGACTTTCGGTTGTTGATGCTGTCCGCGCTCCCTGCATCGGTGATGTCGTCGTTCTCAATCGCAGTCTGCTGGGAGAACAGACTGATGGACCTTTGGAGCCTTTAAAAGCTGGTTGGGTGGCAGCCAACGATCAGAGCGACGATTTGCCCATCCGAGTCGTGGTTTGTTGTCGTCATTTTCCTGTTTTTTTTCTGGCTTGACCTGCGATCCCGCCTAGCTGCAATGCATATGAATCTATGAGCTGCCGGCTCACAACGATAATGCGCTTAGGCACATGGAGGGCCGGACTGGTGGTATGCAGCGCGGGCGCTGCAAATCATTGCCCTCCCCGGAATGCACGTGACGTCGGCTATTGCTGTCAAGAATCTTCCCGTTGTTCGCGGGCCCGATTGGTTTGTCGGCGCTTTCTTCGCAGCCTCGGGCCATCATCGCCTTCTCACTGGTTGCTCATGCCGCTCACCATTGTCATATTCTCAAGGTCTTGGGGAGACCAGGATGGTGGTCCCAATGTTGTAGGCTTTGTCCTTCGCTGCCGCGGAGCCTGGTGCGATGTAGCCTGGCCTTCAGGTCTGGTCAACGCTTACCGGGTGCGTCTCAAGGTTGAGGAGAACGTGGCGCCATGTGTAATAAAGACAACACGCACGCAGACACACGAATACGCTGTACTTGATGGATGCATGTGCTGGCTAACCAATGGATATGCTCTCACAGGTGGCGCGTTTTCGTGATTTATCCGTGGCGGACATGCGTGGCAGTGCTGAACCGGATACGTCGTAAGGCCTCGGGTGTTTCGAAAGGTGGGCTCGTAGAAAAGAAATCAGAATCATGTTATTATTTTTATCTTCTTCTTTAATCAATCATAGTAGAATGAGTGTTGTCGATGCGTAAAGCACGAAATCGATCATAACAAAAACTGTCTCACAAGGAGCAGCCTCAAGGATGTCTACCAGCGAATGGTAACGCGCGGAGTTGCGTCTGTCATCACTCGGCTGCACAGCTCCACGGCATCTTGCTCACAAGCACGGAGCTGCTGCTCGAGGGCATGTAATTCGGCCTGACGTGAGGCCAAGAGCTGATGATGTCTGCTCAGTTGCACCACCTCATTTTGGTTGAGAGGCTGGTGACCTGCGATGGCCTGGTCTAGGTGCACTAAAGCGCGCTGCAGGTCCGCTGATGGTGTGCCCAGCCCCAGGTTCGTGTTGGATTGTTGCAGCAGAACAAGCGGAGTGAACCAAGGGACAATGGATGAACATCTCGGATGAAAATTGCACACACACAAGCAATAAAAATGAGTTTGATGAGACTGACTTGGCTGGACTGGTTTACATCCTTGCAGTGTGACACCATGTTGTGCCTGTTCAACTGCTTGATACATGGTTCTAAGATGGAGATGATCAGCGTCAGCTTGCAGAGCCGTCAAAAAAAAAAAAAAAAAAAAAAAAAAAAAATGGGGACAAGAAGCTTTGCCCAAGGGCACAGACCGCAGCTGGAGGGATTGCGTTAGCAGAGCTTGGGATCGCTGCAACGGCTCCTGTAGGTGAAGCAAGAAGGAAGATCAGGCAGACTGAGTCTTCAAAACCTTGAAAGCAGAGGTTTGCCACCTGTCACGTAAAAGAGGAAGAATGAAGCGGGGACGGCCGGCTGACTTGGGCGGCTTGAAGCTGCATGACTTTGCGAACGAGCTGCTGTCGCTGAAGGTCAAGCTGGGCTGATGCAAATTGACGCTGAAGAGCATCTGAAGGTGAAAAAAAGCCTTGATAAGCGAGTATCATGCGCTCAAAGGGGTTGCCCTTTCGGTCATCTGACCAAGCGGTGAGGAAAGGCAAAGGCAGAAGACACGTACAAACGGCATTGCGCAGATCTGTCAGCTCCTCTTGCAGAGTCTCTTGTTGCGCTTGAAATTGCTCCGAAACGTTGGCCAGCACAAAGGCCCACTGGACTGCAGCACACTAAAGATCAATGGCAAGGACACATAAACATGCGCTGGTGAGAACAGACTCTGCGCGTAGATGAGGCTACGAGCTCTGCAGCGAGGGGCAGGCCGAGCAGGTAGACCTTGGCGAGCTCAAACTCGGTATTTTGTTGGGTAAGAAGATTGGTATCGGTGGTAGAGCCACCAGTGGCTGCAGCAGCAGAGGTTCGACTGCGCGTTGGCCCACCGCGGGAACGTTGGGATGTGCTGGGCCCATGACTCGAAGATGCGGCAGGCTTGGAAGCGGGAGCAGCAGAAGTACGGCTGCTACCAGTGGTTCGTTTGATGGAAGAGCGGTGGGCTGCGGGCAGCGCGGATCGAATCTGACGAGATTCTTTTGAGTCTTTCGTTGTCGTGGGTCTGCTGGCAAGACCACCTGTGGCACTGGTGGACTCTCGGCGGGAGCTAGTGGTGCTGGCGCTCATGTAGCGAGATGGCACAATCCGTGCGCCCTTGCCGGCCTTGCTTGAGCGATCAGCGTGTGCAATAGGTGCTTTGGTCGCTCGAACCTCGTGTCCTTGGTGAGAACTGTGCATGGGGGACCGTACAACGGACGCCTGCAGCGAGCGCGAGGGTGATGTCGGCATCTGCGAGACGAGGCAAACGGAATCATGAGAGGTCGGTGGTTCGAAAAGCAAGAGATTTAAAAGTGTTGCGGTCATAGAGGTCGGCCTTTCTTGTTCTCAAGCATCAGACTTGGACTGGGCGAGCCTGCCTTCGTACCGGGGTGGGTTGCGGGCCCGTTGATCGAGGCTGAAGCTCCTCCATCAGGTCCGTTGAACGCCGGTGAGCTTCCGACCCGTTCGTTCGTTGGTGTGACGGCCGTCAAATTTTTTTTTTCTAAAATTCACAACTAGTGTTCATTTTAGCTGTTTTCACACTTTTGTCCACTTGCTGGGGATGTTTGGCGTTGAATTGCACTTCGCGCCCCGGTTGTCCAGAGGTTGCTCGGAAGTGTGTGGCTCCCCCAATTTAACGGCAAGACGAGGGGTGTATCTGGCTCTGCAACAGTGAGTCGCATGCCAAAAGCGCCATCTTTCAATCTATCCTCACAAGCTAGTCTATGATCTATGGTCTGGTCCTACTGGTTGCTCCTACCGTACAGGCTTGTTGGCCCAACAGGAAGCGACGAGAGCGCGTTGGCGTGTTGCAAAGGAAGAGTAGCAACAGCGAACGATGCAACAACGTGCTTTGTAGGTTCCTACAGATGCTTTTGCTACTTGGTGAGCGGTGGGTGCCCAAACTGCCTACAGGGTGACGAACCATGATGAATAAAGGTGGTCAGTCATATCAAGGCAAGCGCGTGCTGCCGTGATGGACTTGGCAGAATGAAGCCGTGGAACCGCACACGCGCCAAACGGGAACCACGATGCAGATGTTTCTTGTCCAGGTCGTGGCGTTCGGTGGCAAGCAGAGATGGCACTCATTATTGGTCACTCACTTTTGCGCCATCACGAGTTGTGAGGGTCGCTTTGAATGTTGCTGGGCTGCCTCAATTCTCAACACCCTCGCCGCTCAGGCTTTGGGGTCATGCCTCTGGGCAACCGGATCACTGTGCGGTTGTGTCCCAAGAGTTGGCGATGGCTCTTTCTCCTCACGACCGACTGCCGACCGTGGTCGATCGGAAGTACTTTGTTCGGGCCTGCATTGGTACCGGTGCCAGCGCCACGGTCCACCAGGCGATTCATATCGCTCAGGGTACAGCGGTGGCACTCAAAGTCTTCAAGAAGGGGCTCAACGATCCTGCCATCTGCGCTGAAATAAAAGCTCTTCAGTTACTTGCCGAGTATCCAGCTGCGGGTCTAGCCCAACTTCTTGAAGCTTTTGAGCTGGCAGATGGTCGGGCTGTATTGGTTTTTCCTTACATGCCAGAAGGCTCCATCTTTGAGTATGCACGCCCTGATGCCACCAAGGTTCTTGATCAGGCCTCAGCTCGGCGATGGATGCTCCAGTTGGTCCAAGCTGCATGGGCTCTGAGTCAGAGGGGCCTAGTGCATGGTGACATCAAGCCTGAAAACTGTCTTCTTGATGCCCAAGGCAATCTAGTTCTGCATGATTTTGGCACCGTGCATCCGAAGGGGTTTCGTCACGCACACCACATTCCCGGCACTGAGTTGTACATGGCTCCGGAGCTCTTGCGAGGTGAACCATGCAGTACAGCACAAGACGTCTGGGCCATTGGGCTGGTCTTTTATGCCATGCTCTTTGCTAATCTTCCCTGGGATCGAGCCCTGTGGCATGACCGATCCTACTTGATCTTTCAGACGCGCGGCCAGTTCTCCGATGCACAAAACTTTGAGCTGTTAACACCCGCACTGCAAAAGCTATTGCTGTGCATGCTACATCCCGATCCTCGATGCCGAGCCACGCTGCTAGATATTGAAACTACTCTGAAAGCTGAGCAATCCTGGTTCTCATGTCCCGCAGCACCAATTCCCGATTTTATTTGCGAAAGTCCGAGCCCAGGCTCTTTAAGAGCCACTCCCTCGCCTGCTGCAAAGGAGCACTCCACTTCTTCGAGCCCTTCAACGCGGCAACAAAACACCTCGCTCGAGCCTTCAGACTTTGATTGGAATCGAGTTCAGAGCACCATCGTGTGATGCGCAACCAGTCAACGACCTGCGTGTCACCCCACCTGCATCTGCTTGACAGCCTGACCTGTGTTTCACGTGAATGCCCTGGTGTGTTTTTCCTTTTTTTTTTTTTTTTTTTTTTTTTGTGTCGTTTTGATTTTGTTTCTTCTTTCATGCCATTCGATCCATTCTTACACGATTATAATTATCATTATTATTTTACCTCCACGACCATGGCAGTGGTGTCACTTTGTCGTTGCATGGGTTTGCCCGATCAGGGGCAACTACCAACGCGCAGCTGTAGCTTCGGGTGTACTATATCTGTATGCATGCTGCTGTGATTGAATCTCCCCCTTTCTTATTTTCACTTGGCGCGGTGTGTCTTCTGCACATCTGCTGTTGCTGCGAGTCAGCCAATTGCATCACCAGACCAAAGCAAGCTTGTTGTGTCAAGCAAAGTCATAATCAATTTGATGAAGAAGAGATGGGCAGCACAGCCGCTCCAAGCTCTCTTGCCAGCATGAATCAGGAGAGGACAAAACATTTGAGACGCAGACGAACAGGAGGCCTCGCAAAGAAAAGCCAAGCTTGCATCCTCCAACGGCACATTGTTCGGAAGATGAGGCAACCACCAAAGAGCCATTACTCATTGCCCAGAAAAGGCTCTGGGTGAGCGCGGATAAGTTTGCGCGCTTCCTCGTATGTCGCGAAATCTGCAGATAAATTGTGGTCCAGCGTCATACTTCATTGAGCTGCTAGTAATTGTCATGGATTGCCAGAACTAAAAGAAAGCGCAGATAGCTAGATGCATGAAGGAACATACCAAAATCCCCGCCCAGGTTTGAGACGGCCCAGCCCTCAATCACATTGCCATCCAGTACCTTGCCTGTGACCTCAACAAATGCGGACAAATCGCTCTGCACACACATACAATACCAAGAAGGCCATCAATATGATGAATGCACGTGCAGCCAGCGACAAAACATGAAGCCAATGGACGTGTCCATTCAAGGGGCGTGTCGCATGATGTCGTCTGCTGTTACCTGAGGGTCGTTGAAGCGAACCTCCACCGTTGCACCATCGCTGCATTCAATCTGAGCTGCCGAAGCAATCTGCGAGTTGCAAGGTATCATGCAAGGATGATATGCTGAGCATGCCATTTCAAGAATTGTTCCTCCTTCTGGCATTTGCAGCTTGCGAGCACATGCACACCGTGGTATCAGACACTTTGGCCACCACGATAACAGGGGTGTCAACAAAGTCGTTAAACTCGTGTCCTCCGACGCGAGGTTTGTGTGCGTCCATCCTGCCAAGGGCGAATCGTGTGAGTTTGTGACAGGGTCCCACCCCGACCCCTCTGGTGTCAATTGCTAAGCTGACCTGTAGGTTTGAGTGCGTTTGCTTCAAAGAGCAAAAGAAGATGGCTGAAATAGCGCTGTGCAGCGTGAAAAAATCGACTTGATCGTTGGACGTCCTGAGCTTCCGGTCCCCGAAACAACAGCGACAATGCCAAGACGCGCCCGGCTCAGTCGTGAGAGCGAGTGTGTGTGTGTGTGTGTGTGTGTGTGTGTAACGGTCATGAGCAGTCTCGAGCCGCAAGAAGTCTGATATAAGCTGCACTTTAGTCCAATGTCATCATTTTCTTGCGCTCACCTTGACGGCTGGTAGCGCACGCAGCTCGAAACTGTTTGTCAGCATGTAAGATAAACTGCAACAAGCTGCCAAGCACATGTGCAGTGTTCTGCTTTGTGTGGGATGCTCAATTTTTTTTTTTTTTCTCACGCGTGCTCACGGGCGTTGGGCGTTGTGTGTGCTTCGCGCGGACCGCGGGGTTGAATGTGGAAGAGGGGTGGAGGGTGAACGTCTGTCGGGTTCCTCTTGGTCCATCCCCTGCAAGCACAGATAAGGGGTTGCTTGACCTGATTGCCGAGGACAATGCGGGCATTTAAGCCTTCGGGACAGATATGGCGGACCTTGGCTCAGCAACGCTCTCGGCTCGCCATCTCGTCGCCAATGACTGCAGAGACGCGTGTGCTTTCTTTACAACAGAGGCCATGGGACCAACGCCGATATGCTGGCTCTGAGAGCGATTCAGCAGCATCTGCTCCTCCCGGACAATCGACGCCCAGCTCGGGCGCCGGCCTGCAGGACATGCTGATGCGCTTGGCTTCGGTTGCTTCGCGCAGCAGCACTCCAGCGCAACGCATGTCCGGAGACCAAAATGCTAGCGTTTACACAACAGCTGGATTCTACGAAGGGCATCGCGTTTCTTTTGACCCAGTCTATGTACAGGCTGCATCAGACTTTGATGTGTATTTGTCAAGCAACAACCTGGACCGTGCGGAGCAGATTCTTGTAAACTTGCAACGCAGCGGAATCGTCATGTCCAGTCGACACTTTGATCGGCTTGTCCAAGCTTGCGCAGATAAGGTGCCCACATCCACAGTTTTGAGAGTGTGTCTCAACTGGCCCATGCTATTTTTGACCTCGCCCACTGACGCTGAAACGATTATCTATCGCGGCTGCTTTGTCAGGGTGAGGACAAGCGCTGCCAACGTCTCATCAACGCCATGCTGAGCCATGGCATGCAACCTACAGCCCGAACCCTGGGATCATTGCTTGCCATGAGCGCGTGAGTTTGTCTACTCGTGTGTGACCTCTGCTCAATTCGAGTGCTCTTTCTCTCTTTCTCTCTCTCTCTCTCTCTCTCTCTCTCTCTCTCTCTCTCTCTCTCTCTCTCTCTCTCTCTCTCTTTC